TCTCAGCTACAACTCGTGCTGAATTTGCCCACTGAGTGGGAAGTGAATTTCTTATTGCAGGAGCTGATGGGCATTTGCAGCGCACCGACTGGTGCTGCCCGCTCTGTGCAAAAGCGGGCAGCCACTCTAACTCCTTCAGCAGCTGCTGCCTCTGGATTTAGATTGGAGCCCCCGTCGTGGCAAGCAGGTGCGCTTTAGTCGCAACGCAGCTTGTCTGTATTCACAGGAGCAGCCCGTTGAATTGCGGATATGCTCACTTGCATCAGGTGCCCTCGGATGTGGGGACGTCAGCAGCCAAACCCTCAAGCCAGTCGACCCGCACCCTGCCGACATCAAAAAAGCGCAAGGATCTCATGGACGCAAGGGCCTCACAAATGTTCAATTTGTCTTCCTGGGTCTTCCTACATTTGAGCGGAACTTACGCACACCATGCGCCTTAGACGCGTCGCCACTCCCCAGCTCGCCGCAAGGGAGAGGGCGATCCAAGCAACATCTCACGGCTCAAAGCCACCTGAGCAAAGAGAAAACATGCAAAACAAAACGTGCAAAACAGACAAGCAACGTCGTGGGCTTTGCCTGGGCGTGCTCCGATGAGACCTTCCAGGCAGTGCTCTGATCTGCGCAGTACCAAGGCGTTCTCCGGCATGACCAAAAATATAGCAGCACAAAATGATCTTCAGAATTCCAAGAAAGCCTGGTGAAAGATGACATGAACAATCCCAGAGTGGGATTGCTTCTCCGGCCTTGCTGTTGTAACGGAGCTCTTGCCGAAGATCGCGGACCATCTGCCTGCTTTCAGCAGATTCAGCCGACTTTGCTTCGGGCAGAGGTCATTTATGCAGGGCCTCCAACAAACCGCAACACGTGTGCCAGTGACTACAGCAGGTTCGTCTTGACTCTCCTCCGATGACGTCTACGGTTTAAGCTCGACATAAATCAGGGGACGACACGGACGTCACTGACACTCATGCTGATAGATGGGTCGTGTGACGCCGAAGCACAGAGCACGGTATGGGATTAGTGCTCACGGCATCTTGATGCGTTGGATATGGCACTCGTATTAAGTCGCCTCCCCAGTTATAAGCTGGCCGTTTCAGACGGGTCGTCAACTCCAGTTTTCACGATTCGCGCGTGCACCTGCAAGTGCTTGACTCTGCCCTTTGCTGGGACACTCTCGAAGGGCTTGTGTGAGAAACATGGATCCATGCGGCTTGGGGCCGGCAATGCTTGCGGTGCTCCGTTTCGAAAAGATTTCGGTGACTGGGACAGGCAGGCAAGGGCCCAGGCAAACCCGCTGTCAGTTTTCTCTCTACAGGACACGAGCTCTTGCAAGTAATCTCTTGAGGCCCGCAAGCCTGAGCTGCTCCTCGTGGCACTCGGCGGCCGCGAACTCCTCACACTTCGGATAGGGTGAATGCACAAAAGCAATATCTGGCCCCGCAGAACACAGCGGTGAGGCTCGGAAGAGTTTTCAACCTGAAGCTCACCTTCAGTACTCGATAGGCAGACGTCCCGGCAACCGGACTTCACGGAGGTGCCCATTGCCGTGCACTGCAAACTTTTGACATGGAGTTTCACTGGTCTACAATGCCTGCACTTACGTGGAGTGGCCGCTCAAAGCCACAAGCAATACGTTCAGTTTACTCTGGGATGTGGAGAGATGCGGCAAGTGCTGTCGGGAAGGTGCCCCTCAAACGGACACCAACATATGAGTGAGACGTTGTGCTTCGGACCAGTCGGCCACACGCATCCAGCTGTGCATTGAAATCTGAATCCGTCCAGCACGGTCAGCCAGAGAGACATATAGTGATTTAATGGAATCTGTACAAGTTCCCGATGAAACAGCTCGGATCATAACTAGGTACGACGATGCTGTGTACCGCACAGATCTTAATACAAGCCTATGAATGGCCTATGAATGGGACTGCGGTCTAGTAAGCATGCTACTCCGGCTTGCACTTTTGCGCACACCACGATTCTAAAAATCGGTATTTGACCATCCAAGCTTCTTCGCTTTGGACAGAATTTCTGCGGAGAGATGGCAGTCATATTATGCAGGGCATCAGAAGTCGAGCGCTTGTAGCAGCAAGAATTCTTCAGCTTCCTGAACAGCGCACAACCAATGATGGCACGCTCAGTCCGTGCCCTAGCGTGTTCTTCGTACTGGATCTCCCGTCCCTCACTGATCGAGGCGAGGTGCCAAGCTAGGTTTGAGCGCTGTCTTCGGCAGAGGTTCGGTGCCATCGCCGTAGCCTTGATTGGACTGGACCAGGTAACGAGCTTCCAACCTGCCACTGTGCCACTGCCCTTCTTCGGCCTGCCAGGCTGAAGATTCTTAGGCCCATGCTTAGCCACAGCGAGTCGCATGTCTTTCTTGCACAAGACCTGACGACAGGCGCTGCAGCGCTGGATGCTGTAGAGGCAAGAAGGAACCAGGAATTTTATATGTCCTCTCTACTGCTATCGCGATCACCGCAGTCTGCGAATGCAGCGCCGGGCCCCATCTTGGAACCCAAACGTCTCCATCACACTTGCTGTAAATGCAGCCATCTGGCGCAAGTTGGATTGCGGGCCAGCCATGTACACAAGCAGTCCTCTGCAGCGAGCTGAGACCGAAAGGGCAACAACCGAAGATTTCTACACTCTCAATGCCCACGCGACTCATGCAGCCCAGGCTCTGCACAAAACACGTGCTCACAAGGCAAAGCAATCAGCTCGCCTGAGTCGCGGCCGTGCGCACAGGTGAACAAGGCAGCCTGCTTTGCGTAGTCAGAGCTCCGACGCCGAGCCCAGAAAATCTCAGAGAGGTCCTACAGAGACCCGGCTCCGGTCCAGGTGGCGCTTGTCGTCGCTTCCATCCAAACAAATGGCACAGCAGTCGAAGTCACTGCAAAGCTCGGACTCGCGGCTCACCTCAGCAACGAGCTGCGGCACTCCGGCCTCTCAGACGAACGTGCGGTTCAGAGAACTGACTGCAGCAGCCACAGTGTGAAAATGCTCTCTCAGCACGCATTCGGAGACTCGGGCCATACAGCACGACCCTTCACACGTGCGACTGCGACACCCTCCAGACACTCCGCACCGTCAGAAGCCTCGGCTGCAGGCGCTGGCCGCTGGTCATCACTGGCCTTCTCCCTTCTCCCTCTCAGTGTTTTTGCCGAGCAGCTCTTCGGGAGAGAGGCCGAAGCCCCGCGCGGGGCCGGGCCAGGGAGCCGGCGGCCCCACCGGGGGAGCCCCTCCGCCGGCCCCGAAGCCGCTCATGGCAAAGGCCCCACCCTGCGCTTGGCGCTCGCGGTCCCCCGAAACTCCATCCAAAGCAGTGCTCTCTCTGCAGGTGAGACCTCCTGCATCATTCGAAGGCGCTCTGTGGTGATCTCGCGCAGCCTCTCCATGGTGAAGACCTGCCGCACCACTCGCCACGACTCTCAAAGTCTTCCCTGAACCGCACCTGCTCGGCTGCAGGCCGGGCCGAGACCTCCCAAATCCAAACACCCTACAGAACAGTCGACGAATCTTCTTCTTGAAAAAGACGTCGCCGGCCTGCGCACCGGTCGCCCGTCGATGAAACATCTGCATTTCGCGGGCCAGCGGCGTCAGCGGTGAGAAGACCCGGACTGGCAGGTACAAGGCCAGTGCCACAACAGACACGGAAAACGCAGCAGGACTTCGCTGCTCAGTACTCAGGTTGAACGGCGAGTGGTCTTGTTGCAGAGTTGTCAAGCTACCAAGGACAGAATTCTGGATGCTGTTGTGAAGTCTTGCCTGCGACTCATCTGTGTGACTGACAAGAGGGTTGGCACTGCAGTGCAACACGTGCCGAAGTCACTGGAGCGGAAGTCCAACAAGTTGTTGGGCATGTTCGCTCGGCGCACAGGAAGGGGGTTACCTCGAGATGTCGAGCAGGTACCGGCACATGAGCTTCCGATAAATCCACGGTCTCAAGTACATGGACAATACAGGTCATGCTGAAGTTGAGGCAAGGCACGTCGTTCTGGAGGTACATGGTGCCCTGCACGCCCCGCGAGCTACTGATGAACCAAGCAAACATAGTGAAATTTGAAAACCCGAGGACCCCAGGTAGCGTCACGCGAGTGTCAGACCTGTACAATTGGAAAGAAGTGTGAAGAGACAAGACCCACCGGCACAGGCTAACATCTATAAGAGAAGCACGCAGTTCCAGTCTATGCGCGGATGCTGTCTTCGGACGCTGACTTACTGGACTGCGGGGAAGCAAGTGCAACGGAAGGAATGAAGCGAGCCGTGAAATACACTGCTTGTTCTGATTACTTTTACATACTGCGGTAACTATCCCAGAGCGACAACATTCTTGCATGTGGATTACTACCAACAGCGTTGATCAGGTAAAACGACCCGATCATGGACAAGGCCTTGCATGTTGTTACACGGTGTTGCGAGCCGGGCGAGCCGAATGAGAACATGATGATGGTGAACAGCTGATGCTGATGAAGGCGGTGATGACGGCGACGGTGATGATGTCGCCTCTTTTCGCCAATCAATATCTCCAACCAAGACTTGAAGACGGCCTGATTGAGAGCCTCTCTGCATTTTCTACATATGTTGCATGCACTTCTTCGTGCCCTTACTCTTAGGAGGACGACGAGCGATGCGGCTGCTGATTTTGATGGGAAGGAGGACAGGAGGATCTGTGGATGACGGTGACGATAGTGACAAACGAAGTAAGGTAGTGTAACTTGGCTGAACATGCTGAACTCGTTCGAGATAGATTCCACGGTGCACGCGCAAACACACGACTTCAAGTGGGATTTCGGCACATCCATGCTTCTTAGCAGCACGCGTTCGACAGGGCTTTGCCACAGTGTGCACGAACCAAGGTACGATTTCACACAAGGCGCTACAACTTAAAGTACTCTCTCTGCAGTGCTTGTTGATGCGATTTTCTGACGCAGCTGAAGGTGACTGCTTGAGTTCTGCAGTAGCTGATGGGGTGGACACAGGTTTGGCCCTCCCTAGCTTCCCGACCTCGGGACAGCCGTGGCGCACTGACAGAGCGGCGGCCCTGCCGACGGTCACGGGCCTGGGCTTCAGCTCACTTGCGTTGGGGTTGCACGGGCATTGAGACCGTTAAGACATTCTTCCATTAGTGTCTTTAGTGCCGTCTTCGTTCCCGCCACATAAGCTCCAATGGGAATTCCTCACTCCGTGACTACTTTGACTTCTTTGCGTTGTCAACGCTGCGAACAGAACCTAGAGCCCGATGCAGTAAACCTAATGTCTTTCTGGGGTGAATGAGGGGGGTCCGAAGCTCCACATTTTGAGAGAGCTGATGATGTCGCTTCCCCCCGCCCTCGCTCCAGATGTTTCAAGGCAGGCCGCAGTAGGATGGATAGCCCGCAAGGTCTGAGTGGGTGTCAGTTGCTGCACGCCGGATGTGTCCATGGGAGCCTTCACGAGGCATCAAAAGTGCGGGAAACTGCCTATGCGAACCCAACAAAGGCCAAGCAAATCCCAGCAGGCCCCAGCGTGGCCAGGGATGAACCAGTGAGGCAGGCCCTGGGCTCAACGCTGTCTGTTCAACAATACTCGCATAGCATGACAACAAGACCATCAAGACGACTTCGTCATGGCAGAAGAGCTGCATCCGAAGGCTACCACAATACCATGCAGGAAGCCCATATAATATATGGGCAGCAGACTTACACTGAACGCAATCAACATCGTGCTTGAGGTGGATACAGTACAAGATAGCCCAAGTTCATGCTGCGCAGCGCCCTTGCTTACGTCGTTCAGAAGAGGATCGGATGCTGTGGCTGTCGGGTCCTCCTTCGCGGGAGGAGCGCTGCAATGCTTTGCAGTGACATTTGGGTGGCTCCGCAAGCTTCAGACGCTGCAAAGTCAAACAGATCCTGGCCCTTGCCAAAACGAGCTAACAAAGGCCCGGCCTGATCCATGTAGTTCTCTGTGGGCGTTCGGTTCTGGGCAACCTCCTGTGTCTCCCGGGCTCGGGAATGGCACAGTCCATTGCAGCTGCCAAGTCTATACAACATGTTGGGGATGAGCAATGAGCCGGCCTCGAACCATGCTTGGAGACTGACAGGAGAGGGCACGCCAGCGTGAGGGCCGGCCTTGCTGAAGCCCGGTGACCACTGAGCTGTAATGCAGCTATTGCAGAGGTAAGCCGTTCCAAACAGGCAGCGGTCTGATGAGAGCGGCGTCATCCAGAAGCACTACACAGAACGTCTGTTGGATGAAAACAGTCGAACAGCGAGTTTCTTGGGGAAGATGGGGGGCCCTTTGCCGTTGGTGGCCCTTGGTGGCAGTGCACCTGCCGCGGCGGGCCCGCATCTCGCCTGACTTCCTCGCGACCAAAGCAGATAGATGACAGCAAGATGGACGATTCCATAGGACCACAAGATCGACATCAAGCAAAAGCAGGAGCAGCCCAGCAGCCCTCTGAAACACCGGTGTCTTGTGTCAAGAAGAGTCCTCTCCCAGTCGCCGCATGTCCGGCATCGGGGCCTGGCGCCGGATTGACGTCGGGACCGGCTCCGGCTCTGCCTCCTTGGATGCAGAGCAGTCTGCGCCCATGCCTACGGCCCTATGGCACCAGCACCGGATGAGCAGTTTCGAATGCCTTCAGAGCTCCTCCTCAAAACATTGCACAGCGAAAAACAAATCGAGGCAGCGCCACAGAGAGAGAGAGAGAGAGACGAAGAACAGAGCAGGAATTGCTGCTTGTTGTCAGGATATTGTGTTTGTTGTCGTGTAGGATTTGCTCGTTCAGTGAAGTTCTCCCAAGGGCTCGGGACTAGGAACATCCTAAACAGCTGGGACGACGCACCAAAAAGACCTCGTTAAAATACCTGAGCCGTAGATTGCTCCGATCTCCAATGTCAAATCCGGAGGGTTTGGAACTTGACATGCCCGTTCATGGTTGAAAATTTGCTGGCCAGCGCCAGCTTTTGAGCTCCCACAGCTTCCGGAAGCCAAGAAGCCCTGAAATTAGGAAGCCCGGGCTTGACTAGAATGCCTCAAAGCAAAGAAGCCAAAAAGGCACTCAAGGAGGTACTTTCAGCATCCTCGGAGTCCACGTCATCCACCTGCGTTCACAACAGAAAGCCAGCGGCTGGCTCTGAAGGGCCAGCGGGCCTCTTCATAGTCCTCCTCATCCCATGAGTCGGGGCATGCGGCAGGAGCCTGTGTTCAGCTACTAGCAAGTCCTGCATTAATTAGTGTGTAGGTCCGTATCGCCGCCTCCTCGGACCGTGCGCGAGGCTGCGACTCGGATGGAGCCCTCCGGAAAGCCTATGGCTTCAGTTGCAGCTTCCCGGCAAAACTGCTCCTCTCCTGCAAAGCACCTGGCCTGCGAAGGATGCGACTTGGACCGGCGATTTGCCTGCAAACGCTGCCACATCGGATACTACGTTACTACGTCGCAGGTACGAAACCGACCTCTGCGTCTGTACCACTGCGAGGAACAGGCCTCACAGCGCAAAGAGCTACGCAGATACCCAGACCAGACTTCGTGGGAGGTCACAGAGCTTCGCAGGCCGAGTCCCGTGGCCTGAAGGGCTGAGGGATGCCGTCCTGCATCGATGATTGAGGCTGCGCCACTTTGCTACGACTGCTCTCTGAGATTGGCACCTGGGGTAGCGCCACACCAGAGGGAAGCATCACCGCCATGGCAGAGCACTGCCCGGTCGGGTGCATGTAAATACCTCTGTCTCCTGCCTCTTGCATGAACTCATAGACACCCTAAACTTAAGCATACGTGCGTATGCAGATTGAGCAATTTCTGCGTGTATGTGTTTGTGCGTGTGTGCGGGACATCTATACTAATACTTGTGTGTACATACTACTTGTGTATTTATAGACAGAGAGAGAGAGAGAGAGCTAAAGTTGACAGACTAATAAGTAACGAAGAAAACCTAACACTGAAATATCAAAAGTAACTATGTATGTTATGTATGTACGTGCGTATTCATGAAAAGATGTATCTACCCGTCTATACACCTAATGTGTACACACACATACGTAGTCTCACATACATGCAGCCAGCACGCACATGTTCACATCAAAACGTACATAATTGTGTCTCTTATGAAGGGAGACAACACTCGGAGGGCATTGGCACTTTGGCCTCGGAGCCGAAACGCTGCAATCTCCGCATCCATGTGAATACATGGAATGCTCACTGGACGAGCCGTGTTTGCGTAACCGCGCTTGGCTGGCTGATGTTGCAGTCCTTCGCCTGCGCTCGAACGCTATTCACCTGACTTGGCAGTTTTTCCAACGAGTTAACGGCACATATATGACTCGATCTTGAGCCCTCTGAGCTAGAGCGACATGCGTCGCGGGAACTTCAAAACCAGAGGTGACGACACACTTGGGTGAATCCTGGCTGGTTGAATGATGCAGTGTCGACGTCTCGAAATCAGAGTGCAATCAACTCCGCACTGGTTGAACATATGCATCCCTTCCACTAACGTCACTGTTAATGCTAGCTTGTGATCAGAGCGTTTGGTCGCTTTGCTGTTCTTGCTGCTGTTACTCTTCTTGCCTAAGCTTGAGTCACTGTCATCGGATGGGCCCAATGTTCCAAACTACCCGCGAAGATTCAATCTATGGTTTGAAGTCTGAAGGCAGTGCTATGGACTCTGTGCGAAAGCCATCATTGGCTTTCCAGACTGGCTTTGGCTCGTGTAGCTGTCTCAACCTTATCCCCGCGGAATCCCTCGTACGAGCAGGCAGCTGTATGAGTTTCGGAAGTGGGACCCTAAATAGTTTGATCCTTTTTGTAAGGACCCCAAAACAAGGTACCCCTAATTTTCGGAAACTCCCGTTTCATCCCAAATACAAACGTCAGCACCTCCGCCGACATCTCAGCGATGGAGGCGGACACTTGGCGAACCTCTGCCCACTTGCGAATCTCAGTTTGAAGATGTTTGCGCGTCTTCTCAACATTCCCCGGAAACGATTGCGGGGCGCAGAGTCAACGAAAAGCAGTTTAGCAGGGGTGAGAGCAGCCTGGGCAGCTGCAGTATGTGCTTGCTTTGTCTGCTGTTCCTTACAGAACACTACACGCGGGATCCATTCCCGCAACAATGTGGCATGCTAGCGTGCCATCTTGGTGGGTCAGATTTGCAACGCCGGATCGGCATGTCTTCACACTCAGCGGATCATCTTGCTACATTGGCATCAAGGCGTGACTTTTTGACTTGGCATGTCAATGGTGTGTTTTGAATCTTTCCGTGCATGTCGCACGTATCTTAGTCCTTTCGCAAGGAGTTGGCATCATGCTTTTTCGTGCTGCCTTGAATGTTGCGTATGCCATGCCTGCCAAAGCTTCGGGCAGCGTGCCACTCTGGATGCATGAAGGACCCAACACTTCCAGATTTGCTAATTAAGCGCTCCAGGCTCGTTCTCGAAATCTGGTCTGCTCTTCTCTTGGGAACCTCGAGGCCTCGAGTGTAGAACCCCTCCAGCGCCTCCTCCTCGCGCTGTCGCAGCTTGCGGGCCCAGGTCCGACGCCGGGATTCCAGCTGCTGGACACCTCGCGAGACATGGGCCCAAGGCTTTCAAGGTGGGAAAGAGGCTTGAAACTCACGGACCCCATGGCAAGCCGGGATTCAATCTCTGTTCTGGCCAGGGCTGCGACGATTCTGAAGCCGATTCAGCTTCGTCTCTGCCTCTCTCAAGGTCTTGGAACGTTCTGCTACCATGCTGTACCCAACTACACTGGCTGATACCCGGTCCAGACAAGTACTGTAGTCACTGTAGTCTCTGTGACCATACGTAAGTGTGGATCACATGTGAGTGGTTCTCAAAATTAGGGTCCCTTTTTGGGTCCCTATTACAATACGGCACCAATTATTTAGGGCACCCAAAAAGGGACCATAATTTTGGCAACTACCCATGTATCAAGCCAACAGGGCTCTCAAGACTCGACCCTCAGCGGATTTTTGGAACCTCCCAGAGCTTCTTCCGGCCAGCCACGTCTTCGGAGCAGGAGTCTTTGCGAAGCCTCCAGTTCTGCTCCTGAAAAAAGGCGTGGTGTCTACGTGCCGTGGGTGCTCAACTTTTCAGCCCACCAAAAACGACCAGACGCCGGTCGTCTCGTCTCCTCTGCAGCCCGGACTCGACGGGAAAGCTCCTAAGCCAGAAACGTGCAGTCGGACGAAGGGGCTCGAAGCCAACGGACACGGAAGACGTCCTTCAACTCCCTCTCCGCGGCACGGCGCACCTGGATGCTGGCATCTTGAGGGACCGGAGTGCAACGCCACAAAGCTCTGCCTCGAAGACCTTCAGTTCCAGCTGTCTGGACACTGACGCCAGCACTAAGCGCTGAGAAGCCTCTGCAGGTGCAAGTGAGAGAGAGAGTCCGCGAAGTCCGCGCTGTCTCAAGGCGCCTCCTTCCGAGGCGTAACGGGCGTAACGGTCATCGCTGGCTCCTGCGATAAACATCTCATAGAGAGGCTGCAGGAGCAAAGCGACAGGTTTGAGTCGCGGAAGTGTTTCAATCACGGGCTCGCTGCCGTCACTCGTTCATATTCGCATCTTGGACAACTTCTGAACCAAAAGCAGACTCACAGAAGGCTTTGTGGATAGTGTCGTAAGCAGAGCGTGGATTCTGTGAGAGCACACGGGAGGTAGCCCGAGCCCGTGCAGGCTGAGTCTCCACTCAGGAGCGAACCTGCCAAGCCTTGGGCACTGCGGGCGCTTGTCTCGGAGAGCGATCCGTCCGAGTCTCTACCTGCGTTCAAGCTGCTACGTCCAGGCCTCGTAACTGGCAGAACACTGCACCCCACTATGAGGTCGAGGCATGCGGCTGGCGTCCCATCTCCGAAGGCGCCTTCACCTTCATCGGAGCCGAATGTGTCGGGCCCAGTCTCGAAACGCGATTACTCCCACTTGATGTCTTGCTCATCTTAAGATGTGATATGTCATGGCTGCCCCGAATCCCATCTTCGTTCGAGGGTTGCTGTGCGTCCTTTCATGTCAAGTGGGGCCCCAAGCGCTGTGAAGGCATGTAGCAAGATCCCTGCCTTTGCATTCGCAATGCTGCATTTCGGGCTCGTGGGGTGTGGGGATGCAAGGGTGCATAGTACCACCTTCCTGGCTTGGTTTCAGGACTCCTTGACTTGCTCTGCCGTGCTCTGCCTGGCTTGCAGGTCCGTTGCGGGCGGCAAGCAGCCCCTGCACGAGACTATGCTGAAAACCGCACATTCTTAAGTTTACTATTATTGACAGTAGTAATAATACTAATAATAATCAGAGCAATGATAGCAAGCAACAATAGTAATGATTCTCCGGAGATGCCAAGTGCCTCAGACTGGAGGACCTGGAGCATCAGAGAGTTGAGGCTGCGCAGCTGCGCCACTCGACGATGCTGTCCCTTCAGGGCATTGAGGGCTGAAATACGGTAGGCACAGGTGGGTGGTTGTCCAAATTAGGGTCCCTTTTTGGGTCCTTATTAAAATATAATACAGCACCTGGGTACCCAAAAAGAGACCATCATTTCAACAACCACCCAGGTAGATGCGCGAGCCCGGGAGTAGTGCTCTCTAGTCATGCGCATACTTGGGCATCGCCTCTAGCTCTCTGCCAATTCGCTCAGCAAAGCCAGAAGGCAAGGAGTCTGCATACCTCCGGATGGGCCACATGGGGGTCAACAGAAAATGCGATTATGAGCTGTTAAGGAGAAGATGCAGCATGTTGCAACTCTTCCCGGACATGAAAACTATGTGTTGCGCACTCAAGAAGCTCATACTCCAGAGGAGACCAGTCTGACGGCAGCCGGGGCGAATCCTCCACATCGACCTGCAGCTGTGTCTGAATTCAACAACTGCGTCGAAGGGCCGCATGTCTGAAACAGAAAACATGCCACTAGCAGTATCTGGGAAGTACTTTATGCATACGCAACGGCCACCACGCCATACTTCTCATAGAACTCTGTGCTGGGCACCTCTTCAGCATCTTCCATGATGCCTCAAGTATCAAGGCATAGAGTGCCACAAAGGTGCCGACCCACTTGCTTAGCTCCATGCGTTGAGGGGTGCCTGGAACGGGCATGCCCCCTCTGGGCAGAAGATAGCCCTGCCAGCAGGAGGGCACAAGTGTGGAGAAACCAACAAGCACAAAACGCTCGCCCAGACCCCAAAAAGGATTTGCTGTGCAGTGCATTTGCCACGGTATCCCGGCCTGCCGAGTCATGGCGCAACAGGACGCTGTGAGCCGGGCTCCAACGACACCAGAGGAGTTGTATGTCACATCTGCCTAGCTCCCGCAGTCTCTCGAAGTCATGATACTAAGTCTGAAGTGGCGGAATTTGTTTCCAAGCAGTGCCGCTTCTCGCCGAAAGGCACGCCACACTTCTGTCCGTGGAAGCTTTGGTGAATGGGGGACCATGTGGCAGCCCAGGGTGATGTACTATCATTCGTGCGGGGTCTGCTTGCTTTGCGTGGCTCTTCACTGAACTCGGACGTCTCACATTTCTACGGCTCATGCGTGTAATCATTATTATTGTTATTACTACTACTATTATTACTACTATTTTTACTATTGCTATTATGTGACTCATGTGGATCTGCCGGCTCACTCGAAAGCTTTCGACTCCAGGCTTTCCAGGCCATCACCAATGGCACCGGCAGGTTTCACCGTTGGCGGACCCTGTCAAGGTCAGAGAATGATAATAATACGTATACTAATAAGTATGATAACAATAAGTATAATAATAAGTTTGATCATAAAAAGTATAAGCATTATAATACTAATAATAATAACAACAAAAGTAATAATCAAAATAATCAGTCGTACAGGGATCTTGGCTGGAGGAGGCGAAGACGGAAGCATCTCAGAGCTGACTTCACTGGGCAGGGACCATGTGTAAAACTCTGTAGAAAGTGGGGACAACCCTAAACCCTGGACGCCAAACCATTGGTTGAGAAGATTTCCGCCTGGAAGCTCTTCGCAGCAAGGGCGAACTGATTTTGTCGGCCGTTCGCGCCGCTGAGCACTCCCTGTCACCCGATCTGAGCTTGACTGGATTGGGTAGCGCATGTCGCCGAATAGACAAACGGCTGCACAAGAATATTAGGGCTGACAGCTATTGGCACTGGCCTGTGTGATCATCCATGCTGCAGCAACAAGTGCTGTTCGATGCTGCGTTTCTGGGCAGGTGAAGGGATGTTGCTCACTCTACCTACCAAGGTCGCCCTTGCCGGTGATCTTTGACAATAGTCATTGTTGAATCTCCGCACATCCTACCCTTCTCGTGATTCCTGGGCCTTGATCCTCGCTTTCGGAATGTAAGGCCCCAAAAGGAAGCCTCTGCACTCTGGAACCCTCAACCCCTAAACCCCTAAACCCTAAACCCCGAAGCCCTAAACCCCCAAACCCTGAACCCCTAAGCCCCTGAACCCCGTAAACCCTAAACCCCTCAACCCTGCGGCCTCCGTTTTCAGGGCCTTGGTCTTAAAGGCGCCGGTCTGGAGCGCCTCGAAGGGATGCTCCCCGCTTCGTGGGGCACGCTCGAGGCCACCCACCTTGAACCTCAATGTGTAGGCTTTTGGGGTTTAGGGGTTTAGGGTTTAGGGGTTTAGGGTTGAAGGGTTTAGAGGTTTGGGTGTTTAGGTCTTGGAGAACGAGGACGGTTTGGAGGCCCTGGATGCTGCTAAGAAAGCCTACCGCACTGCATGCTGTTCTTTAGCGCTTCAACCAAACGTAAGCACGAGCCTCTTCAGGAGATAAAACGATTAAACTGCTTTTGTTACTTCTTGAGCTCTGCTTCAGCTCTTTCGCACCGTCGTCTAAAGTGCACATGGCCCGCCAGATGTTCGGGCTTTGTCCGGGGCAAGGCACGGCCCCTTCTGCTGCCCATTCTCTGCCTTGGAGTAGAGAATGCCTGTCGGCGCAAACCTCGGCTTCGGAATGCCACGTTCTAGTCCCTCAAGGACAAACGGGCTGAGTTCGGGGCTTAGTCTCCTTGATCATGATGTCAGTGTCTTCTGCACATTCCCCGAGCCAGCTGAGCCAACACAGCATGCGCCTTGACGACTTTACAGATCACACATGACCACCTCAAGCTCTCTTCATCTCTCTTCCAGTCATGGCTTCAGCACACGACCTGTGGCAACTGCAGCCAGCTTTGTTCAGAGCTGCGGAAGTCATGCGGACAAAGCTGCAGTTAGAACTGCAGCCGGAAGGGTGGGGCGCTGCCCTATCCATGCATGTAAGTTGTCGCAGTCGCTTCGATTCAAGCATCTTGATGCATCTTGCAGAGTCTTGCAGGACAGGACCCGGCTCCACCCTTGAGACCCTTGGGCTTCTGCTCTCGGAGCTCTGCCATTCCGCAGCTATGCCAGCTATGCCAGCTAGGCTCTACGATCTCTGAAAGCACCGGCAGGAGCCGTCTTGAGACGTCCGGTCCAGTGGTCCTCAGAGGCATCTCCCTCGAGGCTGCGCAAGCCTGCGACCGAATTGGCAAAAGCAACCCCTGCAGCTGTGTTGACCGGCAGGTGACGTGGCCTCCGGCAGCTCTCGCAGGTCAAGGATCATCGAGGTGGTTCTTCCGTGGATGCGGCATCACTAGATGGGATTGTCCTGAGCTTGAGGGCAAGTGGAAGATGAGATTCAAGCTACAAGCTTGGGGGAATGGACTCCGACCCACCGATTTCACCTGTTCTGCTACAGATCCGCTAACAGTTAACATGGAAAACAAGAAGAGTCAAGAGATGAAGTTCGGAAGGGCTTGTGTGCAGATCAGGTGGCAGAGTCGGTGGTTCTTCACTGGCTCTGTCACCAGGAGCAACCTTCGTTGCAGTGTCTGCGCTGCAGTATGCGCATGTTCGATTGACTTCTAGTGGCCCCTTTTTGGTGGACCCCTGCGAGGTGATTGACGAAAACACTCGGCAGACTGCTTGGAGCTCGTTAGACAGATTCAGTCAAGTGGCATTCAGGCGACGTCTCTTCGCTCCCTGTCAGTCAAAAGCAACCTACTCAAGCTTCGATCACTTCTATCTCCATAATTACAAGCAGCCTCCTGCCTCCGCACTGGGTTCTGAGACCGACACCGTTGTCGCTACCTGCACGTGGAATGTGCGAACATGACATGCCACTTCAAGTTCTCAAGTCAGCGACGCAAAGCACGGGGAGTACAACTGAGCCATGCTGTGAGCAAAGCGTATGCCAGGAACGCGTGATATGAAAGAAGATGCCTCGGTAGGAGGATCTGCGGTGCCCTCCATCCAAGATGTCGGCACTGAGAAGTCATCCGTCACAGTCGGCACCTCTTCAGGCTCCCGGGGCTCCTCCTCGATCATCTCTGGGGACACCATCTCTGCTGAGTGCATCTCCGCTGAGTTGAAATCGCCTAACAGAGATGAGTCCGGCAGTGCAGAATTCCTCTCCGATGAAAGCATGTCTGGAGATACCAACGGAGCAGATGGCGGGCATGGCAGAGGTGACTGCACGGCTGATGGAACTGGCGATGCAGTTCCATCTGGAAGCCCGGGTGTGGCTGGAGCAACGTGCCCTCCAGGAACTGGCATGAAACCAGGAGTTCCTGGTATACCACCTGGTGTGCCTGGCAAAGTAGCTGGTGTCATCGGAACAATGAAATCCCCACCAGGCACCGGCACGAATCCAGGTGTGCCTGGCACACTGCCTCCTGGTGTGCGGGGTTGATTCACCGGGAGTGGGAGGTGGAGGTCCTGCCGGTGTAAAGGGTTGATTCACAGGTGGAGGTCCGTGGGAGGTGGAGGTCCTGCCGGTGTAAAGGGTTGATTCACAGGCGTGGGAGGTGGAGGTCCTGCCGGTGTAAAGGGTTGATTCACGGGCGTGGGAGGTGGAGGTCCGGCTGGCGTAAAGGGTTGATTCACAGGCGTGGGAGGTGGAGGTCCTGCCGGTGTAAAGGGTTGATTCACAGGCGTGGGAGGTGGAGGTCCTGCCGGTGTAAAGGGTTGATTCACGGGCGTGGGAGGTGGAGGTCCTGCCGGTGTAAAGGGTTGATTCACAGGAGTGGGAGGTGGAGGTCCTGCCGGTGTGCGGGGTTGATTGGAGGGAGTGGGAGGCGGAGGTCCTGCCGGTGTGCGGGGTTGATTGGCGGGAGTGGGAGGTGGAGGTCCTGCCGGTGTGCGGGGTTGATTGGCGGGAGTGGGAGGTGGAGGTCCTGCCGGTGTGCGGGGTTGGTTGGCGGGAGTGGGAGGTGGAGGTCCTGCCGGTGTGCGGGGTTGGTTGGCGGGAGTGGGAGGCGGAGGTCCTGCCGGTGTGCGGGGTTGATTGGCGGGAGTGGGAGGCGGAGGTCCTGCCGGTGTGCGGGGAGCATGCTGGCCGGGTGACGCTGGTGTCCTGGGTTCTATCCCAGATGGCGTGTGTGGCTGATTGCTTGCCAGAGATGCTGGTGTTGGTGGCGGAGGCCCGCTAGGTGTGTAGGGTTGATTGCTCGCTGGTGAGGCCGGTGGCACTCCTCCTGGTGTGTAGGGCTGATTGGAACCCTGCGATGCGGGTGTGGGTGGTGGTGGCCCGCCCGGTGTGTGCGGCTGATTGGAACCCTCTGATGCTGGTGTCGGAGGGGGTGGTCCTGCTGGTGTGTGAGTACCTGCAGGTGGCTTGACTCCTGCTGCTGGCGTTGGCGGTGGCGGCCCTGCGGGGGTGCGGGGCATTGAAGTCTTTGCACCTGGATGCGGCATAGCCGGCGTGCTCGGCTGCGCGAGCGCATCTGCCGGCGTTTGTGGCATTCTGCCGCTGCTGTACGGTGTTTGAGGTGCACCTGCCCCTGGAGTTTGTGGCGCGGCACCTGCCCCTGCCGGCGTTTGTGGCATTCTGCCGCTGCTGTACGGTGTTTGAGGTGCACCTGCCCCTGGAGTTTGTGGCGCGGCACCTGCCCCTGCCGGCGTTTGTGGCATTCTGCCGCTGCTGTACGGTGTTTGAGGTGCACCTGCCCCTGGAGTTTGTGGCGCGGCACCTGCCCCTGCCGGTGTTTGTGGCATTCTGCCACTGCTGTAAGGTGTTTGAGGTGCACCTGCCCCTGGAGTTTGTGGCGCGGCACCTGCCCCTGCCGGCGTTTGTGGCATTCTGCCGCTGCTGTACGGTGTTAGAGGTGCACCTGCCCCTGGAGTTTGCGGCGCAGCACCTGCCCCTGCCGGTGTTTGAGGCATTCTGCCACTGCTGTATGGAGTCTGGGGCACCATGCCTGCTCCCATTGGGGTTTGGGGCACTGCAGGAGTAAAGGGCTGTGCCGGGCCCCGAGCCACAGCTGCTCCTGTAGGAGTGGAAGGAATGTAGCCGGCTATCATTGTCCGTGGTGTGGATGGTATCTGCATAGTATGCATAGGAGTGGATGGAATCTGGTTTTGGAAGGGAGTGGCGGGTACTGGTTCTGCTTTCCCAGCCGGCGTGCCAGGGGCTCCATGCGGAGTCGCAGGTACGGACTCCAGCACCGCTGCAGTTCTCGGCGTCATTGGCATGGCTTGGCCTGGAGGGGTTGAAGGTACCGAGTCCAAGACTTTCACTGTCCCCGGTGTCTCTGCAGCCATCTTCGGCGCACCAGTTGCATCAAGACCCCCTACTTGGAGTGCATGTGTCGGTGTCCCTGGGGCGGAATTCATCGCTGGTGTCATTGGGACGGAATTCATCACTTGGGAGGTATTCGGCGTCATGGGAACTGATAGATTGGGTGTAGCCGGGACGGAGCCCCACACTCGGGTGGTATTCGGCGTCATGGGAACTGATAGATTGGGTGTAGCCGGGACGGAGCCCAACACTTGGGTGGTATTCGGTGTCATCGGTATGTTCTTCAGGAATGGCGTTGTCGGCGCAGGAGTTCCCGGCATCTTCATGCTGCCTGGTGTCGGCGCATTGTAGCCAGGTGTCATGGGCTGTCCGGTAGGCGTGTTCGAAGCGGCCGGCATGCCTCAGAAGCACACAATGCTGTCGCTGTCCTGCTAAACAGGCGTGCAGTGCCGTGCTGCCGTTCCCTGCCCACATCTCAGTGCTGCTCCAGGGGTGACTGGCACGGACTGCATCACAGAGAAACCAGACTCAGCATCCTTAAAGGGCTCCTCCTCGGCTGCGCAGAAGGGCTCGGAAGCTCCCTTCGCTCGACGAGCACAGATCTCACCGCACTCTTTGCTGCCCGGTGGCTACCAGTTCTGCTTCGCCTCAGAGAGACATGCAGCTTGAACTTTCGCACATGCCCGAGTTGCATGTCCCATCTTTGCGATCCCATAACAGGACGGGACACTCATCTCGTCCACATCCATGTCCTCTGCAATCAGCCTGTCCGGCTTCGACACATCGGGTGCGGCCTTCTCGACGACGCTCACAACGTCAGGAAGCCTCAAGGTGACAGTGGTGGGGGCTTCCCCTTCTACTCCTCTGTTCTAGGGTTTGCCCTTCCCGCTTGTCGACCTAAGGTGGGCACCAAGGATACGATTGCTCAAAGTTTCAGTCGAAACTTTAGTAACCAATAATACCGGCCGGAATGATTTTCCGCGTGCTTTCCTACGGGCCCAGAATCACAAGAAACTGCTTCGGAACTGCGGGGAGCTTGGTGGCCAATAACCCGGGTGCCCTGGAAGTATCCTAGTACTACACACGATGTCTATCTTTGGCAAAGCTGTGCTATCAGGGACCCGGACTATGAACATCGGCGCGCACACAACGAATCCGGCATGTGTGGAAGTCGGCACCCTTTGAGCTTAGGCTCAAAAGGAGCGCCTGGGGCTGCTCGTACAAGAAAGAACTCTGTAGGCTACAACAATTGGAGCCCAATGAAAAGTGAGAAGGGGAGAGAAGAGTGAGGGGTGACGGAAGTCTCAAGAAACAGAAGCCTAGCTACGTCGCGTGTCAATGGACCAATCTAGCAGCTGATCTGCAACATTTCAGTCGAGTAGACATCCGTTCAGGATGCCACCTACCAAGTTACCTATGGCTCTCCTTCCCAAAGCCATTGCCTCGTGCAGCCGAGGATCGCTTCCTGGAACCATCCTCTCTCCTTCCACTTCCCCAATATCTCGAAGAATTTGGAAGCCAGGGAGGCGCGCGAAGTCACTGCTTCAATGGCACGCTTGAAAACGTGGCCTGAGCTCGTGCGCTCTGGCAGAGTTCTCGCTGGCTTCCCCATGCAGCCGAGGGGCGAAGATGCTTCTCGAACCGGCTTTCATAGAGACTGCGGATCTCCTTCGGGTGTAGCTGCTTCCGCTTGCCAGAGCGACTGCATGCAAAATTTCAATCCCAACCTCGTCTTTGTTCTGTGCCGCATGCCTCAAGATCGAGTCGATCGTGAAGACTGCCGTCTCTTGGTGTGCATTGTTGTCCTGGATCGGCAGCCAGCATTCCGATATTCATCTCGCGACTTGACTCTGCATGGTACTGCGAAAAACGACTCGATGTTGAGATAAGTAGGGCTCTCAGTTGGGACAGAGGCTACCTGTGCGTGATTCTGATGAGGTGAACCCCTCAGCCCTCGTAAAGTACATGTGCAAAAACTGCTCGAGTAGCTACCGCACTCACGTGCACAGACGGGCCTTTGAAACCAAGCGGAGCCGACAAATGACGTGATCAATGCCTGTCAGCTGCCAGGTCCCGTCGGAGCTACAAAGATTCCAGAATCAAGTGCGGAGTGATGCGGAGTGCACACTCAGCTGGGTTCCACCTCAAAGCCCGGCACACCCGACCAGTCTCACGGTTCTTGCAGCGAAGACTTGACACAGACTGAGCTCGGCCGTTTTCCCCAGACACAATCGCAACTGAATGCTTGTCTGCGTACGCAGCACTGTCTTCAGTGCACTGTGCCACAGCCGGCCTGAGTCGGTCGTCATGTCAAGGGCAACGCGCGCCGCTGCATTGACATTCTTCGTCAGGACATTCTGCGATCGTTCCAAGGCTGCTGCAGAGTGACTGCTGGTACTAACACAAGCAGAAAGCGACTTGAAAACCTTGTGCGTCTCTGCTTCCCGCGTCCTTCTCGTCAGACTGGGCACCCCTCAGGGCTTTGTCGAAAAGCACGAACTGCTTGAACTCCTTCGCAGACGTCACAACAGCAACGGCAAACTCACCAGGCCCACAAAGGGCTCACGGCCGAATGTCCTGCTTGTTCTTGGGGAAAGGGAGCTCCCATCGCTTCCAATCCTCATCAAAGGCAGCAAGGTACACCATCACCTCAGGTTGAACTCCGTTGAAGACTCCAAGCAATGAAGCGTCTGAGTCCATGCCCCTTCTTTTGCACAGAATAAGACGCAACCCCGCGGAGCGCCAGCTCCTGGAACCCCGACGGAGCAGGCCGTTTAAAACGTTGGAGCTTGCCAGGCATGGTGCCAGGGATGCTTCGGTGGAATCTTCCGTCTTCCCATCTCGTCAGAGCTGGAGCCCTAGTAAAGGGGCGCCCCCATATGCTGCTGGTTGCATGTCTTTGCCTGAACGAAAGCAATGTCTGAGCGGTTTGGAGCTGGGACTGCCAAAGCCTTAGCCAGGCAATGGTGGCATGTTCCGGTGGCCTTGCTGCTCAGGCAACATGTGCGTGTTGGCTGGCACACGCTTGAGCCAACCTGATACGCAAACGACGCTTCGAAAGGCTTGCTGAATTTCAGGGTCAACGACCGGTCCAGAACCCTGCCCCCAGGCTTTCTGCGGGCACATGCGTTTCGGCAGATCTGTTCGATGCTTCACGTCCGGCTTGTGCTCCGCAGCCCGCAGCCTTCATGCCTCTGAGGCGAAACTTTTCATTGCGCTCAGTGCACCAACTCACCAGCCTTTGCACCAGTCATGTGGCTCTCTCCATAGCCATAAGGTGGGCTTGTCCACTTGACACCTGGCCGGTCTGCCAGAATGCAGGCAAAACTTCTCTCTCTACACCGTCACTGCAGCGTCTTGTCGTCTTGCCTCCCGGTATTCTCTTGATCCACGGCATGAGCACCTCCTCATCAGGCATCGGTGGGGGAGATGGACCTGGCATGTCGGAGAAGCTACGGCAAGCCGTCTCTTCTCCACTGGAGAGCCTGCCGCGGGTGAGGACTGTGGCGTCCTAATGGGCTTCCCATCAACTCCTGAGCACAGTGGTCAGAGCCCTACTTTGAAAGCACTCAGATTCTGAGGGCCAAGCTCTGCCCGCTCCCCCCAAAAAGAGCTGCCGCCGTCTCCTGCATGCGCTGGAACCGGGGCGCCACAAAGACGGCAAGCAGAAGAAGGACGTAGGAGAAAAGCAGCACTTTGCCAGATTTTCCAACTGTCGGAATACTGCCGTTTTGCTGGCCTTTCATGCAGCAACATGACCAGTATTGAATTAAGTGGCGGCCGCCTGTTTGCAACTCCAGCCCACTTTAATTTGCAAAAAAGAAGTCTGATGCTGGCTAGTCTGTAGACTTCTCGGCGCACGGCTAGGGGCATGCCATCACAAGCCCCTTGTAAATTTTGCTTTAGGTACGGCCACCTCGATCTCACCACAGGCCGGCACAGCTGCACGCACCAGCCGGTGCATCCCCTTCGACCTTGACATCGCGACCAAAGAGTGGCGAATCCTCTTTCGGCAAAGTTGTGACGGTCTCTGTGTCCTCCGCTTTAGACTCTTCATGAGACTTCTGTGGACCGGCGGGTTCTGCAGGCTTCAGCAGCACTGCCCGATCCGGCTCCGGGACGGCGGAGACGTCGGATACGTCTTTTTCCGTCTCTGTTGCGGCTGCCGGCGCTGGCGTCGCTGGCGGTGCTTTCTGCGCGGACGTGGAGCCTGAGCAGCCCATCGCTTCAGAGCCGAGAGCGGCGGGAGCCGCGAGAGCCTCGAGCCGGTCGTGTCTCGCGCGGTAAAGCATCGCAGCAGACGGCGAAGACACCAAGACTGCTTTGCCACCAGCTTGGCTACTTGGCTACTGTTGGCAGATGCGCCTCTGGAGCCGCGGCATCCGCCTCCTCTACCTGTGCACAATCACGTAACCATAAGAATCGATTTTTGCGCATGAGTCGCGGCAGTAGTTCGATACTAGTCCCGGTGTCGCCTTCGTAGCGAAGGAGGCACCCGCAATTTCTGCAGCTGCGGAAGGAGGCGGGGGCTCCTCCAGAAACGTGGTTTAGGCTGTCAGACCTTCATGCAGACGTCGCGAAATCAGCATTGCAGACGATGACCCCTGATCGGTGGGTTACTGGGACAAGCCATCGGGTCCTGGTAATCCTTCGGAGGCGCGAAATCCACGTTTACATCGGCTTCGATGATGGAAATCGCTTTCGTCGGCTTGCACTGAACAGGGCAGGCAGCTTGCACAATAGTAATAGTAATAGCACTAGCAGTAGCAATACCAATAGCAATCGCAATAGCAACAGTAGTAGTCATAGTAGTAGTCATAACCTTAATCATACTAATAATTGTAACAGCAACAATCGTACTAATGATACCAATATTAATAGTAATAGTACTAAGCGAAATAAGAACAGTAATAACAATGATAATAATAGTAATAGATAATGATAGTAACAATAACTACCATAGTAGTTGTAGCAATAATATTCATTGTAATAATGACTAATGATAGTAACCAGAATTGTACTAGTAATACCCTGCTCCGGCCTCGGCAATTTCAATTTCGTACTTTCTTTGATTGTAGTCTATGACCTCGGCGAAGACTCTGATGACTGAGAAGGGAGTTTCCGAAAATTAGGCTATAAGGGCTCCTTTCAAAGGGCTCAATAAGGGTTTAGGGTTTCCGAACATTAGGGGTACATTTTTGGGGGTTCCTTCAGAGGGCTACTATTGGGGTACCATAAGGCTCAATATGGGTTAAGGATTTCCGAAAATTAGGGGTACCTTCTTTTGGGGTCCTTGTAGTCAGGGGCCTACTAGTTTAGGGTCCCTATTTTCGGAAACTCCCACAAGGGTGCACCAGCTCTGGATATGTCCGTGTACACAGATGATCACGACATCAGCACGGACATCGGAGATCATCTGAGGAAAAAGTCAGACACCCATGCAAGCATCCAACGAAGATCCGTCAGGGCACTACCTCTTCATCTGCAACCAACTATGACAACAAGAAGATGTGAGCTCCGTCGAAGCCTGTGCTGTTGCCTTCGATTGTTGCTCCTGTGTAAAGATGTACTGGCGCCGGTTTCGAAAAGACACCGCAGCCGCAGCCGGAGTGGTGGACGGGCTGACGCACAACAAAATGAGCGTGAGCAGCAGTGATGACTGCCATCCACCTACTCTGGATGGAGAGCTTGTAGCACAGCACCTAGAGAACGAAACGGCAAGCAATGCATGAGTCAAGGTCCACCACTTCCTGAGACTCGTCTTGCAGACTTCGCTTGGCCATGTTGGAGCATGAATGAGGCATTGCAATGCTGCAAGCACTGCTGGTCCGGTCTTCAGCGTCTTGTTCTGGGATGCCTGCGATGCAGTCCCCGACAGTCAGCGTGGCGAAATTCCTGCGGCTTTCGTTGTCCGACAGTTGCCCAAGCCGTTCAACTCAGACCATTTCTCCTCAAGGAATTCTCCAAGACTGCCCGAGGGTTGTGGATTTCGAGAAAATCCTGGCCGCTCAGCGGGGCATGTTGCAAGCACGACATCTTCTGCAAGCCGAGCTGGCATGGCAGAATGAACAGGCTGGAGCTTGACAAAGCTCCCCTTTGGCAACGAGGTGTTTGTGATCTGAGCGGCGAGGCCAGCAATATCAATGCCACATGAATGGAAGTCTTCCCCATCGCTGAGCCGCAGGCTTCTACCCTGGAGCCGACTTCCAGGAGAAGGTTTTGCCTGGCGGCAGCCGATTACAGTTAGTGACTGCTGACTACCTTCAGGTCTGCTAGTTACATTCAGCCCAAGAGCAGTAGCCTGATTTCTGAGGACGTCACATCATCCAATATGGGAAGTAGCAGACTCCCTCTTCCGCCTATGACAAGACGGCGAGGAAGCATCCACAGAAGAACGTTTAGAAGTCAGCTGCCACGATCCACACGGTCCGAGTGCCGCACACTGAATTCTTGGACACCTCCGTGGGTAGATCTGGAGGTGGCGACGTTCGTCATCTGACACATTTCAGAGAAAAGAAACCTCGCCGATCACAAAAAGGACACTTCTCCCAAGCTCCAAAAACCTCGAAGAGCATGGGCCAGGAAATGTTCAGCCGTGCCAGCCGGTCCAGCGCGGACTGCGGCAGAATGATCCTGGCCGAGCATCTGCATCAGCTCAACCCTTCAGGATCTAGAAGCCCGCTGTGAGGTTCAACATCATCTCTTCATTTAATCTGCAAATTGAATAGGAGAGCTGCAGCAGCACAAAATCAGCCACTTAGCTACTGAGGCCACATGCACATGCAAGAGCTAGCAGCTCTGGAATAGATCACATCCCGCCAATTCTTCCAAAATCAATATTTTTTAATGAGACAATATATAATATATAATATCCATATATTTTATCTCCAGCGCCATTTTTATCTTTTGGAGAGAACTAACTTCTGAAAGCCACTGCTCCCTCTTTTGGGGCTCTTGCTTGCAACCGGCTTTAAAGAAGGCGACTCCAGGGTCTTGCCGAGCTCGCAAAGTGCAAGATGAACACTGAAACGAATCGCAGATCATCTGCAGCTCGTGCAGTCGTGATCTCTGGTCGGGAGGCAGGCTTCTTCTAGGATCAACTCACCCCATCCACAACCGTACCCTTAATGCATTGCTGTTCCTGATTCCGGTAGTGGCATTCTTAGTGCTGCTTCCGCTGTGGATTTGCCAGTGGCATTGCCCTGCTGGCACTATCTTTTCTGCTCAAGCTATCCTAATCAGTATCAGCTGCTATGACTGTCACCGTGTGATTGCCATGCTCTCCCTAGTCATACCACTGACAACTAAAATGACCGCTGCAGTTTGGAACTAGTACTTACTGCTGCGACCATTGCTACTACTACCACGACGTTGACGATCTGATCGGCGCGTTTGTCTGATCGTCGCGTTTTTGAGTTGTTTGAATTTCAGAAAGCACCAAGAAGAAGACGCGGTGGATTTCCGCCGCATTTCTGCTAGCAGGAACTCTCAATGACCTTTCAGCACGCTTGGCGGTGTATTGTAAAGCGTGGTCTGTTTTGACTGTGCTCGACTTCCGCTGCGTTCCAGAGCTTTAAACCTCTGAGCGGCAAAGGTGGGGATGATCGCGTTTGAGAGTCTTACAATCATGACGGGAGAGTTGCTGGAAGTAGAGACACCAAAAAGGGCGGTCTGCTCGACTAGAGGCATTCGCACTACAATGCGGCCGGGCACACTTGTTTCCCTTTTCCAGCTCTTCTTTGCCCATGAAGCTGACCTCAAAAGGTTCATGCAATGTGGGGTGTTAAACAGCAACACGGACCTGAAAACATCAACATCTGTGTGCGCGTGTGTCTGCATGACCGATGTGGTGAAGACATATGAAGACTTGTCACAACTCCAAGCCGGGCACCGGATAAACGTCATACTCCGCTTTAAAGTTGCCTTCGCAGTCATCACTCGCAGAAAGGAGAGCTGTACAGGCAAGAAGCCGTTCAGGCAGTCACCTCTGGCATTTTGGCCAAAGAAGCCAGCTGGGCCGCCTGAGTTGCATCACGGATACACAATCATCAGTCGGCAGAAAAGCTTGCGGCAGCAAAGGAGAATCCGAGTCGTCTGCGACCCTCACCGCCGCCGCCCCCACCGAAGAATCCTCCCCCAAACATCGGCACCTGGGGCTGCAGGCCACGAACTTAGCGTCTGTCTTCTCGAGGGAGCAGCACGGCATCACGGCATAGAATCACAGTCAGCGGGGCCGGCACCGATACGAATTGAAAGCCAATCAGCGATGGCCAAGTTAGGCTGTCTGTACAGTAAAGCTTGAAGTCAAACAGCGAAGCATGGAAACGCAATAGCAATGCCTTCTTCGCGAAGCGCTGAACAAAAACACTATCAACAACATCCCAATGAAGCCACTACCGTGGTGACCATTTCTCCGCAGGAACCGACTCCGGCTTCGAGCTCCGGCGCGCAAGCGCCGCTCGTTGCTTGGTCCAACTCTGACTCCACCCGGCGCCGGGTCGCTCCGCAGGATGACGACGTGTCTGCAGCTGGGAGGCCAGGCGCTTCAAGAGGAAGCGGGGGCCCGGGAGCCGCCAGCCTGGTCCCGTTCTCCTGGGATTTCTGGGCACCTGCACCTTCTCTTTCGCCTCGTCGATGCTTCGGAACTGCTGCAGGCGGTGCTACGATCTGCGAGGCCCCACTTCGGCTCAGTATGGCTTGAAGCCACAGCTTCGTTGGCTGCGCTCCACGTCGGCAAGGGCCTGCGAGGGCTCTGATCTGTCCCGGCAAGCAGCCACGGCAGCCTGGGACAAGGAATGCAAGCATGCCCCCGAGAGGAAGCAAACAAATTCGAGCCTCCAACACTTCCTGCCCAAGCTCAACTCCGATGAAGACAAGAAAAAAGACCTGCCAAAGATGCCTATGTGGCCGGAGGAAGGAGGCAGGATTCGCTAAGGTGACCGCCACGATCAAAACCTCCGAATTCGGCTTTTCAACTGCAGGATGAAGCCTTCACGGGATCTGCCCACGTTTCCAGAGACACCTGGCCAACAGGAGCTTGCATCACTACGAGACAAGCACGTACTAGTACTAGTATGTCAGTATGTACTAGTACTAGTACCTTCCATGAGGGACTGGATCTCCTGCACTCAACCCTAAGACACGGAGTCCTAAACAACGGAATCTTACAGTCAGGACTCAGAATCAACCCAGCACCGAATTGAACCAAGGACAGATTGCTGTGCCTGATCCCCGACCCCTTGGAGGAGCATCACTCCGCGGCCTGTCACCGTTCAAAAACCAAGGCATTCATGAAATTTGTCATCATAGCAGTAGGACAGAGTAGAGCCAAAGAAGCGGAAGCAACGCGAGGTGATGTCGTCTCAGCAAAATTCAGAGTGACGAGGAGGTGTCAAGATCGGCGCAGCACTCGCTAAAAGTCATTATAATCACCAATACTCAATAGGCTCCATAGCTATTCCGCTCGATTCCGGGTACTGGTTCAGTGTGCGGCGCTGAAGCAGCACCCCAATTTGAGGCTGAACGAGAATCGAGCTTAAGAAACATGCTAGCCCAAATTGTAGCAGCACGCTGGATTGAGGAGGAACGATTGATTGAGGAGGAACGATTGTGTTGAGGCGGAACGGCCGATTAGAGAAGCCCTCACATACAACAGTACTGCTGTTATTCTTGCTTTTGTGGCCATTGGTAAGATCTTCAGTAGCTTTTTCTTGCATCGGTATAACATGGTATAACCACAAATCGAAGGGGACATAAGGGAACCGCGTGAACTCGAAATGCACTGGACTGTGGTTGGCATCACTGGGATGAAACAACAAGCGAGGAGCCCTATCGCGGGGACGGCACACAGCGGGATCCTGTCTCAGACGCACGTCAAGCATCAGAGGACAATCCGTTTGCGCAGGAGTATAACTCGCAACAATCGAGACAGCAGGCAGACAACAGTTCTCTCATCTTCAAGCGACGCAGAAACATAACTGCTTTGACACGTCTCTCAATGCAGTTCTTGCCTGAAATTTGCACCAGGCCCTTGATGCGCCAGACCTGAACGGAGAACAGGCTATGCAATTCCGGCGGCGCGGCCCTGCTGTAGTCTTCTTGAAACCCCACGGTGATTTCAGGACAGGCCAACAAGAAGCGTTGCTTCCCTGCTGTGCTGCACTACCATTCTTGACCGTGATCAAAAACTTTGGCCACCTGCATGAATGGACGAAGGTCGGCTTGCTGTTGACCGGTCGACAGGACATCCAAACCACGAGACTGCTCGGAAAGCCAGCCTCAGCTCCGGGAGTGGACGTGCGACCGGCCTGCATTTTGCAGATCATGCGGTCTTCAACGATGAAGCCACTACTGGCTTGAGAAGCGATGGCAATATCGCGTCAAGACAAGGAAAGTGCTGCACTAGCACCAATCTTAAATAAAGTCTTAAAGCACCCCAAGCTTGGCGTCTGGGGCGTCACCTCGCCAAGGAGTAGTTCCTTGGCCAGCCGTCGCAACGAATCCTGCGAGAGCGGCGAAGAATGGCAGCAAGACTCGCAGGTATGCAGCGGGTTCCAAGCTGTAAAGCAGAAGCTATCGGGATGTGTTTGGAAAGCCTCCTCAGATAGGGCTATGTTGTGACATTGTCCTGTGCCACTTGTTTGGCGCGTTTGCACGGTTGCACGCCTTTCTGCGAAGTTTTCATGCACATGCTAATGTGGGAATAGGCACACAGTCGATCATGCATGAGGTCATGCATCAACACCGCCCTGGCCATGCAACCTCACCAGGTCACAATGCCCTTGCAGCCCACCTCCATCAAACGTGCGCCCTCGGGCAGGATCACTGTCCGGCGGTCCACTGCATCGAGATGGCCGGCCTGGAAAGCAGAATCTTCCAAGCGTGGGATTAGCGACCAGAATCTCAGCAGCTGTCAAGATGGGAGAATCCGACCCAGTCCGACCCAGTACCAAAAAGATGTGCCGGTAACTGTGCATTGACGCTGAGAGACACAAGGCAGATTGGTTCAACTCCTTTTCTTGAAGGTCAGGGCAGCTCGGTTTCCTCATCATCCCTCTCAGCATTCAAATATCGTGCAGCAGTGCGCAAGCCTGACGGGCTGCCACTGTCCCACACCATTTCGCTTCCGAAGCCGAGGATGGCCCCTCCATATTCCAGAGTGCGAAACTTGCAGGTGTCGTAGGAGTCGCAGAGCATGGTAATGGTGTCATCAACACCTTTCCGGAACAGCTTCTCTATCGTTTCCATGGTGCAGGCTGTAGCAGACCCATAAAAGCTGTGATGGTACATTGCCACCTTCTTCTCACGGCCGGGAAACGGAAGCACTCCACCTTCACTGAACAACCAGCGCACAACCCAGCAGCAGCTTCTTCAGACCAGAAAACACACACATGAAAGTCTGAATCATGCACCCCTGCCACCTCCATCACAACAACGCCCAAGCCGCTTGAGGCCATCGATTTCCCGTCCGACAAAGGCTCCAGAAAGAGAAGCCTCTCAGGGCAGGAAGGGCTCTGCACCTGAGAAACAGAGCCAAGCTTCCTAGTCTTCGGCTTTTTTGCGCTCGAGTGCCTCTCCACTTGCTTCGTAAGCCTGCACACACTGCTCTCGGTTGGCAAAATGATGCAGAATCCAGTTCTGCCACTGGAACACGGTCCGTCCAGCGGCGACTGCTACATATCCCCGCTGCCGCACTCGCTCGAAAGCTGCATCGTCTTGGATTACCTTTCCTGAGCGGAATGCTCCCTTGTTCACGAAACGAACGAAGCAGCGCAAGCAAAGAAAAATGGGGAAGGGCGGGAGACTGAAGTCGTAACGCTACACGTTTTGCAACCAGACAGGGAAGCCAAATCCCACCGGTAATGGTCTTGGATTGCTAAACGACATGCTGAATGCCACCTGATCGGATTTATGTGAACAGACACGCGCGCGCTGAGACAGCCCAGGTCGCGATAGATTTGTGCCCAGAGGGGTGTAGTTCGCCAAAGCTGGCGCAGGGATGCGCGAGGTGTCTGCTCTGTCCATTTGGCATAGACCATGTAGTAGGTCAGCAGAGTCCTGCCCAGCTCCGTTACGTCGACAGAGAAGCCGAGAGCAACGCTGCTTCAAGATGCTCCTGTCCTGCTGCTCCTCTCCGGGTCCGCCAGGGCCAGGATGGCGCTCGCCGCGCCCCCGCTGGCGCCCACTATGTCCCGCACGCGGAGGAGGCCCCAGGCCCTGGAACAACACAGTGCCACGGCTACGACTGCTACGAGCACCACCACCACTTTCACCACCACCAGCAGCACCACCGTTGCATCAAAAACCAAGTGGCTCGATGAGCGACAAGACGGCAAAGCTCCCGCCGCAGGCGACCGAGTTGTAGCCCGCGCCTGAGGCACGAGGGCGCTACTGTTCTCAGTTGCTTCCCAGAGTCACGAAGCGTCCGTCCTGGCCAAATGACATCGACTTCGAGTGTTCCGGAAGCATCGACGGGCCAACGCCTGACCTCCAGGGTACTGCAGGATTTGTGTGAGTTGAGCGCCCAGGTCAGCCGTCCTGCCTGTATCCGGTTCTTGAGTGTGTCCTTGATGTCTGCCTCGTGCTTCGTGACCGCATAGACGGCATAGCCAAGCAAGTCGTCCAGCAATTTCTTGCAAGCTTCGTCTTCGCAAACTTCCTTGAGGAGTGCGTCCAGAACGGCCGGCCAGTCCGTTGCATCGCCCATTTCGGCAAGAGGCTTCCGGAGGCTGATCCCTTGTAAACTCGGCCGGTCTTTCATGCATATCTCTGGGAGTGCTGCTGTGCTACTTCTTGCGGCATGATGCGGCATGTATGCCTTCCTGTCCTGTCTGGCGACAAAAGGGGCTGCAACATGAAGATGAAGAAGAAGAGGCTCAAAGACCCCCCCAAGCCTAGGACCATAGGCACTGAGGCGATGGCAGTCCGAAGCTTTGGCACCGTTGCGCCGCAGAAAGAAGCCGGAGCTGGCGCTGGCGCTGGCGGCCCTGGGCGACGACCTCAAAGAGGCGACGACTTGACTTCGCGGCTCAAGGCCGAAATGGAAACTTCGCTGCCCAGCCCGTGCCCAGCCTACTGCAGGTCGACGGCGCAGCCTACATTGAGAGTTGAGACCGAAGAGTATACGTGGCATAGCTGCTGTGCAAAGCGGAAGCCGGTGGAAGTCTCAGGGCCCGTCGGGGGAAGCGGTGGGAGTGATGAATCTGAAGGTGGAAGCACCTGAGGCTCAAGGCCTTCACCATCACCAGCTTCAAGCCCTCCGCAGCCCGACTTTATCGCGCGGAGCCTCGGCCAGTGGATTCACGTTCTCCAGCAAGGTAGCGACCTCCTCCACCGCCGCACTCGCCAGATCACACTGCCAGGGTTTGAACAGTAAAAACGATGTTGTAGTCGAAGTAAAATTCACTCGACAGCACAGAATACCGGAAAAACCTTGAAGATAAGGGCTTCACCTTGCTTAGAATGATCTGGTCGGCGAAGGCAACCTGCCAACATGCGATGGCACGGCCGTGGATTTGAATGGTCGCGCCACACGATATGTGTTCTCTTAATGGATAAACCAGGACAGGGCCAAAGCACCACGCGGTGTTCCCCGCATTTGAGCACTTTCCCGTTTAGAGTTTGCCGCGTCTGCGGCAAACTCAGACGGCACTCGGCTCAGGGCCAAAGTGAAACCTCCCTTTGAGCCACCTGCTTCTCCCATCCGATCTGTGGCGCCTGGCGCCAAAAAGTCTTCAGCACCGCGGCTTTCCCGAGACTTAGCACCTCCGGGGCAGTGTCGGATTCGGGATTATCTTTGCACCCTGGCGAAAGAAGAGTGAAGGAATGTGAAGGGCGCATTGCACCGGCCGTAACCGTCGCCTGCGGGACACCAGAGTTGTAGCCGAAGCCGCTAGACCTCAGCGCAGACTGACACGAGGAAGGTGGCTCGCCTTGAATACTTTGGTGCCTGGCCATGAAGGGACAGAAATGTCATGGGCGCCTTGTTCATGGCGCCCTGGCCCTGGCTCCACCACAGGCAATCTCTTGCACAGAGTTTTTTAGCGGACGGGACCTGGAGCACCTCCGGGAGCCCATCGGTGCAAGGTGTTGACATCCACCTAACGCGCAATGCGTTGCAATGCACTTTGCTGCAGACCCGGCGGCGACATTTGACATCTGCTCCCAGGGCTATGCAGCGACGCCCAGACAGTCTAGCTCAGCTGAAGCACTGAGTTTGCTCAAGCAGCTGCACTTCAAGGATCCCAGCCACCGTCACAACTCCATCTAAGTAGAGGTCCTTCGCGCAAAACCATGGCAACGTCGTCAGCACGGAACCTATAGCTTCAGAACGACTCCTCGGCCAGCGGATCGCCGGCATCATCCAAGAGCGAAATCACCTGCACGCTCGCACTGGCTTTGCAAGCTTGTAGCACTTCACCGGAGCCCAGACGGGCCCGACGTCGGCCAGGCCAGTGGTCTCGATGAGAATCCGGTCCACGGCTCGCTCCCGATGCCGGCGGATCAATGCCTCGAAGGGAGCACCGCAGAGCAGAGCCGGCACAGAGCAGAGCGCAGCCCGGGCCGGGTGCCTCCAGAGCGGCAATGAGGTCCACCTCTGCGGAGCAGCAGAGGCAGCCTCGTCTCGAGTCTCGAGGGCTTGAGAGATGCGCTCTACTCTTCTCTCTTCTGTCTTCGGCAAGTTCCGCTAAGGCTAAGGTGTCTCGGACTGGGAGGCACACCGTTGGCCAGCTCAATCACACCATCGGCCTCCGTGCGGCCAAAAAGCGAAAAAAAACAAGGTTGAAAAGCCACCCAGTCAGCATCGCGCCTCGGCATGAGCGTTGGCCACCAGCGCCCCGTCCACACCCAGCGACCCGATCTCATTCTCGATGACGGCGATCTTGTGGCCGGGAGACCAAGGGACAAGCCGATAAGCCGCTGCCGTTTTTTCAAGTTCCAAGCGCCCAGCACGGCTGCGACCCTCCCGCAGGCTTGCATTCAGCCGGGCCTCGCTCGGAAAAATGGCAGCGCCGGTGCCACTTCTCTGTGTGAAACAAACCTAAGGCCCTGAGGTTGCGACCGTCTTGCCTGCGCCGAGAAAGCCGGTGAGGATCGTCACCGGCACCTGCAGGGCAAAAAGTCTCCTTGCTGCCGGCTGCGACTGCAGGAAAGAACCATTCGACAAACTGTGCACGCTGAATCAGGGACAGGACACTCTGTCCCTTCCGGACACACAAGAACCACCTGCTTCCGATAATCCTCCAACAAGCATCTTGCAACAGTCCAATAGCAGAAATCCCACCCTGCCTTCAGACACGCTTGCTCCTCAGAGCCATCTGTTTGCATTTTTGCAAGCTCGCCGCTCGTCACGCTGCTGGTGTTTGACTTATGATGGCATGGTTTTGTGGTGCCATCACTGGTTTGTGCGCGATGGGCTCTAAAGGCACTGCTTGGGTCTACTGCACCTCGAGGCTCGCCCGGCGGAGACAGGTGAACCGGAACGGAGGATCACATCGTGCCACTGGCATCAGTTGCTCAAATGCAGGCAGCCGTTCACCAATGCAGGAACGATCGATCCCATTTCTGCAGCACTGCGGACGGATTGGAGCTGTAGCACCCAGAAACCAGTGCCGCTAGTGTCAACGCGACTTGCGCCGCTCGAGCTGGCTAGGCTCTGAGCCCTGTCATGGGCCGACTCCCAAAGAAGAGCAAGCAATGCAACTTAACGGATCCAAAGCACCTAGAATGTGGCTTGCGATCCTTGAGGGGTGGCCCAGCACCAACTATGCTAAACCTTAAACCTTCTGGCAGCACGGCAGCACACGCTTCGCGTGCACTCCCTTGCTACTTCCACCTAACTAATGCTCGGCCCCTCGACTACCAGTATCCTGTGCTTGGGACGCTTGGGACATGAGGGTGTGCAGAGCCTGCTGCTCGAGGCTGGTCGAATCGAAGTGCTCTCCCAGGAGCCGGTGCAAAGCTTCCAGCGCGGCCTTGGCAGCCCCATTTTTCGTCTCTCCTTCAGAGAGAGAAATCTCGTTGGGAATGCGGCCTCTGCCAAACTGGAGGCTTATTCGCCAGAGATGAGCACTTCTGTCCTCACTCCCACCCACCCAAACTGGCGGATGTACTCTGCCCCTGGCCCAGTCGATGAGTCTCTGCCAGTCGCTCTTCTCGGCTTTGCGTTCGTTTGCAAAGCTGCGGGGCAGGACCTCTTTCCAGCTAAAAGCATGGCTTGCATACAGCGACATCATGTCAACATGCCTGCTTCCCTGCTTGGCATTGTGTATCAACACTGTCTTATACCCAGCGTGTTGGAGACGCTGCAGGACATCTGTGAAGTCTTGGTCCGATGTAATGAGGACGAACACTACGGAATGTGCAGGAATCTCGTACTTCCCATACAGCAAGGCTGCCTTGTCAATCTCACCCTTAATCACATGATCTGCAGCTTCTGGCTTGGATTTGCAGTTCACTGCTCGTATAGCAGAGTCTTCCAAGTCGTCAACTACGCGTGGACTATCTGCAAACCGCCAAGTCGGAGCGACCGCCCACATCTGCGCTGCAAAACCACCGATGTTCCTGGCATCCAAAAAATCACGGAGGGCTTTGACAACTTCTCTGCCGTTCTGTTGCATCTCGTCCCAGCCGACATTTTCGATGTCCCAGAAAAGGCGCACCTCCTTGACGGTGGCCCAGTAGTGTCGGTGCATAAGCCCTGCGAAAGCATGATAGTCTGTGTACTTGAGCAGCCTGTCAACAACTAGCTTCGCATCATCACTGCGAGCAGCCTCATCGTGCAACAGCCGCGCAATGTCCGCTGTTGCAATGTGCGCTTGAGTGCTTATGTCCTGAAAGTGGTTCTCTAAGCGAGCTAGGAACTGGCTGTGAATCTTGGCTTTCTTGTGCACAGATGCATCCTGGTCGGTCTCCTCTTGCGTTTGCAGCCTCCCGAATGGACTGCAGTCGGCATCCCAGACGGGAGCCTCTTGCCGAAGAATGTGGTCCAATTTCTGTGCAACCAGTGCTGTTACCAGAGGTCCAAGCGATGGAGCAGCAAGATGGGCGTCTTCCGGGCTGTGCGGCAGTGAGCTTGTCGGCTTCTGTTCTGCGGCCGCAGCACGCAAACAGCTGTCGCCTTTATCGCCGCGACGTTCCTCTTGCGACACTTGTCGATGCTCAGCATCTGGCATGTAGTGCACGGTAGATTTAGAACATCCGCTTCCCATGACTAAAGAGGGCTATCACTGTACAAATACACGCTCAGAATGCGCGAGCCCAGCGCTGCAAGATGCAAAACAGGGTTTGGGGTGGTGTGGGTGATTTTGTAAACCCATCCTGTTCTGGCTCATTCTGAAGATGTGTGCATTTAGCGATTGTGGGCACATTACGTCGAACAAATGCTAAGCTCTTTTGGAACCATGCACCTTTGTGTGTGAATGTACCCGTCTTTCGAAGCATCGAAACACGAAGCTAATCGGTTTCGCACGAGTCTCTAACGTTCCTACTGGAAACTTTTAGATGCACTGTTGCAGGTTGCCGCAGTAATTTTGAGGTCTTGTCAACACAGCTCTTGTCAAGTAAGACTGCGCATTTCCTTCAAAGGCTTTTCCGTCGGTTCTATGCTGTGACAAACCACGGGAAGGAGGAGTCTTTCTGGGCTACAAGAGAAGTTCTTGGGAGGTATTCTCGCAGAGTGCAGGATGGCTCGTCTTGGGGTGGACTCATGGGATATTCTCTTTGCAGGGGGAAGGGCAGGGGCAGGGGCATGGTCCGAAGTAAGCCTTAAAGGCCAGAGACTGCCCTCGTTTGATGCCATACTTTCCCTTGTCGAGCTCCGAGATGGAGCTGGAAGGGCACATCTCGTGCCCAAGCCCAAGGAACATGCCCCGTTCAAACTCCAGACAAAGCAGCATCCACCTTTTGAATTCCATCTGGATGATGGCTCCGTCATTTACTATCCTACTTGGCTGGTTGCCAGTCGTCCGCTCATATTGCTAAGTCTTGAACTGATTATGCATTCGACCAGCCACCGACCTTTCTGGTCAAACGCAACGATTCTTTTCTCTGCAAACCGTCACTGGGGAGTCGTCTCTGTAAGGGTGAGCCCCTTAGAAAATGCATCTGCGGGCGGGTCGCACGTCTGTGGAGTGCAGATGACGGCAGACGTCTCCCCCGGCAGTTCGCCCAGACTAAGGCGACTAAGGTCACGGATGCCCGGCAGACATCATCGGCTGAGTCCTTCAAGGATTCAAAGGTCCACGGAAATGTCGAGGCCTTGGCCAAGATAGATCATCGGAGAAGTCTTGGATTCCGGTGAGACGATGTGGATCTACTGGCAGACACGACCGCGCTGAGGCAGAGCGTGTCTGTCTCACACACTTCAGCCTACAAAACCGTCAGTTCGCTTTTACAACTTGGAGATGGGATTCGCATAGCCGCCAGCAGTCACACGATCGCGAATTCTGTGCAGGGCCATCGGCCGGGCAGCTCATCTGAAAGGCTGTCTGTCATAAGGCTAAGACTAGGAAAGCTGAATGGAATTCGTAACTCAGCCGTGGTGATCGCTATAAGCCCGTAGAAGCCGAAGCTCGTTGACCCGAGGTGGCAGCTGAGCTCCATTCTTTGGCTCAGCTTGTGAAGCTCTCGTCATCTACGCTGTCTTCCATCTCACCAACCTCACCCTCCTGTAAACTGTATTTCGGCGAGGTCCTTTCAAGCACTTCGCTTGGGGCATGTTGGCATGTTTCAAACTCCTAAGGGATAGGAAAGATGCCCCTGAACCCTGGCCTTGCTGGCTGCACGGCCGACTTGAAGATGGGACTGCAGAGAAATTGCTGGAGGGACTCGCTCTCGCAAGGCTCGCAAGGGGCCCAAGGGGCCCAAGGGACCCTGGGGCCTGGCCACCGGAGGGTTCGTCGCAGGCTCCAGGAGGTCTTCCAGCAGAAAGCGCGTCTGGGCACCAGCCTTTCTCGCACTCTTAGTCTTGTGGCTGACAGACAGGCAGAACAAAGAACCCAAGGCAGCCTTGACGAGCAGTCGGACAGCCTGGTGCAGAATGACAGTCTGTCCAACGGATTCTGTGTACGCTGTACGCTTGACTTCGAGGGTGCAAATAAAGTATATAAAGCGTGACGCTCAGATTCTGTCCAGCTCGGCATTCCGGCTGGGACTGCTGGGGGTGGGACCTCCAAGACCTCCCTCACGTCGTTGAAGCCTTCAGCCGTTTCCTCTCGGGGCAGAGGTTGCTTCAGTGCTCCATGTGTTGGTCCTGCGCGAAACCTCTGCCGCATGCAAGCAGCAGCCACGCAAGGAACAGCTAATATCTAAAGGCATAGTTACCATGCCTTGTCGGCTTCTCCAGAGTCAGCATTTGCCGAGTTCGGTGAACCTGTTGAAGCAGTGTGCTTGGTCTTGCACTCTTAACTGACAGCCGTATTTGCCGCATTTCAGACCATCTCTGAGTATCGTTGGGCAGGACATCAGGACGGAGTGGTTTCTTGGCCCGAAGCTTGTCAGTTTCGACCCGTGTTTAGACTCTCGTCGGCGCAGTAACAACACACAACATTCCTCGTCGGCCCTGATCTGAAATACACTCCGACGACCTGCATACGTGACAGTACAGTCGTATGTGACGTTGCGGGCAACCAGGCATGTAGCCAGAGCATCACGGCATGACGACACGGTCCCTTGGAGCACCTGCGGTCCGGGACAGCTGACGAGATCAAAACCGGCCTTCCACCATCCGGTTGCAGTCTGCAAGCTGGGCATTCATCGCCTCTGCACACTTCCGCACCGTCAAAAAAAGCCACTCAGTTCCGGCTCAAGTCTCGTATGACAGAACATCGTGACATCGTCCTGTTCACTGTCACTACGCAGCACCTTCTTCGACGGAATGGCGATCAGGTTCACCACCTGAAGCCTTGCCAGTGGAAGCTAGGAATGGGTCGGTGCCTTTTGGAGATGGGCTGCTCACACACAAACACAAAGAGCTCAGTGCCCTTTGTTGTCTAGCCAATGGGACAAATCCTGAAAATCCTCACCGATGCGTCACAGAAGCCCTCCCTCGGCCCATCCCTCAACAAACAGGTCAAGCCGGCAGCTCCCAACCACAAACCACTCCAGCGTCGTCGGCTGGCCTTGTGGGAGGGCATCATGGTCGCAGCATCCCATCGATATGTGTGCACAATGCACGGGAAAATCCCAGAGATAGTGGAACTTCTGAGAAACCTGCCCACGATGGATGAACTCGCGGAGCACATTTACAGCCTGACGAAAGCACAGAGCACTGACCAACACCAGCGCCAAGCAGTCGATTGAGCATAGCATAGGGATGTGACCAACAAAGCAAGTGCAACGTGAAGACACTTGTCCGGACTCCTGTTGTATCTTCACTGGCAGTTGTTGCACCTTTTGGCCGTTGCCCTCAGCAGCGGCTGCCGTGCCGCAACTGCAGGAGAACACATGTGACAGTGCATGATCAGGCCCAGACGGAAGTTACTGTCCAAGCACTTACAAGCCTATGCTTAGCTGGCGTCCGGTTCTGGAGCTCTTCCGTCTTGCTCTTCTTAGCAACACTCGAAACCCTTTTCGCTCACCCTGCAGTAACATTTCACCGTCGTCAACTACTGCAAGATAATGCCACCTCCTCACAACCATCACCAATGCCTCTCCGACTCGTCGTTGAAGTATCGCAGCAGGGCAATATCCAAAGCTGTCCTACTGCGAATGACTGTTGCAAAACTTGTGCAATGGCCGCTAATGGAGGTCGCCCAGATGTCCTTCCGTACACGTCTGCCACGTTCAGAGACACGTACCTGCAAAGCATGCGCGCTGTTGGAACTAGGTCTAGGCCGGGTGCTGGAGGCTCCTTCTGGCGCCCTCTTCTGGTTCTGAGGCTCCCGCTGGCGCCTCCACCACCCGCCCCTCATCGGCCCTCCCACGCGCCCCTGGTGCCTCTGGAAAGTCTCGGCCTGCTTCCCTACCCCATCCTCCAGTTCCCTTCCGCCGTCTTCGCGCACTCACCCGACGGCCGGTTGCCGAGGCGTTGCAGGAGGAACAATGCTCATGATGCTTGCATCGTGCTTCGGATCCGGCCTGCGAGCAATACTGAGAATGGATCATCCATCCCCAGGTGAGGCTATTCGCGAAATCGCAGGGTCGGAGTCGGTCGGGACTCGAGAGCTTGAACCCCTCCCTCGCTTCTAGCTCTACCAGCGCGTCGTTCACAGCACTTCTGGGAAAGGCTCCGAGACGGTTGATCTGGATCTGGGGGGCCGGCTGCGGTGATGGCCCCCAGGCTGACATGCTGCGATACCTCAGCATCATGTGGAAGACTTGCAGACAGGGCTTACGGCCAATGTTTTAGGTAAGCGGCTGCTTGTTCATGGCCTCGACCTGAGCGCAGACAGAGGCCAGCGGGTCACCACTTGCGGAAGCGTCAAGAGCGGGGCCAGGCAGGGTACGAGGTGCCAGTGGCCCATCTGGCAGGCCAGGTGTAGCGGAGTGAAGCCTCGGCCGACATTTATTACCATCACGCCCCAGACCTTGCAATCTCCATCGAAGTGTGAGACTCCGGTACACTAGCACACCCACTCTGCCAAGACGCCGAGGAGACTATCCGGCGAGCTGCGGGCGCCCTGAGGTGAAAAATGCAAAAGCACCCACTGAAAAGGAGCGAGGCACCTGAGTGGAGCTGAGCCTGAGCCACCAGAGCTTGAACCAGCTCAATTGAACCACGCTCCACTGCCTCCAAAAGCTCAGGGAGCCAGCCGAAAGAATCCGAAGATGCAGCAAGTACTGGTACCGTCTTCTTTTGACCAGATGTCCGAGGCACTGCCAGGAGAGGAGTCCAGCTGTCCCTTGCCCCGCGGACATCCACCTCGAGCAGAAGACACTTTTGAAAAAGACGAGCTCCCCAAGCTTCGCCAACGAGAGCCAAGCAAAGCCTCAGGTCCCAGCCGAGAAGTTATAGCTGCATAGAACCGAGATTAGCTGAAGCTTCCTGTCAACATGCAAGGCATGCGGAATTCAAGCCGAACATCGAACCCAAAAGCCAGGAACCAAGATCAACCGCGAAAACGAAATCCCCACCTCCGTTCAACATGAAACACACACCACACGCAGAAACTAGATCTTCTTGCGATTCCGATGCCTCTTACACAGTAGAACTTCAACCCATCAAAACCGTGCAGGCATTCGCAGGGTTGACGGCCGTCTACACCGTACGCAGTGCCTCGCAAGCCCAATGACGTCGACTTCGAGTGTTCCGGAAGCATGTACAGGCCCGCCCACGCGCAATCTCGCGCTCGTCAAACGCTTTATGGATTGGGCCACCGAAGGCACCAAGTCACCAAAAACGTGATGCGTACCGATGCATGTTCTTCAAATGTCTTCAATGACGATGAAGAAATGCAGATGAATCGAACGGCCATTCACCAAGCGATGGGAAAATGGCGAGCCGGTACTAGACCCAGTCCGGAAAGCTTTCGGAATCATGCCAGGCTCGCTGTTCGAGAGTGCCTTGCCCTCTCACCACCATGATCTTAGACACAAATCAAATGAAGAGTCGGACTACAAGCCTCTGCTGCCACGAACTGCATCTGAGAATGCAACCATTGGTGGATCGCCTAAAGTGGAAGTGTCAATATCTTCCCACCTCAGCCGACAATGTGAAAAGGAATGCGCTTCCAGAGTTGGGGTGAACCCGACAAGATCTCGGACTGAGGCCAGGGCCCAATGACTCCGAGCAGCTCGCGGCGGGCCAGGTTAACTGCAGAGATACGCAGAGGCTGCTCATGAGGTGCTGGTTCAGACAGACAGACTCGAGACCGAGAGAGATAGCATCACAGACCGATCGATGAAGAGGGCACACACACACAAATACGTGCGTAAAGGCAGAAGCAACGCTGTAAGCCACAGATGAGCTCGGGCCGCGACGAGGCGTGACCTGCGGGGCAGTGGGATCGATCTGCAGCCGCCTGCAGAGCACCGCCAGAAGCGTTGATGACTCCGGGCCCTTGACCCTGCGAGAGCTATCGTGCAAAACTCGAAAGCACGACTTAAAATGAGGAAAGCATGCTCCCGTCAGATGCACACCGACACGCAGAAATGCTTCCTTGGTCATTCTTTCGTACCAACATCCCACCTGCAGGCCTGATGGAGCCCAACTCGTGCCCAATCCCACTTCTTGCACTGGCCGATGTGACGACAAGTTGGTACTGCACTGCGGTATCTAAAGCTGTGTGACTTGTGGGCTGTCTTGGTTGAGCTCCGCGTTCCGATACATTACTGGAAATATCTGAAATGGCGCTGCCCTGAGTCCCGAGCTGGCGGCGCCCCCACAGGCAGAGAGCCTGGCCGGAAAGGCAGTGCCCCATGCATTTCCTTCTGCCCAGAGTTCGGCACAGCGGAGACTACACCCTCTGCGCTGACAGAGCCCACTGCCACAGGCGGCTGCCAGCCTCCACACAGCCCACGTGTCCCAGAGAGCAAGCCAACGCCAAAGGCCTGGCATAGGGCAAAGAGAGGCTAAAAGTGGAGAAACTGAAGAGGAGGCTCCGTTAACATGCACCACCTGCCACCTGCCACTGTTGCCTTCAACATGTCAGCAGCACGTGACCTCACCCTCGCTCCTCACAGTTTTTCAGGCACGAGCGACGCAGGGAGTGCAGTTGACTGGGACATCCTTTTGGCTCGATACCCCAGATCCATCCACACGAAGAAGCCCTGTGTCTTTGTAAAGACTTTACAGGCTCTGATCACAGTTCACGTATGCTCAGGTCCTGGATGGGTCGGCACCTGCACAGCATGAGAAGGACTTGTGTTCCTTCGCAGACGACTGGGACAGCCGCATCCCGGCTGCCTGCGGAAGAGCTGGGAACGTGCGAACGCGGAGACCTAAAAGGGCAGCCCCAACGAGGCCCTACAAGCTCAAAGCACTGGCATGGGTTCCAGACGATCGATCGTCGTCTGCCTGCCAGCAGGACTCGACTCTTGCGCCAGTAGAAATCCTGCCGTTGACTGAAGTTACGAGATCAATTATGTGCATGCGAACATACGAAATGCTAGTAGCCTTTGCAAAAACGAAAGCATGAGCACAGCCCAGTATGACGCTGAGACCCGCGCAGACGGACGTCCCCGCCCCGGTCCACCTGACAGGCTGCCGAGAAGTAAATTCTGCACCAAGATGGAGATTGCGCAGTGCTTGCAATGATAGTACGGCAGCTTTAGTAAGCATATGAAACGAGTCACAGGCCTCCTGGACAAGTTTGCAACGTGGAAGGATGACACTCAAACGGTGCCACATCCAGCAAAAGAACTCTGACTGCACGCTGAGGCGGGATGAGGCGGGGGAGCGCCGGGCCGTAAAAATCTGTACAAGGCCCTGGGAACCTTTGCCTCACGAGGCCAGGAAGTAAAAGAAATTGCCTCACTTCACGCAGATGGTCTTCACGTTCACGAACTCCAGCATGCCGAAGGCCGCGCACTCCCGGCCCAGGCCTGAGTTTTTCACCCCGCCGAAGGGCAAGGAGGGGTCGGAGCGCACGAAGTCGTTCACGAAGCACATGCCGGCTTCGATCTCCTTCACAGCGAGCCGCTCCCCCTGCCAGGTATGAGAGAAATCAGAGGTGTCAGAGCCAGATTAAATCCAAATTCTTGCCGGACTGCTTCTGAAACTAGATGCCACAATCTTGCGCTTCGCACCTTCTGCACGTCTTTCGTGAACCTGGGTGCGTGAGCATGACAGCCCAGGGCTCATGTGCATCGCGTGTGGGACTCCTCGTTTCTTCCAGTCTGGAGCAAGCGTTAAGTCCTCTCCTCTTCCACTATTGAAACCACTTCGCCTGAGAAATTGTTCAATCCCAATCTTTCCGAAAAGGCATGCAGCTGACTCTGCACTACATGCCCCATCCACTGGGTGCAGACAGAGAGCACAGCTCCCGCAAGGCCATAACTTGTTTGATTCGCGAGCCGCAGGATATCCTCCTCGTCTTCGGCCTCTGCAACTCCAGAGTGTCCAGGCTCTGGACTCCGAATGCATGACTGCTTCAACTTCAGCTTCTCCGATTACTGTCGCTTGTCGTGACTTGCTGTAATTGGCACGCGCAACGGTTTAGCAGCTTTGTGCGGCTGCTGTCTAGAGGCTCTAACTCCAAAGGGTCGATTCATCCGCTTGGCCTCAGTGATGGCGATGACAGGCCCAAAGATCTCGGTCTCAAAGGCGGTCATGCCTCTCGTGGCAAGCTCTGAGGCTCTCGGCTACTTCGCTCTTCTGAGCGAGACCGGCCTGGCTTCACGTCCGTGAGCACGGTGGGCGGATAGAATGATGTGCCACAGTCGCCCGTCGGTGGCTCAGCCGGCCCGCCGCAGAGCAGCCTACGGAATTCAACAGATTCCACAGCGGATTCACAGCAGACAGCTGATGAAGATTGAAACACCGGACAACGTCAGGCTGCAGGACCGAACACCCCGTGCGTCGCGAATAGCAACCCAGCTGAAACCGGCCAAACACACAACTCTTGCAAGAAGTGCCTACTAAAGGCTTTGTTTGACTCTTGTTGAAAATGTGGCTCGAGACCCCGTTCAGAGTCCAAGTCCTCAATTCTGCAGATGCCCAACATGTGCCGAGTCAATCCTTGAGCGACAGTTCTGCTGAGAGTTTCCTGCTCGGGTGTTTTTACCCAGAACCTTGATTGGAATGGACTCCTGGACTTCTGAATCGCTGACAGCTTCAGATGACAGGTCGGTGCCTGGCCCCCTGCGCCTGGCTCTCCTCCACCTGTGCTGCCACGTCATCGCGGCCTTTGGGATGCACCAGGGGTCCAAAATCCACGCCGTACTTCCTGAGCTCAGCTTCCACTTTGCAAGCTGACTTCCCAGTATGCTCGAAAGAATCGATGTTGGCGAGGCTCTTCGAAGCCACCTTCTCTAACACTTTCTGCTCAAAGGCAGCCTTGATGCGCTTGTCCACGATGGCCCTCTTTGGGGCGATGCAGGTCCTCATTCATCGTCATCAGCTCTTGGGACTCTCGCGTTGCGAGACTTCACAACCCCAGACCCTAAACCCAACACCTCACGGACCACCAGAAGCTGAGCCAGGGTCTGCCCTGAGTTGGCTACGCGAGCATTCACCACGGCGTCTGCAGCTACGTCCAGATCTGCGTCTGCCAGGACCGCGTAGGCATCGCTGCCGCCCAGTTCTATGACGGCCTTCTTCAGTAATCCCCCAGCTTTGGCGGCGACTGCGCGGCCGGCACCCTCCGAGCCAGTCAGGGCAACTCCTGAGAAACTCGACATCACATGCTGGACCGGTGGACTGGGCACGTATCATCGATCAGCGAGGCTTCAACGAGCTGTCCTTGCACGGAGGGGTGCTCCAGAACAGTTGATACTTGCGGCACGTCAATGATCAGAGACCGGAAGAGACCATCTGGGATGCCTAGCTGGGCAAGCATATCCTCACAAGCTAGCCCACTGCCGAAGCAATTCGGGGCATGCTTCAACAGAACAGCATTCCCAGCCATCAGGGTAGGTATGCCCATGCGGATGACTTGCCAGATTGGGAAGTTCCACGGCATGACAGAAAGCACCGTTCCTCAACAGGTTTGCCAGGAAGGCATTAGCAGAAGACTGGACCCCATGAGAAGACATGCAGTCGAAAAACCCAAGGGCTGGTAGGTCACGAAGGACTTCTGAAAGCCTGGAAGGGCCGGATACTCCGTGTCTTCCAGGAACTTGGCCCCGTTTTCGACGTACCAGTCGACCTAAGGATGGATGGGAATGTAGAAACGTTGCAGAAATTGCATGGTTCCGACTGGGACTGGGCATTCCATAAGTTGATGACAGGTCGCTAGGTACGCGCACTTCAGCACCTCCGCCTTGCCTTGCTGGACCGGCTTCCCCATCTCTTGGCAAACGAGATCCGCAACCTGCCATCTTCTGCCCGCTTCGTTCCAAAACTGCCCCGGCCCTGCCCCAATTGCCCTGGAACCCCCGGGAACGCGGGCTGCCTATGACCTATGACTCTATGGCTACATCTGAGGAGGCTCAAAGAAGGCCTCCTCCGCTCGGCTGCGCAGTGCTGATGCCAAGGGCGCAAAGGCCGCCACCCGCTCCGAGGCACTTCGCCGGCGCCAGGCCTTCCAGACAATTCCGTGTCGCTGGACCGGTTCTTACGGCTCCGACCCAATAGAGTCCTTGAGTTTATGTGGGTTTTATACAGGTTCTTATGGTTCCGACCCCTAGAATCTACTAGAGTATATATGCGGGGGGTTCTAGTTTCAACACAGGTTTTCACCTCCGGGGTGAGAGCGTGACTTCGAGTCGTCGGCCGCTGTGGTGGCCTAACGCGTCTTTTTGCTCGGCCTCTCGGGCCTTTCTCTAAAAGCCAGAAAGTTGGAATATGATTATCGTAACCCCTTTAAGGTAAATTATAGGGATAGGTAAATTATAGGGGATCCTACCATTAATCCATATTCCAACTTTCTGGAGTTCCCTTTAGGCTCTTGCTCTTGGCTTGGGAATCTGAGTTCTCGTCTTTCGGTACCCCGACATTTCAAACCCAGGAAGAAAGTTGGCTCTGAACTTCACTGTCGATGGTCCTACTTTCATGGCCTGCTGAGCAGCGGCTGCACTTGACAGAATTTGCTGCACCTCGTCGGCGCCCCTGATTCCAAGACGGATCCATCCCATCGTGACATGGAGCAAACACGCGCCGGGTGATAAAGTGTGCAGCCTGGGAACATCTCTTCGTAGACTTTGAAAGTCTCCGAGGTTCGCGGATTGATCTGGGGGAACCTGATCTGGCAGAGCGTTTACCATGCTTGTTGCATTTGGCAGGTTGCCACCGCGGAGTCAAAGGCGTCAACTGACGTCTGCCGGAACGTGGAACGCGTGTCACTGAACGTGCCAAGAGACGTTCGCACACTTCGGCTCCCCAGCAGTGTACACAGCCGCAGGCTTGACGGCCGGGCTCGCTGAAGCATGGCCATCGGAAGTGAGGTTGCAAGCCCCCGGGACTTGTTCGTTGTATCTGCGCTCAAGGCAACTAACTATGGTGACATTCGTGTTTCGGCACGTGACGGATTGCTGGATCTTCGATGCTTCGTGGATACTACCAGCACTAGCACTAGCACCAGCTCTGGTCGTTGCTGCAGTGTGCCTGAAAATCACCTCTGCCGCAGTGGACCGAAAGCCACAAGAAAAGAAGAGGAACTCAGCACTCGCTGGGCTGCGACGTGCACTTGCTCTTCTTGCTCTTCGAGCCTTGAGTGCGGCGCAGCAGCCGCTTCCTGGCAGAACCAAAAAGAGCTAAGAGCTAAGATTGCAAAAAAAACGTATAGAAAATACAGAATCAGAGACAAAGAGGAGAGAGAAAGACACTCTTTTGCCGGGCCGAGTCCCGGACGAGCGCACGAGGGCGAGGCCGCCGGCCTCAGAGCGAAAAATCCCCCCCAAAGAAGCTGAGTCTAAATGCAAAGAGCACCTGTTTCAATCACCACCACCGGGCCCCCTCCTCTGGGGCCGAGGCGTGGAGCAAAGGATCCAGCAGATGCTCTTGCCCAAGCCGGATGGCCATGATCAGGTGCTGGCCACAAGACAAGCATTCGATGTGTCAGGAGAGGACGCCACAGAAGCATTTCCTCCCCTGCCTCATGCGTAGGATGGATCTGATCCAGAAGCTGGAGGAGCATAAATGGTGACCGCTGCTGAATTGCCGCAGTGATGCAGAGAGCCTGCCCACACACGTGCAGAATTGTGTCCTGGACCCTCAATGCAGCTGCCACCAAGTCTGAATGTTGTGAATATTGAGGCGCAGATCGAATCCAACATGCTGCTTCCAACAGTGTCGCGCAGCCTGCTCCTGCAGGCTTAGTCTTTCAACATAGTCGAAGGATAGGTACCTGGCCACTATAGCAGCGACGGGAGGCTGAGGGCCGGTGTCTGACTTGTTCGACTAGCCTTGATGATCTAACCTAGTGACTCGTTCTTCGAAGCACGAGCCCACCGAAGTACCCGAGTTAACATGGACATTCTCATCGACTTGCAGACGGCACACCCGCGCACGAGCTGCTCCTTCTCAAATCGCAGTGAAAGAAGCAGATCGCCGAAATGCCAAGGTCACATGGGCAACATCGGGCAGGGCACTAAACAGGACTTTTGAAAGACTTACGAGGTAGGCATAGGCTGAAGATCGGCCCGGTGGAGTCCTGCTTGTTCTCCAAGGCCAGCATGAGCGGCTTGCTCCCCAGCGCGGCGGGCAAAGACCCGTCCACCAACTGCGCCGCACGAACTCTTAAGACAGAGCTTCTGAGAGCATGTCTTGGACCCTCTTTAGGTGCGGTAGGAACCTAGTGCGTTCATGCTTTTGATCCTCTTGGGACATGACCATATCCGCACACTTCCAGGGAAAGATTGGATCTCTTCACCCCTCTGTCTTCAGCTGCAGCAGCTTTAGTAAAACAGGGCGAGAATCACTTAATTAGGTGGAACCTGCAGCAACTCGATTTCGATGTATGGCTGCTTAGAGCCCCAGCCGCCAGCACCTGATGCAAACGTGAAGCAAGGGGCTCAGCGCAAAAGACACGCATGAAAAGACTTATTCAGATCGCAAAGGCATAGTGAACTTAATGAACCAGGTCATGGAAATCTTGTGGGTGGGAAAACCCAGAACTCTTGACAGGCTCAAGCTACACCCCGCGCAAACGTTGATTCTTCACATTGCTCCTACAGTCAGCGCGATCTTCCCACCAGAAACATTGAAACAGACTGCACGGCATGCTGGACACACCGTTTTTGCACATGACCGTGAAGTGAGAACAAGCATGCCTTGCGCGCTGAAGTCCTGCAGGCCTCGGTTGAAGACGGAGTTTAAAAGTCAAAAAGGCAACAGAAGGCAAGACTCTTCTTGCGACCCAGAGCACGAAAGCACTCTCAGGGTTGGATGGTTCTCCGTGTAGACTGCTCGGTTTAGAATGCTTGAAACGGAGACGTCGAGCTGAGTTCATGGGGCCGTGCCGGTTGGCCGCAGGACTGCTCGATGCCGTGGCAGCCATGCCTGTTTGAGGCCGCTCCAAGCCCGTAGTCACCATTGCAGTCGCGGACACGCTAGTCGACAGAGTTGCGGCCTTGTTCGGCGGAAGAAGAACTGGCTCTTCCACATCCTGGCAGCAGGAGCTGCTTCAAAATCTACCACCAACATACGACTCTCAACTGCACACCCACTCCAAAGCCACTTGAACCCTACCCTCAAACCAGCACGGGCCAAATGCGGACTTGGACTCGGACCTGTGAGTCGGAGCTGGCATACGCCAGCAGCCTCGGATTGCTCCGAGGTTTCTCTGCCCCCAACCAGGATACGTCAAAGACATTCCCACAAAAAACGCTACGAGAAGTTCGGCGCAGGAGTACCACCCCGAAAAATTCACAAATCGACATGCCCCACTTGGTTTACGGCCGGACGGAATGGCCGAGCAACTGAAAGCGCAATACACAGTTGTAAAGCAGAGTGCGTTGAGCGGAATACGTAGATGTCAGAAAGACTGCGTTAAACTGAAAAGGGCAGCGTTCCATATATCATGCTTGCTGACCTTGATTCCCTTGATAGGCACTCGACACATCGGGGATGGAGGCCCTCATCGGAAGCACGGCCTGCACACAAGGAGACAACTCATAGAGGCCACGCCAAGCTTCTCAGCTAAGCTTTGCGTCCAAGGTTGTCCACCTTGCCTCTGCCAGGACTGTGCCGGAGTTCTCCAACGTCACCTTCGCGAAAGGCCAACCGACTATTGGGTTGCTCCACTTCGCACATGTCTCTGGCAGCCCACGGAGACGACCCACATACAAATCCGGATCGTTGCAGCTGCATCTCACTGATTCTGGCACTACAGCACTTCAAAACGTCCGGGCTAAAGTTCCCAGCTTGGGCCTTCAGCTGATCTGCACTGCAGAAGTTCAGGGCTCGCAACAGCATCTCCTGCAGAGGCCAAAGCACAAGTTTATTCGGGGGTTTGGCTCGGCGGTGCCAGTTCAAGTCGTTTCCTTCTGGCTTTCTTGCGACTGCTTCCCAAATATGCACTGGCGTGCAACTCTCACTTCGGTCGATGCTCCAGGATGCACAAGCGAACTACATCCCTGAAGATTCTATCGCATTGTGTTTGAATCTGACCTCCGATTGATCAGAATATCGTGAGCATCTCTGTCACGGGGGTGTCTCGATGTGGATTCGGCAGCTCAGGTGCAGCACTAAGGGAACGGGCTGCACGTGGCTGCCAGCTAGCTGTACAGTACATCTGCCCCAGCTTCCAAGTACCGTGATGCCCCGCGTCTCGCTGCATCTTGAATTATGACACCGCTCCCCTCCCTCCCGCACCGGCTGGTACTTGGAAAGTTGAAACGCGACTCAAATGAGGCAGCAGCAATTGCTGCCCTGCCATGTTCAGGGCAGATGTACGAAACACGGCTCGACGAGTCCTTGCACCCTCTGCTGCGAAGCAGCTTCTCGCTTGGCTTCAAGCACCATGGAAACTCCAGTCGAAGACCATTCAACGGTATTTTGCATTAAAAAAAGGTCACTTCACATGTTGTGCACCGCTACACCAAGACCTCTGCGGAGACAAATAGCAATCTGCGCATCTCTGCAGGGAGCTCGGTAAAACTCTTGTGTCAAAGGCCGTTCACGAGCCACCGACACTGCCGGCGCAGTAGTTCTCACTTTCGAGGCGGCGCAATCCTTCCCGCAACTCGCGCGCCTGGCGGCTCGGGATACAGCTGCCGATCAAAGCTTCTTGGATGCGCAAACCGGCTAGTTGGGTCAGACTTGCACAAACCTGTCACTGGACACATGCCTTTGCGGTATTTTGGTGCATGTTGTATTGATGCGTCGACACCGAACCCTGCATTCATGGCCTTCTGCAGTAGGCCCGCCGTGTAGTTGGTCTTCTTGGACACCTGCACCCCGGGGCGTATGCGCGATCCTGTGCACTGCTACTGAAGGCCAGCCCAAGCGGTACACATCATAAAGAGTTTAACCCGAATTGAGACCGGTGCTTCGTGCTGCGCATCTTCGGCAACCTGCGTCAAACGCATCTAAACAAGAGATGCGGTCTCCGAGACAAGCTCTCGACTTGAAGCAACCTTCCCGATGAAGATACACCTTTTTCGTGCCAGCCACAGGTCGTCCTGGTAGATGTGACCGAGCATTATGTAGTCGTGCATCGCAGCTGCGTCCTTAATTTTGTGCCCCCGAATCGTGCTCCCGGAAAAGCCCAGGTCAGCAATCTGCTCAAAAATCTCAGCCCCTGTGTTTTTGGAGTAGCCCGTGTGGCGCCACCACATTGGAGTCACCTCGACAACCATGTTCGAAACCTGCCAGGAATGCAAAAGCGGTAGCATAGCTTCCAGTATCTGCAGCTCGTTCCCCTCGGTATCGATCTTGATCAGCTGTATCTTGCTGCTTGCATTCAAGCCCACGAGCTCTAGCATGTTGGACACTGGCAGAAAAGGTATTTGCATTGAGGCTTTCGAGTCTGCCGACGCTGCACTGGAGCCATATGCATCTTTGTGACCGCGCTCTGCATTTTCGATAGGAAACCTCCCTGAGCAATGGTTGTCAGACCGCACTGTCAGTGACTTGCCCAACTCCTCCTCTCCACCCACCGGTTGTTGCACGCGCCGAACCTTTCGCTCGTCCAGGCCACTCTCTCGGATGGACCAGGAGATCAGCGCGTTACATTCGGGCTGCGGCTCTACGAAAACGACTGCACAGCCCTTCGCCAGAGCAAGCAAGCCGTAGAACCCAGTGTTCGAGCCAATGTCCAGAACTACGGCCTTCTCCCAAGCCTCACTTGGGGACATGTCCACCCGGCAGATTGTATCCAGCGTCTGGTGGAAGATGTCCTGAAGCTGTCGGGGTGCAGGCGGTGGTGCAGTAGTGTAGCCTAGCCCCGCAATTTACCTTAAACTCCTTAGCCTTACAACCTTAAGTGCCCTTGGGGTCGCAGGTTTAGAAGCTTGGGATGCGGGTCTTGTGCGTTTCAAGTCTATGATGCCGGCTTCAGTAGTTCCGGCCCCAATCTCCTGCACGAACTGCTCGCCTTTGGTTTTCAGCCAACTAAACATTGCACTGTCGACATCGAACATCACGAAATTCGAAGTCGCAGATGCCACACTCTGACCATGGAACTTGATGACCTCGCTCACGTCGTGCCTCTTGGCATTTGCTGGCAATGCCGTCTGTGCAGGCACATACAAAGACATAGCAAGTGGTTCCTCTGTGCTAGTGCCGAAAAATGTGGCTTCATAGGCGCCACTCGCCCAAGCATTCGAAGTGCTTGCAGCGTAAAGGTTCGGCTCAAAAGAATCCAAAGGCTGGCCGTCTCGCGTTTCTCCAGAAGCCGTGGCATTGCGTCGAAGCCACAGGTCGTCTTGATAAATGTGACCAAACATGATGTAGTCGTGCATCGCAGCTGCGTCCTTAATTTTGTGCCCCCGAATCGTGCTCCCGGAAAAGCCCAGGTCAGCAATCTGCTCAAAAATCTCAGCCCCTGTGTTTTTGGAGTAGCCCGTGTGGCGCCACCACATTGGAGTCACCTCGACAACCATGTTCGAAACCTGCCAAGAATGCAAAAGCGGTAGCATAGCTTCCAGTATCTGCAGCTCGTTCCCCTCGGTATCGATCTTGATCAGCTGTATCTTGCTGCTTGCATTCAAGCCCACGAGCTCTAGCATGTTGGACACTGGCAGAAAAGGTATTTGCATTGAGGCTTTCGAGTCTGCCGACGCTGCACTGGAGCCATATGCATCTTTGTGACCGCGCTCTGCATTTTCGATAGGAAACCTCCCTGAGCAATGGTTGTCAGACCGCACTGTCAGTGACTTGCCCAACTCCTCCTCTCCACCCACCGGTTGTTGCACGCGCCGAACCTTTCGCTCGTCCAGGCCACTCTCTCGGATGGACCAGGAGATCAGCGCGTTACATTCGGGCTGCGGCTCTACGAAAACGACTGCACAGCCCTTCGCCAGAGCAAGCAAGCCGTAGAACCCAGTGTTCGAGCCAATGTCCAGAACTACGGCCTTCTCCCAAGCCTCACTTGGGGACATGTCCACCCGGCAGATTGTATCCAGCGTCTGGTGGAAGATGTCCTGAAGCTGTCGGGGTGCAGACGGTAGTGCAGTAGTGTAGCCTAGCCCTGCAATTTACCTTAAACTCCTTAGCCTTACAACCTTAAGTGCCCTTGGGGTCGCAGGTTTAGAAGCTTGGGATGCGGGTCTTGTGCGTTTCAAGTCTATGATGCCGGCTTCAGTAGTTCCGGACCCAATCTCCTGCACGAACTGCTCGCCTTTGGTTTTCAGCCAACCAAACATTGCACTGTCGACATCGAACATCACGAAATTCGAAGTCGCAGATGCCACACTGTGACCATGGAACTTGATGACCTCGCTCACGTCGTGCCTCTTGGCATTTGCTGGCAATGCCGTCTGTGCAGGCACATACAAAGACATAGCAAGTGGTTCCTCTGTGCTAGTGCCGAAAAATGTGGCTTCATAGGCGCCACTCGCCCAAGCATTCGAAGTGCTTGCAGCGTAAAGGTTCGGCTCAAAAGAATCCAAAGGCTGGCCGTCTCGCGTTTCTCCAGAAGCCGTGGCATTGCGTCGAAGCCACAGGTCGTCTTGATAAATGTGACCAAACATGATGTAGTCGTGCATCGCAGCTGCGTCCTTAATTTTGTGCCCCCGAATCGTGCTCCCGGAAAAGCCCAGGTCAGCAATCTGCTCAAAAATCTCAGCCCCTGTGTTTTTGGAGTAGCCCGTGTGGCGCCACCACATTGGAGTCACCTCGACAACCATGTTCGAAACCTGCCAAGAATGCAAAAGCGGTAGCATAGCTTCCAGTATCTGCAGCTCGTTCCCCTCGGTATCGATCTTGATCAGCTGTATCTTGCTGCTTGCATTCAAGCCCACGAGCTCTAGCATGTTGGACACTGGCAGAAAAGGTATTTGCATTGAGGCTTTCGAGTCTGCCGACGCTGCACTGGAGCCATATGCATCTTTGTGACCGCGCTCTGCATTTTCGATAGGAAACCTCCCTGAGCAATGGTTGTCAGACCGCACTGTCAGTGACTTGCCCAACTCCTCCTCTCCACCCACCGGTTGTTGCACGCGCCGAACCTTTCGCTCGTCCAGGCCACTCTCTCGGATGGACCAGGAGATCAGCGCGTTACATTCGGGCTGCGGCTCTACGAAAACGACTGCACAGCCCTTCGCCAGAGCAAGCAAGCCGTAGAACCCAGTGTTCGAGCCAATGTCCAGAACTACGGCCTTCTCCCAAGCCTCACTTGGGGACATGTCCACCCGGCAGATTGTATCCAGCGTCTGGTGGAAGATGTCCTGAAGCTGTCGGGGTGCAGGCGGTGGTGCAGTAGTGTAGCCTAGCCCCGCAATTTACCTTAAACTCCTTAGCCTTACAACCTTAAGTGCCCTTGGGGTCGCAGGTTTAGAAGCTTGGGATGCGGGTCTTGTGCGTTTCAAGTCTATGATGCCGGCTTCAGTAGTTCCGGCCCCAATCTCCTGCACGAACTGCTCGCCTTTGGTTTTCAGCCAACTAAACATTGCACTGTCGACATCGAACATCACGAAATTCGAAGTCGCAGATGCCACACTCTGACCATGGAACTTGATGACCTCGCTCACGTCGTGCCTCTTGGCATTTGCTGGCAATGCCGTCTGTGCAGGCACATACAAAGACATAGCAAGTGGTTCCTCTGTGCTAGTGCCGAAAAATGTGGCTTCATGGGCGCCACTCGCCCAAGCATTCGAAGTGCTTGCAGCGTAAAGGTTCGGCTCAAAAGAATCCAAAGGCTGGCCGTCTCGCGTTTCTCCAGAAGCCGTGGCATTGCGTCGAAGCCACAGGTCGTCTTGATAAATGTGACCAAAAATGATGTAGTCGTGCATCGCAGCTGCGTCCTTAATTTTGTGCCCCCGAATCGTGCTCCCGGAAAAGCCCAGGTCAGCAATCTGCTCAAAAATCTCAGCCCCTGTGTTTTTGGAGTAGCCCGTGTGGCGCCACCACATTGGAGTCACCTCGACAACCATGTTCGAAACCTGCCAAGAATGCAAAAGTGGTAGCATAGCTTCCAGTATCTGCAGCTCGTTCCCCTCGGTATCGATCTTGATCAGCTGCATCTTGCTGCTTGCATTCAAGCCCACGAGCTCTAGCATGTTGGACACTGGCAGAAAAGGTATTTGCATTGAGGCTTTCGAGTCTGCCGACGCTGCACTGGAGCCATATGCATCTTTGTGACCGCGCTCTGCATTTTCGATAGGAAACCTCCCTGAGCAATGGTTGTCAGACCGCACTGTCAGTGACTTGCCCAACTCCTCCTCTCCACCCACCGGTTGTTGCACGCGCCGAACCTTTCGCTCGTCCAGGCCACTCTCTCGGATGGACCAGGAGATCAGCACGTTACATTCGGGCTGCGGCTCTACGAAAACGACTGCACAGCCCTTCGCCAGAGCAAGCAAGCCGTAGAACCCAGTGTTCGAGCCAATGTCCAGAACTACGGCCTTCTCCCAAGCCTCACTTGGGGACATGTCCACCCGGCAGATTGTATCCAGCGTCTGGTGGAAGATGTCCTGAAGCTGTCGGGTGCCGGCGGTAGTGCAGTAGTGTAGCCTAGCCCTGCAATTTACCTTAAACTCCTTAGCCTTACAACCTTAAGTGCCCTTGGGGTCGCAGGTTTAGAAGCTTGGGATGCGGGTCTTGTGCGAATCAAGTCTATGATGCCGGCTTCAACAGTTCCGGACCCAATCGCCTGCACGAACTGCTCGCCTTTGGTTTTCAGCCAACTAAACATTGCACTGTCGACATCGAACATCACGAAATTCGAAGTCGCAGATGCCACACTCTGACCATGGAACTTGATGACCTCGCTCACGTCGTGCCTCTTGGCATTTGCTGGCAATGCCGTCTGTGCCGGCACATATAAAGACATGGCAAGTGGCTCCTCTGTGCTAGTGCCGAAAAATGTGGCTTCACTGCTGCCATTTGCAGAAGCATTGGAAGTGCTTGCAGCGTAAAGGCTTGGCTCAACAGAATCCGAAGGCTGGCCGTCTGACGTTTCTCCGGAAGCCCTGGTGTTTCGTCGAAGCCACAGGTCGTCTTGGTAGATGTGACCGAGCATTATGTAGTCGTGCATCGCAGCCGCGTCCGTGATTTCATGGCCCCGAATCGTGCTCCCGGAAAAGCCCAGGTCAGCAATCTGCTCAAAAATCTCAGCCCCTGTGTTTTTGGAGTAGCCCGTGTGGCGCCACCACATTGGAGTCACCTCGACAACCATGTTCGAAACCTGCCAAGAATGCAAAAGCGGTAGCATAGCTTCCAGTATCTGCAGCTCGTTCCCCTCGGTATCGATCTTGATCAGCTGTATCTTGCTGCTTGCATTCAAGCCCACGAGCTCTAGCATGTTGGACACTGGCAGAAAAGGGATTTGCATTGAGGCTTTCGAGTCTGCCGACGCTGCACTGGAGCCATATGCATCTTTGTGACCGCGCTCTGCATTTTCGATAGGAAACCTCCCTGAGCAATGGTTGTCAGACCGCACTGTCAGTGACTTGCCCAACTCCTCCTCTCCACCCACCGGCTGTTGTACGCGCCGAACCTTTCGCTCGTCCAGGCCACTCTCTCGGATGGACCAGGAGATCAGCGCGTTACATTCGGGCTGCGGCTCTACGAAAACGACTGCACAGCCCTTCGCCAGAGCAAGCAAGCCGTAGAACCCAGTGTTCGAGCCAATGTCCAGAACTACGGCCTTCTCCCAAGCCTCACTTGGGGACATGTCCACCCGGCAGATTGTATCCAGCGTCTGGTGGAAGATGTCCTGAAGCTGTCGGGGTGCAGGCGGTAGTGCAGTAGTGTAGCCTAGCCCTGCAATTTACCTTAAACTCCTTAGCCTTACAACCTTAAGTGCCCTTGGGGTCGCAGGTTTAGAAGCTTGGGATGCGGGTCTTGTGCGTTTCAAGTCTATGATGCCGGCTTCAACAGTTCCGAACCCAATCTCCTGCACGAACTGCTCGCCTTTGGTTTTCAGCCAACTAAACATTGCACTGTCGACATCGAACATCACGAAATTCGAAGTCGCAGATGCCACACTCTGACCATGGAACTTGATGACCTCGCTCACGTCGTGCCTCTTGGCATTTGCTGGTACCCTGGCGACAGGCGGCCGAAAGAGGCTCGAGTTGCCCGGCCTTGCAGGCGCTCCGTGGAGACTGTAACCAAGTTGCTTTACAAACTGGAAGGAGGTGACGTGCTCTTGCAGCATGTACACGCAAACCATGAGCAATGTCGCCAGCACAGCGAACCATCGAATGTGCAGCTTACGAGACTCCTGGGGAGAGTCCGGCGTAACGGGAGCAGGGCGACCAGCTTCCAAGTCGCGATCCATGAGGCGAAGTGGCGCACCCTTGGGGTCAGCCACAGATAACAAAAAACTTGGGCCAAAATTTACGAGATGGCGTCTCAAGTGACTGCACGAGACGTGACGAATCTACCGGCTTACTGCGACATTGACTTGAAACGCGGCGCGAGCTCATAGCGATCCTGGGATGATCACGACACTGTAAGATACATTTCTGAGCGTGCCTACCAGTGCCCGTGCCGCTCGTGCCGCTCGCCTCCAGCTCCCTCGAGGGCGGTGGAGGCTCACTTTGAGAGCGCTCCCGGTCCGTGGCCTCGTTCGCCTTCGGCTGTGGACAGGTACAGATGTGACAAACGGAGGGTCTTCCGACAGATGAAGACGTGTGGTGGTGGCCTCTTGAGCGGTCAAAAAGCTGTGCTTGTAGTGCAGCTCCATTGGGACAGCTACTTCCATGCAAGCCAACAGTTCGAAGCAGTCAGAGCGACTGCGCCTGTTCCCTGGAATTTGAGCCAACGGCCTGCGAGTCGCGATGAGCATTTTCCGGGCGACGCGTGGCAAACAAGACTGAGAAATCTCGCGGTCAGCTGCAATTACCACAGCAGGTGCTGGTTCCTCCCTGAAGGTGGCAGTGCCCGTCAGTGCGTCCACAGTCGCCTTTACCTGGCAAGTCTTGGAAGTTGGACAACTGGTGTCAGTCTGCCCTCGTGCTCTTTACACGTCCTGCTGCAAGCAATCGCAGAGTGTATCATTGCATCCTGTGCCCGCCTTGGTACGGACAGTGCGCTCAAGACAGACGCAAGAGAACCTGGCAAATAGAATCGCCGCTAAAGCAACGATTCTCGTGGGCAGGAGCTTTAACAGCTTTTCCCGACTTATTTTCGACGTGTCATCTGACGCCATGTACACATGCCAGGCAGGCCCCACATGCAGTCCTTCCGGTGCTGTGCTGGAAGTGCCTTGCAGAAGTGCAATGTGTGTATTCATGTGCTTTGCTGTTTCCTAGACGTGTGCAGACGCTTGACTTGGGCCATAGACCACGGATTTCGCCCTTCACTCAGGCACGGACAGGTGCAACCTGAACAGGAGAAAAAGCTCGAGGAACAGCCTGGCATTGGCTGTGCTCTGCATTCATAGAGAGGACCCACTCTCCGGCGACTCGAGTCCCCGAGCCTGAGCTCGAGGATCGGCAGCAGGAAGGCGTGCCTAAGCCAGGGCTCAGACAACATGCAGCTACAGAAGCCCCTCTTCTCAAGACTGCCCTGTGGCAAACAGCGAAGCGGTCTTCCGAAGGCTCTGGCTGATGAGGCCCTCGAGGTTGCCTGCCTTCCAAAACATCGCGATCGCACTCGCAACTGAGGCAGATTGGTCCACCAAACCACGAGGACGAGAGCATCGAATGAATCAAAGCCATTCGAAGGAAGAAACCTCATACACGAGGCCCAATCTAAGGACAAGAACCAGCCGTCACGAACATGCAGGGGAGAGGAGGTTGCTGCTTGCGATGTGGCAGAAATGGAGATACATTGAATTAGCGCGCTCCTAATCATGACGGTTCTCATGCTGTTCCGACTCCGCCTCTCGCAGCACCAGCAGTCTCACCATCGTCATCTTCGTCATCATCATAAACAACAGCATCAGCATCATCATAACCCAGCACTATCTTGATCAACGTCAGCGTTACCAGCTCAACCATCAGTGCCACCACCAACATCCACACCACCATCATCATCACCACCCCCACGATCGCTGTCGGTATCATCAACCTTACCATCAAAGAACAGCGTCACCATCAACATCACCGTCAGCATCCTCGTCATCAAGCTCGCGACCATCGTGATCGCTACGACATGACCATCGTTACAAGCATCATCGTCATCATGGTATTATCATCATCACCACGGCCATGATCATCATCGTCAGCAGCAGCAGCAGCAGCAGGAGGAGCAGGAGCAGCAGCAGCAGCAGCAGCAGCAGCATCAGCACCACCACAATCAAGACCACTGCCATGCCTTGCACTGTCGCCACCTACGGCGTCGGCACCACCATCACCAGCAGCAACGGCGTCGTACACATCTCCAGAATCATCATCATCTTCTTCTTCATTTCATCTTCATCATCCTCACCATCGCCTCCATGCACCAAGCCATGTTTAGACTCATGACCTATCCCAGCTGCTTCATCAGCATCTCGATCATCGGACAAGGCTCCGATCTGTTCATTCAGCGAATAAGCCGAAGTATGAAGAGCCTTTAGTTTGCAGACGTGTGGCAGTGTGATGCCTCGAAAGGCAGTTGCGATGGCAGTGAAGTGTGGGAGGTACGTCTGTTTGACGATGCCCCGTGGCAGGAACAGATGCCGCAGTCAAAAGCCACAGCAACAACAGCCGGAAAAACGAATTAGTCGTCGCATGCAGCCGTGATGGCAGTGGATCTGGTGGCCCCACGGCTTGCAAACACCCCGACGGTAACATCAAGTCAGAATCCGTTTGACTGCCGGAGGAACTCGGTTGCTTTAATCGATGCGCAAAGCCTCAAGCACGCGGATGTAGAGGAATCCGGCCTTCGGCCTAGACGCAGCAACAGCTGCCGAAGACGCAACAGTTTGCGAATAATGGTCAGCAGGCGAGCTCTCGAGCCACGGGATATGCACGACGACTAAGGCTATGACCCAGTGCCGCCCACAGGATGTGCTCCGATCATCACGCCCAGCATGGAGTGTGCCTAATCAGCTTGTGGAATTCTCCGGCCCTCCACTGACACGCTTAGTGCCTTCATGGCTTGACTGCCCCACCTCGACTGTCGCCAGAGATGTCAACCCACCCTGAGAACGAGAAGGATGTGTCAAATTGCGTAATTCCGCCATTCCAATGCAAACGACGAAACGAAACCCGAAAGCAGAGCCGGGTTCGACTAGACGGAGACTGGCTGGCGCACTGGAACCGCAAGAATTGAGGACCTTAACACCTCCTCGATCAGCGGCCTCTTCACCGGCACCAGGCAAGTCGAAGCTGGAAACTTGGCAGTTTCAACAACGTGCAGTCTGTGACGGCCACCATCTCTACATCTTTGAAGCTAAAGAGATAGCAGCAGTTGCGCTCGTACCTAATCAAAAGCACTCTGGGCCCGATATGGGCTCCATCAGCAGCTCTGTTCTCAGCACGTGTACTCACTGGCACCAGTCACTAGTCACAGCAGTAGAAACAAGAAAACGTAGAAAGATGCAGCAGCAACATGGTGAAATGAAGCTTGACGAAAGCCGGCTGTGTGTTTCCACGGGGTTGCGGCCCTCGGTGGCCATGTCACTTGGTGACGCCACCTCGGGACAGGCAGATGAGCTCGTGAGGCTGGGGGGACCGGCATTTATGGAAAACCTCTGTTCCTCGGATTGTGGCAATTTAACCCTCCTCTCCTCAGTCTTAGCACGAGCATGACCAATCGTGCTTCAGTCAAGCACCTGCTACCCTTGACAGCAAATGTTGTGAGTAGCAGGTGCATACCAAAGACTTCAGCATCGTTGGGAGTTGCTGGCATTTGGCGTCTTGCTTATGCTTGGTTCATGCCAGCATTCTAGCACGCTGCACTGCATGGCCGACTTTACAGGTCGGCTTTGTTACAATGGCAAGGCAGTACTCAGGACAGCGAATCAGCACGAAGTCTAAGCTCCCAACAAGGTTCCAACCCACATCTTCAATAGGCCCAGCAGGCTGAACCAGAACCATGGACCTACAGTTATGGTTGAGCCCTGTAACGTAAACTGCGGGCTGTGCTGGGCGGAATGTCTGCCACATAATAAGTCAACTCATGAATCTGCAACCATTGCTGATTCTGTGAAAAAGAGTTTTCGCCAACTCAGAAGACTTGAACACGTCGAACTGCAAGCACCCGCAACTTGAGCCAGCGCGTGCAGATGCCATATGCATCACAGAGAGAGAGCCAAAGTGCGAGTGCTATTGATATAGATGTAGAGAGAGCGAGCGAGAGAGCGAGCGAGAGAGACAGAGAGAAAGAGAAAGAGAGAGAGCGAGAGAAAGAGAGACAAAAGAGAGAGAGAGAGAGAAAGAAAGAAAGAAAGAAAGAAAGAAAGAAAGAAACAGAGAGAGCGAGAGAGAGAGAGAGAGAGAGAGAAGAGAAGAGAGAAAGAGAGAGAGAGAGAAAGAGACAGAGAGAGCGAGAGAGAGGGGGAGGGGGAGAGGGAGAGGGAGAGGGAGAGGGAGAGGGAGAGCGAGAGACATAGAGACAGAGATAGAGATAGACATGGAGATGGAGCTGGAGATGGAGATAGAGATAGAGCTAGAGCCAGAGATTGAGACAGAGAGATAGAGGTCGAGTTGGAGATGGGGAGATGGGGAGATGGGGAGATGGAGAGATGGAGAGATAGAGAGATAGAGAGATGGAGAGATAGAGGGGAGGGAGGGGAGCAGGGGGAGAGAGGCAGAGAGCGAGAGGGAGAGCGAGCAGACATAGACGGACATACGGAGAGACACAGAGACACACGGACGGACAGACCAACAGACACACAGACACCGGGAGAGGCGTAGAGGGGCAAAGAGGCGGAGAGAGATCTACTTTGTCTTGCTGCTTACTGCGGATGGACCAAGCATCTGCGACCATTGCTAAGCAGGTGGTGACTTCTTTTGAGAATCTTTGACATCATGTCCTCTCGTCGTCCGCTGCCTGTTCAGGGATCATGCTCGGGCGGCACATATGTATCATGTTTCGAGCTGCGAAAATGCACTATCACCGCTGCCAAACTCCCGTCATGTCTCATCGGCGAGGGGATAGAGGGCCGCAATTTGCAGTGTTTCTATGTTTTCTGGAAAACAGAGCTGGTATGATCCCCATCGAAATGGGAGATTCCACCGTTTCCATCAGCCTGTTTAGTATGAATCCAACGGGGCGGCAACTGATTAAGACAACGATGCAGGTGACACAAACAAGTTGAAGGGTATGACTTGGAAGACGGAAGTTCTCAGTGAGGGACGCATGTCAAGTCAGCTCCAAGCAGGGCGCACCGAACTTGCACTACGGTGCTCTTATGTCAGGCTTTCAAGACGCCATCCACCCTCGGCCTCCGCGACGGCTCTCCAGGCTTGGAAGAAGCCGCAACGCCGGTCACCTCCGTCCTTCGGAAGGAATCAAAAAGTATCCTACATTCTAGAGAGGAACCTTGTATCCAGTGTGATGCTGACAAAGCCCACACATTCGGAAGCACCAAGATCACAGGGGAGCGTCTATGCAAGATCAACAGCAATGTGTCTGAGCGATGTTGCGTGTGCCCGGTACAGTTGGCAGAGCGGCCTGATCTTCGCTGCTTGTCAGGAAGCAGCGGAGGGCGTCGAAGTGCATGTCTAGACCTCAGTGGCCCCATCTGACGAGTCCTGAGCCACCCGCCTGAAGTGCTTCGGGGCGGAACTAATGGGCAGTCCAGCTGCATAGAGCCTGCAGGAGCGATGCGCTGGACTTCTGCCGAGCCTCTCTGAGCCTCTGGCTCCGATCAAGCTGTGCAATGCGGCACCCATGTAACGTTATGGATCGCCAAGCTCGGGCCTTTGAAAACAGATCACTCCAGGAACCAGGCTCTTTCAGCTGATTGCACCAATACGCAAAAAAAAAAAAAAACGCGTCGGAGGAGATTTCAGTGGCCAAACTCATGTAAACACCGCAAGCTGCTCTTCGAGAATCAAAAGATACCGAATCAGATGTGCAACTCGACCTTCACAACTTCTGCAGGCAGAAGATTGCAAAGGTCGATCTGCGCCCCCAATCTTGGCGGTGTTGCATGACCATGGGGGATCGTCTTGTTGAAGTCGCGAGCGAACAATCGGGTAGCTCGCAAGGTCGACGGAGAGCTTCACAGGATCACCGCGATGGAGTCAAACGGAACGTCTTCTTGTTGCGAGTTCCAGTTTTTGGAGACTGGTATGTAAAGTATGCTTCTTTGTTTCCAAGATCAACACGGAAAAGCCGCAACACGGAAGAGCGTGTTGCACACATCGGCACAAAACGGAGCGCGCTGCCCCGCCAGTTGTCTGCAAAACTGCTTTCGTGAGGCAGTTGGGGGTGGCGCGCTTCCACTCCACATCCGACATCCCACATATCTTCCATCGTCGCGCCTAGAATCGGTTATAAGCGGTCAAAGCAAGGGCGAGATAGGGCCTCGGGTGAGACTCGGTGAAAGTGGTGAGAGTGAGGGCCCGGCCAGAGCTGCTCCAAGGATTAAATCGACCCTCCCCAGCCTCTTCCCCGGTTCCCCTTTGACAGCAGTGACAGGAGGAAAAGGAGACCGTGCTCCCGTGGACGCTGTGACAGCAGTGACAGGAGGCTGGCGCCATGATCCCCATGATCCCTGCGACATCTTCTCCTAGCTCCTCCCCTTAGGCCCTAGGTCTTTCTGAGTATTCAGAAAGGCTGTCAGTCGGACCAAGGCCGATCTGCAGACCCGTGTTGACAATGGCTTCCAGTGGAGATCTCAAGGGAAACAGCAAGCCTCCTCTGGACGGCAACGCCAAGTGCCTCTGGCAGGAGCCAAGACTCTGCGAGGGTACTTACTTGGAAATGCCCTTAACATAATGGCTTCCTGGACAGTATAGATGACGTAATATAGAATCCTGCTTCACCCTGGTGCAAAGCAAGCAAAGCTCGGACCTAAACAGCCCACCGCTGAGGATGTGGAGAGTATGCTACGCCCCTCTTACTAGACTGCCTTGCATTTGGCTTCAAAGGCATCGTGCTCGTGCGCGACAAACGGACGCGATTCATCCTTGCAAGGTGGCGGAACTGCATTGGGCCTCAAACTTAAAGTCCAAATATTCACAAAGACTAATCCTCATCCCAATTTTCTGATGCGGTCCTGTATTTGACGCGGCGTGCAGTGGAGCCAAATCTCGAGTTCGGGGGGTGCCTTGAAAGCAGCAATGCTTCAATCAATTTGCTGACCGGTAAGACGGGCCGCAAGCGCTATCCTAGCGCCTCTGAGGTCTGGGCTGCTTTGCTCACCTTCTGAAGTTCCTTCCAGACGGCAGGAGATGCGGAGACATACTCATAAAAGGTGAATGGAGACTGACCTAAGTTGCCAAAGATGACAGCAGAAGTAGAGTTTTCCGTTGAAACTCATTAACACCCAACATATTCTGACCAGCAAGAAATGCATGCTGGCAAAGGCGAGGTCCACTCCCGAAGACAACGGGACAGGAAGGGGGTCGTCACCCATCCGAATTATAACCTATTATAACCTGCTCCGATTTGCACTTTAGCCCTTCCCGTGTGGACACCACGCGACTGGGAACGGTGGTTGCGGAGGGTGCGGCAATGTGCGGCAGCGGCAACTGACCAGAGTGGCGACTCCGCGCAGCACGGTGACTGCGAAGCTCAAGGTCACGAGCGGTCAGTTCAATTGCAAAGTGGGTGTACGTACTACGTTGCGTAATGTTCGGGCATGATGTGTCTCACATGTCTCAGTTCGTAACATGATGATGCCATGCTTGGAGCGGGGAACACAAGCACTTCAGCACAAGATTCCCGAGTGGTCGACTTTGGAACAGCAAACGACAAAAAAGGTCGCAGAACACATGGGAGGAGGACGTCCCTTGCCTTTCAGGCTCGAGACTTGCAAAATGCGCCCGGACCCGCCTCCCCTCGTAGCGGGAAAACACCTGGGATGGCGAGCCCAGCATCGACAAAGTGCACCTGATCCATGATGCTCTATAGCAACAAAAGTACCATATAGCATAACACAGTATAACATCATATAATATAATATAGTAATATTCTATATAGTCATATAGTAATCCAGTAATCTAGTAATATTTGCCTTTGCTTATGGCATCTCTTCCCCACTCCGGGCGACCCACTCGCGTGCAAAGATCTCTGAGCACTGAGAGAAATAAGCGTGGTAGCCCAAGCGAGCGGCTGTACGAACTGTCGACCAGAGCTCATCCTCAGCTGCGGCGAAATGAAAGAGGCAGGTTCTTTGACCCACTGTACCATGCCGGGGGCACCACCTGCACGTCCCGCATCAGAGCGTTGAGTACCTTCAGGGGTCGGTCGCGCACTTTGGACTTAGCAAAACCTCGAATTAAGTCTGGCAGGGCTGACTGCAGCACCTTTGCTAAAGCCAACGAGGACCAAGTGGGCTGGTACTTCCTTTCCCACTGGGGAGTGCCGGCAGGCTGACAAACACTTATCAGAAAAACGCATGTCCTGGCCAAGCTCTTTGCCCAATGATTTGAGCCTGGCGACATCCCTACAATGCTGCGCTCAATGCCTCTGCCTGCACGAAAACCAAGCGGAGCCACAGTTGACAAAGATGACCAGCTGCCTTGGCGTCCGCAACTCCTTTTAGCTTTTTTGTGGTGTTCTGGGCTGGGGCACACGCGGGAAGATCGTAGTCTTCTGCAGAGACGTCGGCCTGCGGGTGACCCGAAACCCCACAGTCGAAAAGCGGCGCAGGTCCTCGCCGCCTCGCCTCACTTCTCTGATCGGTGAGATGCCTTGGGTTTCCCATGCCATCAACCTGGGAGTTGCGAAGCCGCTTCGCGGCTACCGGCAGCACCGTTGCAGGAAAACTGGGTGTCTGGCCATCATGAAGTTCGCGTAGATCGCAAAGTGGTCCAGCATCATGCGTGGCTTAACCTTAAGTGATCCTCCCCTCGGAGTGTAACAAGGAGTGCTTGATCATTTTGCCCATGCATCACACAACGCGGGCTGAGACACCAAGATGACCGTCTCCTCTGGATATTTGCTGCAGAGCACCCACAGCAGACCCTGCACATCAAAATGCAAATGATACTCTTCTGCTGCAGATTGCTCTGGAAGCCTGTGTTGGCATGCATCCACCCTGCGTGCCTTTGCACCTCGACCCGGGCCGAAAACCCACCGTTCAGTGAACGGCGATCAAAAAAGCTGCAGGCTAGACGCGGATTCTCACGGGACTTCCTAGCTAGATTTTGGCCCACTTAGCCGGGTCTAGGCCTAGTCACCTGGTCCGGATAGTCTTAGTAGGTGAACTTGTGACGATTCGACTCTACTCTTTCATGTCATGTGTTCGGGGAACAAAGATGGTATCGAAAGGACCGGACGAATCAGGCCACGATTAGGGGTGATTTCCTGACTGACCCCAGTGGCCTGGAGAGGGCGAGAGTATCGGGTACCAAACTGGATCAACCTGATACACAAGACCTCTTCCATGGAGCCAACCACGACGTGCAACGCTGCAACGCTTCGGTCGCACTTGGATCCATTGTCCATGTTACAGAGTTTGGCACATGCAGCACATGAAAATATTGCACCGTGCTTCGACTCATTCCTTTTGACTTGTTTTTGACCCGCTGACATTTTATGCTTGCCATTATTGCATTAGTGGTGGTTGCTCTTATTGCACTCTGTCTCATCGTGTTTATCCTTCTCTGTCTTTCAATATGTCGTACCTGTACCTTGCTTGAGGTCCTGTAGGACAGGCGTGCCGTGGCATCCACACTTCTCAGATTCTGTCTCTCTGGAACTTGATCCTAACGATCTGTGCCTCCAGCGAGTAGCTGTAGGGCGCATGTTTGTTGGCAAAGTCACTGATGTCCTGTTGGAGACGAGTTCCGGAGGTGCAGATGCCTGTCCGAGGGCCACTTGCAACCAGTCCCCGGGAAAGAAGACCACGCATCGACTGGCAGCGGGAACGTGCCTCACCTTCAGGTTTTCGAGTCCAGTTGGTAGCGAGCAATAGAATGGCATCGCAGGCACGACTGTCGGTCGCTGCGCGATATGCAAGATGAGTGTTGGGCAAGAAGCCAGTTCATCTTCCCAGCCAGGCCAGCACAGTAGAAAAGGCCCGCACCTGGCACCAGCCAAAGCTGAACTTCAGGGCCAAGACAAAAGGTTGACCTCTGCAGCACAGAGTCCACCCATACAAAGTCAGCAGAGATGCAACAGCCTTCAATTCAAGGACTCACGATGCACGAACCAGCCAGCATCACGCAGGGGCATTGTGCAGGATACACCTTTCCGAAGAGCCGGTCGATGTGGCAATCGCCGAAAGGAGTCACGAAGCGTGCTAGTCACGGGTAGCTGCTTGGCTGGGAAGTTGGCGAGGGCCTTCCGACGAGTGGATTCTGAGGGTGATAGGTTGTTACATTCGAAGAGCTTGGAGCACTTGACAGTGAGAGGGTTGTCGACTAACTATCGACTGAACTTCCTTATAACAAAGGCTGCAGAACGGCCAGTAGACTTGTCTGAAGCCCCCTCACATATAAGCAGCATCTTCATGCCTTACATTACATGCCATGTGGTTCCTTGTCATCGCATATCCTCCCTTGAGCCATCACCGGTGCCTGTTCCCCCTTCGCTTAAGGCGAAACTTGAAGGCACGAGACTTGCGGGAGCCATGTCGGTAAGATCTGTGACAACACATCCCATCCCGCTACAGCACCACAGCACCTGAACGCAACAACACCCAGCAGACAAGAAGACTGTTTCGACTCTTTGGAAAGCCCTTCGTCGCCCTGATCCCACATGATGCTTGCACGCTCGTTTTGGGTTTGGAAAGACGGCGCGGCGTCCTCATTCCTGGCTGGGAGCCATCCCTGCCAGGACCTCAACGCAAAGAGTTTTTCGTGGAGTTTGGGACCCTGGACTTCCTGGCAGGTTTTCAGCGACGCCCTTGGGGCTTGGCCTGATGCTGGAGAAGCTTTGAATTCCACGGCAGCGAGGCGGCGGACAATAGGGTGAAAATCCATTGCAAAGCTGGGAGTCACACCTCGCGTCCATGACGACCCGGCTGAAGACTTCGTCGTTGCACGGGTCTGCGAGCTTCGGCTTGCGGCTCCGTGAGCCGGGGACCAACCGAGGCTCGGATGAAACTCTCTCTGCAGGTCACTGCAGGTGCACCGCGTCCTTCCGCAGTTCTCTTGTCGGTGTATGGGAATTTCGATCGGCACACTTGCGTGGAGGCATTAGACATTAGCAAGCTGCAGCGAGCCCAAGCAACCAAACACACGCAAGGATATTCTAAACACCAGCTTTCTTGTTGCAAGGTGGGAATGCAAAACCTTGCGGCAGACGCTCGCATGTAACTTTCGCTTGCTCCATGCAAACCTGTGCCAGCAGCTGTTCAACGCTACAGGCTCTAGCACCCGAGACGGTTGCTGGCACAGGGTGAGAAGCCTGGAAGCACAAGCTTCATGCTTGGACTCTGCTAAATTGTGCAGGTGTCCTCCAAGCACCAAGTTAGGTTTGCTAGGATATGGGATGCTTTAGGCATTGGACCGCCTACTCTACGCCTGTGTATGCCTTTGTAGCCTAGTCGTTCAGCATGGTGAGCATAGCCGCACCCTTCAGGGTCCAGTAGGCTGGGTCATTCAGCGTCTCCACCTTGGCGACGCTGGAAACGCGTGCCCTTCCAGCTGTCCGGTGATGTCTGGTGACTGGCCTCGATGGCCAAGACGAAGTTCGTGGAGTGGCCCGTGGTGGACAGGGTGCCCGCGCGGATCGAGGTCTTGTAGATGGGGCAGCGGTACCTAAGTGATTCGTGCAGCCAATCCTTCCGCGACTTCTCATGGTACACTCTTTGGAGCACTTCTCGTTGTTGGGCTTCTTGTCCTCAGATGCGGCGAGGCAACTTGGAAGCTTGAAGGGCCAAGATCAAGCGACATCTTGAGCAGTGCGAGATCTAAAGGTGGCGAACCCTCGCGGTCCTTCCAAGGGATGAAGTTGATGACCGGCGACTTCACAAACATCGTGCCAAATTCTTGATCATCGATCGCCATATCTTCGAAGCTCCAGGCTGCGCCATCCTTAGAAAGTCCCAGGGCATCGGAGACTGGAAGCAATCGAAGAAAAGCCTCACGAGAAGTGAATGCAACCTGGGATCCATGAACAAGCCATGGATGTAGATCCCCTCGGCAGGGGCACCTTCCAGCTCTTGAGGGTCAGAGGTGTCCTGCGCAAAAAGAAGCGCTGCAAGCCCAAGGCCCCAAGCGGCCAATGTGCCGAAACGCTGAAAGGCAGTCCTGCATCACGAACTCAAACGAAAGCTGATCCACCGGTATCAGCTCCTTGCGGGAGTGGCCCTGGAGGACGGAGGTCAGGAAGCCCTGCACCAATGGGGCACATTTGCTGCGGCTACTCTGAGGGTCTGAGGGATGTCGGGATGCCTGGGGGAAGTAGAAAGACGAGATCCAGTAAGCCACCGGGATACCACCTTCGATCCAGTCTCGGAAGAAGTCAAAGCGGAGGATCATGTCCTGTGCAAAATGGGCAAAGACGCACTGGCCACCCGGCAACCTGGCCACAGCCCAGACCCAGACCCTGTCCTCGAACCAGGAGTTCAAAGGCTTCAGACAGGGGTAGCCGATGCCATCCTTCATCCAAAGGTTCGGCACGCTGTTGTTCAGAAGGGAGTTGTACATATCATCCAACTCTCCAGTCATGACCTGCGAGCGGCAAGCGCTTCTCCGGAACTACTGTGAACTCGCACAAGCCGGATGTAAGGATCGGACAATGATGCCCTTGACTGCCTTGCAAGGAGTCGTCACATCTCAGATTCACTATACTCTTTTGGTGGTTCCTGAAAACAACTATAGTATAATGAGCCCCAAGACCCTGTTCCAATTATTAAGGCCCCTATCTCATCTTTCGGATCCCGTCCCTTGGCCTTCTGGAGCTGCTTCAAAGTCAATGTCAGCTGCTGCAGGAGGCGGTTGAATCGGGCCATCTCCTGCAGCGACGTTCGCAAGGATGACCGAAGCGAAGCACCGAAAGGAGCTGCGCCGCGCCTGTGTGAGGCACGTCCCCAGGGATGTCATCAAGCCGGTCTCCTGTTGAGGCCGCATGCGATTAGGTCATGAGAAGTTCGCAGACTCATGCTTGCACCGAAATGAACCACAACATAGTTCTCGGGACTCCGGACCTCGCTCATCGCAAAGCTATCCGGATGCGCGTTCTCCGTATGCAGACGTTCCGGGAGTCGCGACCTCGTGGAAGCGCATGACGTCGCCAAGAAGAGAGCTTCCAGCTTCTCAAATCTTCAGAACCCGCTGAGAAGATCTTCTAGTGGAGGGGTTTGAGACCCTCCATTCTGTTTTTGCTTCTCTCCACAGCCAGTGCACTGCAAGGACGCTGAGGCTCCAGCTCCTGCTCGGCCGAGATTTCGAGGACGATCTCTTCCGAACTCTTGCCTCCGCCACCCCCGGCCTCACGAAGAGCAAAGCTTTTGCGATCTCTCGGAGTCGCTTCCTCCCATGACGCAAGCAGCTGGCAAACAGAAAATGCTTCAAGCCAGGTTTAGGGCCGCTTAGGGCCCCCGACGAAGAAGGGGGATTACCGCAATGACGCACTAGCAGAAGATGACGTAACGCAAGACGTCTCGCAGAATCTGAGGCCCGACCTCTCGGGGCTGGATTGACAGCACCGTATTCAGGACTTTCTCGGACTCCTGACCTTGGCGACAGAAGAAGACCTAAACCCGAAACCTGGAAACCCTGAAACCCCAAAGCGAGAAGCCCCCAGAACTCAGAGCCACATGCACCAGCGCCAACCAGTAACCAGGGCTCGAGCTCATGAAGCTGATGTTCGCATTGTCGTGCATTCCGAAGACCTGTCACAAAATCTCACGGCAGCTGCACCGACAGTGTGCCTCGTGGCACTTCTCACCTTCAGAGGTGCAGATGCCACACCTGAAGTCTATAATCCGATGAGTAGCAGCAACTTACGCCGAAAATCGGCGCAATCCCTTCCGGTGGAGCTTCCATCCCAGAATACGAAAACAGATCAAGACCTGTGTCAAAACAACAAGGAAGGGTCAGTCAGACATACAGACAATACCTGCTTGAACCTTGTCGCATCTATCGCAACTGGAAAATGGCGATTTGAGAACGTCTTGGGTGTCCAGCATCATTTCTACTCTAGGCAATTGGGATGCAGTCCTCTGGCTGCTCCGCCAGGGGGAAGCTGGCAACCTCAATCCATGCAAAGAGCGCTGCAACACAACAAACCGAACCGACTTGAAAAATGCCACTCTGCATCAAACGCGCCAGTCGAGGGCTCACAGATCATCTTACTGAACTCAAGCGACACACGTGAAAGCATGCGGTCCTGAAATTTCACGGGCCCAAACTCCACCTCGGCCCATGTTACCGTTCCGAGGCACGGACAAACTTCCGCCAGGACTCGATGTCGGCCGTGTCCGAATTGTCCGGGCACCTGCGGTGCAGGGTGCCTTCCGTTCCTGCTGCGAGGACCTGCGGCCCCGCCACGGCCTGTAAGTTCCACTCTCGGAGAAGGTGTAGCCGGGCTCAAGGATCTTTGGAGTCACGTACTTCTCCAGGATGGCGAGTAAGCACTTCCTGTGCGAAAGGCTGAGAGGACCGCATCTGGACTGACGGAGCCTTGGCTTTGGTTGGCCCTCACAACTCTTAGAGTTAAAAGGTACTACTTATGTACCGGTATTGGCACACGACGTCTTCGATGGCAGACTGTCGCTGAAAAGCAGTCCGCACCTGTCGTTGTCGTCGGTGACACGGCCACCGTAGTTGATATGCCCGATAACGAAGAGGAGCGTGTCCCACGGGATCGGTCCATCCAACTCCTGCCCACAAACATCCGTGACGTGACATGAACATTGTGCCGAGGGCACAGAACGCACCCCAGCAGCTGAACTCTGCGAGGTCAGTCCAGCATGTTGTGGGTGATCGTGGTAGAAGTTTCCAGGTCTGAGTCGTTGAACTCGTAGCCTCATCACGGAGAGGCGGATGTCGCTGAATCCCCGGCTTATGAATTTAGGCGGGTGGCGGATGTTCCATCCCAGTGGTCCGAATTTGCGCCTCTCCTGGTCAAGGAAAGAAAGTTCCGCCGAGACGAGCTATGTCACACCGGATTCCGTTACAACCGCAGGTTCCCTCTCGAGCCTATCCGGACATTCTGATCAACGTCCCGGAGCTGCTCAAAACTAGGCTTTGCGACAGCTCAAGATCCTGAATGACGGCGTGGAAGAACTTCAGGCCTCAGCACACTTTAGCTTTGCAACACTGCTACGACATTATGATCCTGTACTACGGAACCTTTACAGCTGAAGCAAGCACGCAAGCACCGAAGTCTGAGCAGATCTGGGTCTCGAGCCGAATTGAAGCTTTCGCCACTCCTTGTCTTTCGACGAGTCGCTGAGCTGGCCAAGGGTCAGCAGCTTAGCGCTGAAGACGAGCCGAAGTCCCCTCTAAACCCTAAACCCTAAAGGCCCAAAGGCCTAAACCCTAAAAACCCTAGCTCTCCAAAGCCCAAAACTTCAGCCTGGTCTTCCGTCATCGGAAGGAAGGATCGCATCACGTTTGCGCGCAGACCCTGTCCGATCACACAGGCTGTATGAAAAGGCAGCTGAGTGCCCGAAAGGAAACCACGCAGGAATACAGGGGTGACTTAGAAGTCCTTTTTTCGTAAAAACGATTGGGGATTGATGCTTTCCTTTCGCGAATTTGGACAATGCACATCGTGCAGCACTGCTTGGAGAAAGGGACATTGCAAGTTAGACCTGGCACTTCGGGACGGCTCGACCGAGCCTTTGGTGGCTCCGTTGTAAGCTTGATGCCGTTCTGCAGCACTGGTACCGGGAAATAGGCTGCCGGCCTGACTCGCAACTGTCTATGAGTGTTGTTGGCACCAAACATCATCACAGAGCAACAGCTGCAAACAGAATTCGCACTCCCGAGTGCAGGACATGCTCGTCAAGAACAAGCGGAAGTCCTTGTGGATCATGTTGGACCTGAGGATGGGCTTCACGATCACCCACGCTCTGCAAACTAACAGGAAACGAAACCCTCCACTACCCTCCACTAAAGCAGTCAGGTGCGGACTCCTCGAGAGTCTCGCACATCTTCTCCAGCTGTGGCATGAAAGTCCTCAGCGTCGGCCGAACGTCTCACACTTCCAGCAAATTCTGCGTCGCCAGTGCTTGGAACATTTGAACAAGTTACAGCATGTTGGATATCAAAGACAAGCATGCGGAGCGGTCCAAGAACATTCTGACCCTGTAGTTTCCCATCATGTGAAGATGGGAACAGGTTGCCACACTCTGCAGGAGGACACAACCCTACTTCATCCCTGTGCGATTCGATTTACCATGACATGTCACCGACACTTGATGCCTTCTGAGCGACTTGTACAGATGGCAATTCTGCAGCAGCACCCAGGTGCCCTTCTTGCAAGCCTCGTCGACCATCTTGATGGCCTGACACGTACAATCAGAGAATCGATTCTGATTGCATGCTCAATGGGGATAGGCGAAATCACCAACGGCCGTTCAACAACACTACCCCGCAAGCGAGACCAAGACCACCGCAACGGCGAAAGGAGGCTTGGCTATGCCGACGGCTGAAATGCTGTATCGCAGACATGCGTTTTCCGGAGTATCGGGTTGCGGCGTCCACGAAACCGGGACATTAGGTTGGAATACAACTGGCTGCAGGGACACTTCCTCCAAGAGTGACAGAGACGAGAAGGCAGGCCTCATGGCCCCCCCGCTTTTGGACACTGAAAGGACCCTCTTCAGGCCTTCGGCCCCTGGCCCTGGCCAAGGGAGATCACGCCCATGGTCGACGCCTGTCAAAGCTCTTTTTCTCAGTCCTTTTGGGAGGCAAAGGAGGCTTGAAAGGAGCAAGGAAACATGGCTTAGGCTGCCACCATGTCCAGCTCTTGCGCGAAGCGCAGCAACCTGATGAGTGCAGCTCTCGGATGGTGTGGGATGTTGTAGGTTCAGGGACCTGAAACTTGGGAATTGGTTTCGCCCAGTTGGGCCGGGGGTCGGGAAGACGATGTTATGAAGTTGATCGAGGATTCCACTCGACTGGGCGCGATTGAGATTTGAGACCACGCATGCGTTGGAGTTTGCCCGGCACTGGAATTCATGAAGCTCTTCCTCACTGCGATGACGATATCCGAGTGCATCCACACAGAATCGAAAATGGTGTGTAGATGTGCGTCCGTTCTCTCGCCAGCAAGGATCCGAGAAAGGAAAGACTTTTACAATCCGAGCAGAGGCCTTTCCTTCCTTCTCCGAACCAAAACGACATTTGTCACGCTGTGCATCGTTGGCGAAGAGGAGGCTAAACCGCAAGCTGTAATCACAGCCTACGACACAGCGGCGAGGCAGTGGGAACAACGAGACATCTAGAAGTCCTCACGGCGAGCAACGTGTCAACTGATCAGCCGGTTCTTCGAGCATTCGGCACCCGCATGCACTTCAGTCACTAAAGTAACCTGCCAAAGCTAAAGACCCCAAAGCTGCACACCCTACAACCAGACACCAGAAATCAGGAGATTAAAGGCTACACAGGTGTAAGTACCCTACACGCTCTGACGCGCTGCCTTTGCCGGCTTGCGCCGAACGGTGCGCCGGTGCGTTTGGTGCGCGTTGGGGCACTGCACTGTTTGCTCTGGTCTGGACTTTCTGACCAGCGTGGGCATCCTTACATCGCTTCGGCACGAAGCATGGCGGACAAATATGGGCTTTCCCGAAGGGGTGCATGCTCACCAGGACACGGAAATCTGTGCTAGACTCTCGATCAACTTCTTGAGAATAAGCTCAGCGGGCTGCATGGATGTCGGATCTGCGCCCGTCGACAACACGAAGACCTGCAGCGGCATGCCGAAGGGTCGAGGTGATATGCAAAAAAACAAATACCCCATATGGCCTTAAATGGCCAGTGGCTAATGAGCACGAAATGCAGACAGCGTCAGAGCATGCAAAGCTCGATAAAGGCCGGGTATGGGACAATCGGTGTGCTGCGCGTCGAATCCGCATAAAGCTCGGCCACCTGAACTAAGCACACCCTAGTCGCCTGGACAGCGACGACTGTGGCATGATGAAACCCTCGTTCTTGTAAAGCTCTCAGAGCTGTTGGGCTTGATGCCTTGAGGTGGTGAGTCGGATGTCAGATGGAACAGGAGTGGAGATCTGGGCAAAGTTCTGCTTCGACCTCCTGTTTCCTGACTTGCACGGCAACCCGTGCTGTCTAGACTGACAGAGATAGAACCATCGAGGGTTCGAAAAGCCCGTTTCACATATCAAGCAAAATCTCTGAGGGAAGCGGCCGTGGCCGTGGGGAAGATGATGAAGTTCTCCCCCAAGCACCTGCAAGCAAGTGCAACGTAACAATGCCAGTTCGGCTTCTGCCATGATCCACCGAAGCAGTCTGAAACAAGCAATTGTTTAGCCTCCGAGTGTGCTCTTGAATGGCCACCAAGAGCTTCTCCTGTGCCAGGCCCTGCAGGACACACAGATTCGTCAGCAGGGCTGCATAAGACGCCTACGCATCTCTGAGGTTTGTCTGTCCACAACGTGGGAGCTGCCAGCAGGCAAATTCAGGATGCAGGAACGCATGTTGCCATAGGCTGCGATTGAGCCGGCTATGCCCCTGGGCTCAAGATTCCATCTTCAGTTGCTAAGTAGCTTGATTTGCATGGGTGCTCTAGCATACTGCAACCTAAAGATTCTCGCCCTGAAAACAAACCGCTAGGGCATCCCATCATCACTTCAGTCAGCTACAGTTTCCGACAAACACACCACGCAAACTCAAAAAGCCCTTCCGGGCCCGGTCTGTTGCCTTCAGAAGCAGGAGGTAGTGGAAGTAATGAAGCTGATTGAGCTCCTTGGCTCGTGGCACATCCCATTTCAGGGAATCCGCAGTCTTCTTCGCGAGCATTATACGACTACATGTACCGAAGACGAGGCATGTTTCCTCAAACGTGGAGCCAGCAGGATGTGATTCGAACACTTTTGGACCCGCCATGTACCTTTCCTTGACCGTGAACCCCATGCAGCAGCGCAATGCCATCAGGGGTCATCATAATCTGCTGGCAGCTTCAGCAGATGAGGAGTATCATGGCGGACCTTGCGTTGCAATGTTCGTGTGAGTGGCCCTCCCAAGAGTTCAATCCCACCAGAATAAGTCCTGGGCCCACGTCTTCCACTCCTCCAGATTGTCGGCCATGTGCTGACAGAGATCCGGACAACGTCCCGGAGAGTACTGCTGGATGGCGTACATCTCAGCGAATCGTAGCAGATTGTTGGCTGTTGCAGACTCAAGAGGCTGTCCAAGCAGGCAGCTGGCTGGCTGCGCATGAGCTATGAAACTTTTGCTTTCGGATGATTGTGCAGAGTCTGGTCGCGTATGTGGGAAAGCAACTGCAGCCGGAGAGCATAGTCCCACATCTTCTCAGTGAAGAAGTCTGGATCCGGGTTTGGTGGCTTTTGCGACATGTCCAGAAGGCCCAGTCCCCTGGCAATTCAAAGGACGGCATGACATCGGGTAGCCTGTCCGTCGTTCTGTTGCTCTGGCCTGAGCAGCAGCGACCACTCCGGCCCCGTAATCTCACCAGCATGGCGCTGGAGCGCAGTGGCGATCAGGAAGGAGCAGGTGAGCTTGTTGTCTTCGAAGAGGCCTCTCCGAAGCGACTGCCAGGCTCAATGGTGCATGGGGAGGGATATGGATGCTTAAACAAGTCTCTAAAGCGGTGAGCTTGGGCTGCGACCTACTCATGGCTCTGCACAAAACACGGCACCAAATTGCCTCTGCATACATTTTGGAAGATGCCGTTCAAAATCTGGTTGGCCAGGTTTGTCATGCGAATGTCAATGTCATCACCTCGGACACGGGAGTTGCAGTGGGCTCAGCTCCGTCGAAGCCCGACATGTTGTGTCTGCTCCTCCGGCCCCAAGCTGAGGCAGGCTCTTCTGGCTGCCTTGTCCATACAATTCTTGAACAGCCGCACGAAGTAAAACAGACTGAACTGATACCTCAGCTTTGCTTGGAGGACCCTAAACCCTAAACCGCGAACCCTAAACGATCACGTTGCTGAAGACCAGCTTAGATAAGCTGCATCGGGTTGATGTTGGCGAGATCTGCAATCACAAAATAGAGAATGCTTCCGCGTGTCGCGACCTGCCAGTGGGTCACAGTGTCTATCCGTCCATATTAAGGAGACCCTATACCCTCATGTAGTGACGTAGGCTCGAGGGATGGACCCTCGAGGGAGTGCAAACGACTGGCCTCCGTGTATTGCTTGCAAGCCGCATCAATCCTGCAGTCGTTGGCAGAATCGCCGACTTACGTAGTGGAGACTGGAGAACTGAGAGCTTCGGCAGCTTTACGGGAGCTTGCCATTTACATCCGTCAGCATTCTGCAGAGAGACCGAAACAGCTTACTTAGACACCGCAGATCCACCCACCGCAGACCGCAAAACTGACGACTCTTATGTTCTTTGCAAAGGCCCGCGGCGGGACTCCCTGCTCAGTCGCCGGCTCCACTGCGGCTTCCTCTGCAGCCTTGACCCGCTCGTTAACTGCTATGGACGTCTCTTTGGACTCTCCCAGCGTGCTGATTAGCACCTGTGCAAAAAGCTGGAAAGAGCATCCATTCTAGCATTGCCCCTAGATATTTCGCAAAACTGCCCACACAGAAGCATGGTTTCTAACACTATACTGTGCTACACAGTGTCTCAGATCTGGCCTGGTCGTCGAGAATGTTGCCTCGGATAGCAACGCGAAACAGAAGCTGGCACAACAGAATAGCAGGATCATAGTGACTTGTGCTGTACTGCGGCACTTCCGTTGCATGGAGCACGTCAACGAGCGACTACGCCTTCGTAAGTAGTGGCTGTCGCCTTGCCATGCTTGGCCCCAGGCCGCTCGACTCGGAGAGCAGTTTCAGGATCTTGTCCTCGGAGAGAAGCTTGCAGGTGGCAACCACTGGAAAAGCGGAGTGCTACGTTCAGAAGTTCAGACTGGAAGACCTCAGTCCCGGGGCACAGGAAGTCTCTAGCTGTCCTCAAGCTGTTTCAGCACCTTCTTGTCGTCGGCAAGCTGCAGCATTAGCTCTACCTCAAAGCGAGACAGCGAGCACAGCGTTGGAGTGGCAACTCCAGGATCCTGAGCTTCCGGCCCTCCTCTGGAGCGTTTCGGGGATCTCCTTCGAAACGACCTGCAAGGCGTAGGGTTCATGGGTTCTAAGAGATCATCTGGGTAACATGAAACCCGTCGGCATGTCCCCAAACTCCCTCAGATTTGCAGGATCAAACGAAAAACTCGGCGGACGAAGCCACACGTATCTAATTGGCATTCAATAGGTTGTCGATTTGTTGCTGGAGTGGCTTTACAAGGACGAAAAGTGGAGCTTAAAGTGCTGCAGCTCCATCTGCTCTGCCCGAACCTCATTGAGAAGCTGCTCCTCCAGACCATCGAAGGTCACCGTGAAATTAATCACAGTGACCTGCCACAGCCAGATGAAAAACTTCTCTCAAGAAATGGGCTCTGCCCCAGCAAAAAGAGACTTGCACTCCTGCCTTGATGCACACCTCTGGGAAGTAGTGGGGATTCGGCATCTTTGTGGTCATGTAGAAGAGGAAGTTCTTGTCATAGTCCACCTTCAAGGCATCAGTCTTCACACCGTCGTGGCACGCAGACTCCACGAAGCTTGGGAAAAGACTGGCGCACTACATGCCGGTTGAGAGCAGCACTGGCAGACAGCCTACCTGCGCTGTCTTGTGAGCAAATGCAGCGGCCTCGCTGTCGCCGAGCTTGATTTGCAGGCGGTTGTTGTCTTCGTAGACAGCCTGGCAAGCCGACGTGCAACAGGAACGCCGGAGTTGCAGGACGTGTGCAGATCAGGTGGTAGATGCGTCAGAACTCCGGTCTGTGCGCATGTGCCAGGCCACTTTCGACAGGCCTTGAGCAACACAGGCTCGAGGGCCGGATCCAGGGTTTCTTCGATGTCCTGGCCGGCGGCCACTTCGGCTCCAGGTGGCAAAAGGACTGCTACTAGGCTACTAGTACAGCAGGGCACTCGGTAGGGCAGGGTCAGAACAAGTCTGCCGGCTGATGGCACGTCTCTCCTCCATCAGCATCGGAGCACCAGTCCGGATGCAGCCTGAACGGCAAGAATCCGACGACTCGCACCTTCTCTGCACAAAGCTTTTGAGGACTGCAGTCCTTCCAGAATCAACAGCATCTTGGGGTTCGTCATCTTCAGGGTCTTCAACTCCTCCGTCGGGGCGTGCTGACCAGTTTCCGGAGCGCCTTTAGTGGAAACGCTTGGCTTGGCATGCTTGGCTCACACTGCGGCCGCGGAAAGTCCTTGCCCTCCTTCTTCTTGATCCACTTGTTGCCCTGGTCACGTTCCGTCGTTCTGGCTTTTAGGCGAGCTGCACGGCTAGGCGAGCCGCAGGCACAGCTTGGCAACAGCAAGCACGCTACATTACATCTGCCACATCCCAATGCAAGGCTATGTCCGCGAACTCTCCTCGCAGGTTCACACTCCGATTGCGATCCCCGCGTCCCAAGGACAGAACCTCAGTATCCTTTCGCTGTTTCCGCCCGGTCCTGCCTGCGACTGGGGGTCTATCATCAAAGGCCAGCGCTTGCCACGAACGACCATGACACCGTTGTTGATGGAGACAGCCTTGGCTCACGCAAGCCAGAAAACACCTACCGACCTACTGTTAACAGAAGCGTCTGCACTGCTTCACAACCAGCTCCCGCCACTTGGTCGGAGACATCTGTTGGCAATCCCTGCAGGTTCCACTCGCGGATCTCCACTGGGTTTCCCATGACCTCAGGGCTTGAAAATTGGATGCAGGGATGGAGCAGTCAGACCGCAAGCTCAAGGTGAAGACCTCGCGTAGGTCGAAGGTCTCACCACTGGGGATCTGGAGTCGCTTCAGCTCCTACAGCCAGGCTCTGATCATTTCCGACATGCCAGCAAGTCACATCTGCAGCTTGTCCATCCGAGAATTCAACGAGAACCTCATGATCCCTCTCCACCCCTCCCATCGTTCCGTCAACCATGCATCGACGATGTCGTTGCGGTAGTTACCGGTGAAGGGCCTGGCCGAAGATGCCGCTCTTAGCTACAGTGAGGCGGAAAGTCTTCAGTGCCTTTCGCCAAGAGATCTGCAACACTACCAGTAACGAGGTTGTGGCTGGGAGCTTCCATCAGAGACATGCCGGAGACACCCGTAGTAGGAAATCGATGCTGACGACAAGAAAACCTGAGAGGCACTGTCACTGCGTGGAATGGCTGTCTTGACTCTGCACGCTATGAGTCCGCACAACACGCTACTCCGCTCTGTGGACAGGGCGTCGCCAGTGAGATTGATGATGTCTTGTCGGATGCTCGCTACCGTCTCACGCCTCAAGGAATGTTCGCAAACGATCCGAACACCTACAATTTGATGCTGCCTGACGCCACCACACCCAAAAAACCGGCACGAAACTCTCAGGCCGGATCCAGCGGATGCCTTCATCCTTCAAGCCGACCGTCAAGATGTCAGCCCGTGCCAGTCGGTCCTGAAGACCGTGCTTCTTGATCCAACCGCATGGGGATGACGAGACGTTCAGCAGTCCTTGGTGAGCTGCGCCTCTGCCACCAGCCGGTCCTTGTCGGAACGATGCCGTAAGTGCCATTTTCAGCTGTTCTGAGACAATTTTGTCCGCAACGCTAAGTCCGACCTACTGACCTACGGCTAAGAGCACGACCTCCGAATGAAGGGCTGCAAGCCAATAAGGCTACAGTAGCTGCACGCAGCCAACCCTTCCTGTACACGTCAGCTGTGCCGCTGAAAACTCTCAGTTCAACTCAATGTGGCAAGGTCACCCCACTCTGAATCAGGTGGGAACGTTGTGGCCGGAGCTCAAACAGCAACTGCGACGGGTTTCTTCCAATCACCAGCGTTTGATCCCAAGAGTGAACACTTCTGCTTCATCTCGCCAAAGGGGCACTTGCACTGGCGGTGACAATCGAAATCGGAGCCACACTCATGGTGGCAAGTCATCGAAGCCACCACCTTCTCTGTGAGCCAGGGCATGGAAGGAGAGGGACATGAGCTGTGGCAGGCAGAATCGTGGTGGCATTTGTGATGACACTCCATGATCGGCTCCACCTCAGCACAGCTCTTCTTCAACTCCCACCAACTCTCTGTGCACTTCTCCAAGCATCCCATGTCGCTCTTGCACTTCTCTGCGCAGGTGATGACCTGCTCCTGCAGCTGCGACCCACGCAAGAAGAAAGTCGCCGGATCCTGCTCGGTCGCGCCCTCGTGGTGGAAGTGGTGCCATTGTCCATGGTGACCCTGGAAGGCATGGAAGCCGTGAAAGCCATGGTGATGGTCGTGGTGAACGCCCTCGCCATGATGGAAGCCATGGTGATGGTCATGGTGATGGTCGTGGTGAAAGCCCTTGTCATGGTGGAAGCCGTGGTGGAAGCCATGGTTGTGTCCATGGTGGAAGAACTTCCAAAGCCCTGCTTTTGGGCAGAGGTGGTGGCACTCACCCTCCTCGGTGCACGCGTCGTGGCAGTGCTGCGCTTCCTCAAAGGCCTGACACCTCATCTGCAGACCCATCAACGGCTTGGGGCAGTGATGATGGCATTCCCGATCGCGGCAAAGCTCATGGCACTGCATAGTGTCCTCGACCACCGCCTTCATGTGCGGGCAGCTTGGCAGCGGGCATTGCTTGTGACATTCATGGTCGTGGCCACAGTTGCGGTGGCATTCCATTACGGGTGTCACCTCCTGACACGTCTTCTTGAAGCCCAGCCAGAAGGGCTTCGGACATTTCTCGATGCAGTCGTCGTCTCCAGCACAGCTCGCTTGGCACGACCGGAATTTCCAAGCCAACATCTTGGCTGCTGGAGGCTGGACACCAGCGAAATCTGGCTTCGCCCCGAAAGTCTTGGCCTCAAATACCTTCGGACACTGCTTGTGACAGAGGCGATCTCGGCCGCAAGTCTTGTGGCAATTTCCCGACATGCTCAATCGTCCGCACATCTGCCTGAATGACCTCACAGGTGCATTGCACGCATCTCGGCATGCATCGTCAGAGCCGCAGTCGACGTTGCACTGGATGATGCCTTTCACTTTTGCTGCCATCTTCGGGCACTTCGGGAGAGGGCAAGTGCGGTGACAACTCATGTCATCACCGCACGACTGGTGGCAACGTATGATGTCAAAGCCCTCAGTGCAGGTCTCTTCCATGTGAATCCATGGCTTTGGGCATTTGGACATGCACTCCTCGTCTCCAGCACACTTCTGTTTGCACATCCACCGGTCTCCCATTGACTTGTGCCATGTCTCGTGCCAGTCCTTCGTTGGCCATCCAGCATCCTCACCCACAAGCTGGTTGAGAAAGCTGGGCCGATAGTGGTGGTATCCTATGCCAACCAAGCCAACGAGGCCCAAGGCAGAGAGAATGGAGGCAATCGAACAGCTCCAGTTCATCGTTTGCAGGCGCAGCCAGGAAGAAGTGGAAGAGCGGCACCTACCTGTCAAGAACCAACGCTGGCTGAAGCTCGCAAGCTTGAGCCGCGGCATTGAATACAACAGGAGACGCAAGTCCTGCGCAGCATACCCGAATCACGCAGCAGTCAGTAAAAATTGTTGCAGCAGCAGCCCTCTGTCAAAGCTGATGAAAGCTGTCACAGCCGATGAAAGCTGTCACAGCCAACCCCCGACTTAGTTCGAGCTCCAACACTTCAACGAGCATGACTCCAACACCACGGCCTTCTCGGACACGGTGTCGTTCAACTTCCTTAGACACCAAGATCTTCTGACTTTCAGATCTAAGATTACCGTCAAGTCGAAATACCATGATGCAGCACCTGCGAATCTGGACTCTGAAAGCCACGACAAAGTCTGAGCAAGTGCCAGGCGGCTTCTGCAAAGCGGCAACTTGCGACTCAACCTCGTGGAGGTTGTCTTGCTTTGCCTGACATGGCTCACATCCGGCCGTTGCTTGTTCGATGCTTGGAGGCCTGAGAATGTATTAATATAGCTTCGTTTCGTGGCCCAGGCAGGGGCCCTCAAAAACACGCTACTCCTTGTGACCCTCGCAGGCATCTCATGAGCTTGGGCTTTCCAGTTGTCAACCTTGGCCAGTCCACAAGCATAAAACAGACGGCCTTCAGCTCTGCATTCGCCTTGGCTAACTTGTCATTCAACTCGGCCACCTGCAGCGACAGCGGTACAGAAGGTGCCAGCTTCTTCCAAAGGCCGCAACCCTCCCTGCCAGTGTCGAACGCGAATCACAGCCTTCTGCTTCTTCGGCTCGACCTCCTTTGCCACCTGAGACGCAGCCAAGTTGACGGCACCAGGCAGAGGTTCACAGCCGCCTTGGAGTACGTGTCCATCGCGTAGGTCCACATGCAGAGGCTTTTCGCAGCCTCCGGTTCTTTTGAGCTTCTGCTCTAAGGTGGAACTCAGATGAGGCACCCATCACGACGAAATGTCTTGGAGTCTTGGCCTTGCTTTGGTTACCAACGGCTTCAACGGTGTACTCCGGCTTCGTGACGTACCTTGGCAGTTTCTTTGGCAACAGATGCTCAAGCTAGCAGCTCGAAGTTCCAGTTCAGATCAAGGTGCTTTGTCAGCTGCTTTAGGACCTTCTCTGGAATGTTGTCCTCCAGCTTGAAGTCACGAGCTGGTTTGCGAACCCTCGTGACTAGTGTTTCGATCAGTCCTTGTCATAGGCCTTTAAGTCTTGCAGGAAGGTCGGCCGGTTCAGCACTTTTTTGGCCGTGTCCCAATCGGGCTTCTCTTGCAGAAGGACATTCACTGCCTGACACGGGATGCAGGGCTTCCTGTTCTTTGCAGTCGATCGAATGCGGTGGTGCGGTTGCCGGTCTGCTGTCCAGTTCGAGCAAGCCCGTAGCCTCCATAGTCAGCATCACGAGCGGCGGAGGCTTGGCGAAGGACTTGATCTCCTGCATAGTCGAGCAGCTGACCGGCTGAGCATCAGTGCGAAAAACGATGACGGCGGCGCTGGGAACATGTTCTGAAAACGGGTGGCTGCAAGTCAGAAAAGCTGAGGACGTGTGCGGAATAACCGGGGCTGACTGGAGAACAAACGTGACGCGAGTCTCTGAACACCAAAGTTCACACCCCAAACCCTAAACCCTGGACCCTCCTGAACCCAAACCCTTCCTGACTTGTCCTGCACGACCGCTTCCGTGACACCGCAGTTGCAACCAGCTCGACTAACAGTAAGTGCGAAAAAACATCCCTATCTGCAACATCCTGGATATCTTTCTTGTCCAAGGCATCCAGGGACTTCAGCGCACCTGAGCCACTCACAGTAACACAAATTGCAGCTGCGTCAAACCTTCAGGCACTGTGCCTAAGGAGGTCACGCCCCGTGGGATGGCACGGCTTGAAGACGCTACTTACGCTTTTGAAGGGCAGATGTCGCCTGGCTCATTTTCCTACACCAGCCGAGTCGCTTTCAAGGGCTGGCATGGCAATGTCCAGGTCCCTTTGCGCATCGTCTGCAATAGCCTTCACTTCGTCGGCCTGCTTCCTGACAATGACCTGCCCGGGGTCGAACCACTGCTTTGCAACTTCAAACTGCCCCATTTCTTCCCGCTCGTCTGAGATTCAATTGGCACAGCGAATCTCTTCTTATGCTATACCCCGCTTTTTCTTATGCTGGACCCATGGCCGGTTCTTTTTTTATGCTAGACCTGGTTCTCTTTTATGCTTGACAGAGACCAGTCTCAAGCATAAAATGGAAAAAGGCAATGGGGCCAGGCCTCCCCACCCTCCCACCTGCCCCATAGAGCATAACAAGGAAAGGGGGCAGCATAAAACAAGATCGGAATTGCGTAGAACTAGAAACCTGCAACATAAAACGGAGAAAACTCAAGCATAAGAGGAGACTCCATGCGCATAAGAAACACAACCTGTCGACGATGGGATGGAGACATGGAAGTCAATGGAGACATGAAGGTGCACAGCATGAAAATAAAAACCCTCAGCATAAAAGAATAATACCAAGTCCATTCAATTGCAGTCCCTGGCCTCCTCGCTGGAGACTTTCTCCTTAATAACTTCAGCCTGCAACAGGGAGACGCAGCCGTTCCCCCGTCCATCTAACACTGCTTCATGTGATACAGCCCCCGAACGCATGATTTCACAGCAGCCTTCTTCTGCTCCTCTGTGACGACCGGAACGAGCTCGTCTGCCTCAGCTTTAGATGTTGAAGAGTTGCTTCTCCACGAAGGGAAGAGCTGAGTGCCTCCTTGATCTTCTGCGAAATCACAGGGGCCAGCTTGGTGAGCTCTTCTTGCAAGTTGTTCACAAACTCGTTCGCCTGTCTAGGGAATGCAAAACGGCTTGTAGTAAGCTGGATATTCAGAAGGTGGATCGAGGTAGTACCCCACACTACAGTGCCGACAGTGCGTTTCGACATCCTTTGCAAGAAATCCAGACATGCAGCTGACTCAGGACAAACGTCTGATGACGGCATCAAATGCTGCAGATCCAAGATCTAGAAATCGGAAACAGTTGCCGTGAAAGAGGCCTCGTCAATCTTGTCAACTCCTGTTTGCAGGCGCTTGAGCGACACGTCCTTCTCTTCCTTCTTCTCTTGGATCATCTCCAAATACAAGCCTGGCTACCGAGCAGCCGCTTAAGACTGTTGGCATGAACCGTCCATGCTTCTGATGCGAGCTGCACTGTCAACAGGTGGCGCTTCGTTGTCTTGCTCCAGCTAGCCACGCATCATATGCTCAAAACTGCGCACTTGCATTGACACCTCTTTCTGCTTCGCCTTCTGCCTCGAAGGTGTGCGTAGCGACGTAGCCGCAAACAACTCAACAAACAAACAGGGAGAAGACTCCTCGCATGAGTCCGAAAGCGTTGGCGTGATAGAAGCTGCGCCAACGGCATCAAGTAAGAAGCAAAACGAAGCTACAGCTGGCGCTGTGCTCCGGTCCAAGCGTGCCGGGGCTGCTGATGAGGTCCAGGTACGACTTGGGCGTCACGTAGACCTTGCGCCTCAAGTTCTGAGTGCTCAAGGCAACTTTCATGGACGGTGCTAATCAGCGGCGATCCTGAAGCATGCAATATGGCTTTGCCCCATCACCAGTGCCTGAGTCGTTCCTCGAATACTGCAGATGTTCGAATGACTTCCTGGTGCACGAAGCAGCACGCCTGCAACAGCGCAATGTCCCACCCCAGCTCATGTGCGAAGGCACTGCTTACCCAGCGTCTCTCCAAAACTGGAGTCAATACAAACTGCAACGCTGCATAATCCAGGCAGCAAGAAACTGTCTGTTCCCAAACCGAATGGAAAATGTCCTGCCTGTGAGACCGAGTCCTTCAATTCGTCACTGATGCCTTGCATTCCAGATAACCTTGCGAGATGTTGCAATCGGCATGTGCCACTCGCTGGAAATACAGGAAATGTCTTGACCTGCAACCAAGCTGCTGTCGGGCTGAGACGCCCAGCAAGGCCTGGGAAGCAGCATTTTCGGAAGGCTTGCTACGGGTACCATCGCCCTTTCTGTGTGACAGGCCTCGTCTGGCCAAGGAAGGAACCAGTCGATGGTGCAGCAATTCACCAGTGCTGGGAACATTCGCATTCTCACCCTGCAGATCGGCAATTAGAGAGTTGTGGCACTGTGGTGTTGCTGGAGACGCAGCTGCTGCAGCTGCAAGCTTTCAGTTAGAGAACTGGCCTCAGAGCTGATCCAACAGGCGACATGGTCAGGACCTTACAGCAAACATTGATTGGGCACAAGATGAGGACACCTTCTCCTACACAGTGATTCGGTATTGTGCCCCCCCCGGAAACTCAGGCACTACTGCACACTGAGTTTGCTTTCCGCACATGCTTGGCCTGAGATCCATGCGATGTGCAGATTGTCTCGCACACTCTCCACAAAGAATGCCCACACTGCGTCTTTGGCCTTCCACTCCAACAGGGTGTCGACCGAATCGGATCCGTGTGAACCCGCTCGAAGACTAAAACTCCCTAAGAATCCCAAAACTGAGCCAAAGCTTTGCTCCCTTCGCGCCTCACTTCGTCCCAGCTCCTTCGCTCTCGGCCTGGTCTGGGGGTTTTTGAAGCTTGGCAACTTCTGGGAGAGCATGCCCCCTGGGGTGTGAAAGAAAGGGACAGCTTCACTTTCCAGCCGAAGCCTTGTGTCGGCAATGACTCTGTCGATCTCATCGTTCGGGAAGAGATTCGGGACCTCTTCGACGGCACATCTTACGACAGCATGTCGATCACCGGTGGCATTGGCGCTCCAAGAAATCCAACGGACATAAATGTAGCAACCGAAACTTGCGAGCCTCTCCCGCATTGAGGATGTTGTTAATGTCCTCGAGGAAGGTTTCGTTGATGATCTGCGTGTCGCTGAGAAGGAACATCGTTGCCTCACGTGTGTCTGTCGAAGGCTTACCTTCGATCGGATCGGTTTGCTCGTCTATCTCTGTGAGCTTCTAGCTAGTGCCAGCATGCATGTAGCAGGAATACCTTTCCCGGCATGGGACAGATAAAGCGTTGGAAGTCGTGCCACTGACACACGGAAAGCGAGACCAAGACAACTCGGACACTAGCTGCCAAGCTGTCTGCCTTGGCGGCTCCTGCTCCTGCGGAGATAAGGAACTTCTTCTCATCTTCGCGGAAGGCATCGATGCCGTAGCCCTGGAGAACATGCAGAGGGAACATCGAGTGGCACTAGCTTTTAACCGCTGGAATGGATCCGCTTTACATGTTTGCGCCTTCGTCAAGGCAATGTTGAACTCGTTGGTCCTCAAGATGGACCGTCACAGAAGCTAGCAAAGTCAGGATAGGTGCTAAGATCCCGACTCAGACATGCAAGCACCTCGGATAAGAATACAGGCTTCGCTCGGGGAACCCTCACGTATGTTCCTGGCGAACTTGCAATAAGCTTCGAAACCCCGTAGTCCCCAGCAGCTACTTTCAGATGCAAGTCCCCTCTGCGGCAAGCCACATATTTTTGCGCAACTTGACCGCCCACTACCTCCAACACCAACCAGGAGGAGATTTCCTGCGAGCTGCATCCGCATGATTGGGTCAGCAATGGCAGCTGAGGTCAAGCCGATGAAGACAGCTGCCCCCTCAAATCAAGCTTCCAGATTCCCCAACTGGCAACTCCTCTGGGCTGCGCCAACACCCTCGCAATGCGGTTGATGTGCTCCACGCAGTCCTGGACATCTTTGCGCGTTGCTCCCTTCAAGGGCTGGACGTGTAAGCGCTTTGCGACCCTTCCAGCTACTGCGGCCTGGAAGAAAACCAGATTCATCTGTGCTGTGTGCGAGAGGTTATACTCGTCGTTTGCGTCTTCCAGCACCTTTTGCACCTGGCCAGCTCTGCTTATCGCAGCAGGACAGAGAGAGCCCCGAGGCCGGAAACAGGCAAGTGCCCACCTTCGTCTTGTCCTTGGCTTCCTCGTAGACTCGGGACTCTACCGGACGGAGGAAGTTGCACCACCTTCCGAGGTCGGCAAAACCGGCAGAAGCTCGGAAGCGCTTCTATCGTCTGCATAATATTGCAGAAAAGCTGCATCAAGGCATTCCAGATCTCTGGATCGGTATCCAAGACTCTGAACCTGCATTGTGTCTATGCACAAGCTGACCACGATGCGCACTCTTCCCTTCCACCCCCGCTGGTGCCGCATGCGAGCCTGGACTTCAGTTGTTCGGCCGCCGCCTTGTAGAACCACTCCTCACAAGCCCCAACAAATTTTGGCGATCATTGCGATGTCATGTGAACGATCAGTCCTTGTCCGCTTTGTTGATAAGACGGTCACAGAAGACTCTTGAAAGCTCGTGGTACCAAAGCCTCGCGCCGAGCTCGCATCCGGACAGCCCTCGGATCGCTGTACATGCCGCAGTTCCAACTCCAAAAAACACCCAGGGCGAATCCTCGGAAACCTAGAGTGAAAAGTTGCCCGAGCTTCTGCTCTGCAAAACCTAAACGGGCTTGCCTCGTGAAAGCTTCTGCGTTCGTCACCTTGGCACGGGACTTTGCCCTTTCCTTTCGGCTTTAGTGAAGCCTCGATGAACGTAAAGCAGGCCCACGGCAAGTTCGGAAAGAAACAGATGCCTTTTATTCAAGACCAAAATTGTACAAGGCATCCCACAGAGAAACCCTTCATGGGAGCTTTGTTGGGCCTGTGCAACTTTTGTGCTGAGACCATTTGCAAGCATCCCAAGTCCTGCAGCATCCAGAAGCGAGGCTGAGCGCTCTGCGTGCATCGGCTTGACCATGAGAAGTCCCTGGAACACCTGGAAGGTGCACAACGCGTGCTGACGAGCGGCGGACTGTTCCAAAACTCTTCAAACATTGCCTTCGACACATCTCGCAGGTTGAAGGTGTAGTGCGGTCGGGTTGGGGTTGGCAGAAGCTCGTCGCCACACCTTTGCAAACCAGAGAGGTGCAACCTGCACATGCCTGCATGGCGAAATAACTGGGAAGGACACTTGTTGTACATCTCGATCGTGCTTTGGACCGATGCGTTGGCCAAGCCCTGAACCTCGCCTCGGTATGCATCACTCTTACGGGATGCACTGCACAGCTCTACCTACTGAAGGCCGTGCCACGCGGAAGCCACTTCGCTGGGATACCCGACTTTTGAAGCGCTGCAGGAATCCGGAAATAATGGATCCGAAGATTGTGGACATGGCCTCCAAGTCATCGGAAGGATCGAGGTGCTAGTGTCATCGCCGTGCGTGGCCGTCACCAGAAAGGGGCTTGAGAAGATGCAAATACTGCAGCTTCAGCTATCCACAACAGCAAGACCGACAGTGCCCTTTTCAAACTGTCGCGACAGTATTTCGGCCCTGCCTCCTCACTGGTTGGTGGCATGCACAGCACCTGGCTGACAGTTGCGATGATTGAGGAGGCCTATAAAATTAAACGTGGCCGTCACATCACCCTCAGCACCCTCATCGTCATCGTTGCACTTACAGTCATCGTCGTCGCCCGCATTAGCTTCATCATCACCCCTGCCATGTTATCCTGATCACCCTCATCGTCACTCTTGCCACCCTCATCACCTGATCGTCACCCTGGTCCCACTCATTCCACTCGCCACCCGCAGCGTCATCATCAGCTTCATCGTCATCTTCGTCCGAAACAGATGTCAACCGGCACGTTCTGATGCATCCATGATGACCCGTTTCACGGTGCAGGCTGCCTTCAGAAATCCAGCAGCTGCGCGAGGTAGGCAAGGGCAAGATTGGTGTCGATAAACACAGATAGTAGCGCATCACCAACCGCTTGCGGAGCGCACGATAACCCCGCTTCTAGACATGCAAAGGGATCAAGGCGATGCCAAAAACCTTCCTCAAGTCCGGTCGAGACGGTCTGGCCTGGGAGTGCCGCGTGAATCTGGCAGTCATCGAGTTACGGCCACCACCTGGCATCAGGGACGCTTGTCTTCCGATCCCATGGATGCCCCTCCTCGTGCTGCCATCCACATCATTTACTGCATGAGACCATCAGTCATGAACACCCAATCCCAACCCAAATGTCTCTACTCTAGTTATCTAACAGCCAGCTGAGCCTGGTGGGGCGGCGCACAGCAGCAAAGTGGTGTTCTCGATATCCTTGTTTCAACAGTGTTACAGCTGAGCAGTGTATACGATTGTCACATCTATCCCGACGACGGGACATGGATTCACTGAAGCGGCGCCTTCCACTCATGCTTCTTCCGGTCGAAGAAACCCCTCTGGTCTTGGAATTGCCTTGTCGAATACTGCAGCGCACGACAGTATTCGAAATCCTCGTGCCGCAGTGAAAGAAGTTCACGTGAATCGCTCACCCGTGCCCAGCAGAAGAGTCGCCTCAGCAGCTCGATTGGAGGCTGCGCACCATATTCTTCCACGAGCGGCATGTTCACATCATCGATGAGGATCACCACCTTTTCTGCAGACTTTCCGCAGTACGAGTTCTGCAGAAAGTCAAAGGCGTGATTTGTGAGGGTCTTTGTGGGAGCATGTTCACATGTGGAGCCTTCATCATACACGCCTGGTGCTCCTATCAGCAGTAGCTTGTGGTATGTGCACCAGCTGCAGCAGGACGCCATTGCAACCAAACAAATTCTGACCAAAGCACCGTCTTGTTCACAGGAGCACCCAGCAGGGTCTTTCTCTTTCTCTCGAGCTTGCTTTCGATGTTGATCTGAGTTTCCTGAGCTGAGTCAGGCGAGACCAGACTTCTGCTCGAGACTTGGACGTCGCACTGGGACTGACTTCACCAAATTCAGCCCAGCATCGTATGCCTTCGTCTGAGCACTGAAGGTCATGAAAACCTCAGCTGGAGGCTCCAGACCGGATGCTCTAAGCGCAAGCGGTAGTGAGCATTCGCAGCTTCACGCTCCGGACACACAAGGCTCTACCACATTGGACACCTCAGGACCTGCAGCCGCAAATAGGCCTCATCCATCCTTCTGAGCGTTTCTGCAGGTACGGTCGCTTATCCTTCTCGCCCCCTCCAAAGCTGCACCAATCTTACCTTGCAGTCAGCTTGCGGGCATGACGGCCGCAACCTCTTTCATCTTCTCCAAGAGGGCGGCAACATTGACGCTCTGAGCAATCAGGGAGGATCGGTCAGCCACAATGAAGATGCTTAGCTACATAGAAGCACATCAGTACACAAGCAGCACAGTCGGTCAAAAGCTCTCCGACTGATCGGCCTTGCCCACGCCGGAGTTGCCCGTGAGGAACACTGAGTTCTGCGTTGTCATCATTCTGTCCTGGCGATGGTTGGATTGGAATCTAAGCCACAACGAGTGACCCGGAGTGCACAAGATCCGGTCCATGACGTAGGAGAAGCGCACGGTGTCCGGGTTGGGAACCAAAAGCCTCAGGCAACGGTCCAGCACTGGATCTCGTTCTTGCACTTCATTCAGTCTTCTCAAGCAAGGAGCTGGAAGTAGGAAACCCCCTCTTGGAACAGGAACTTCGGCACAATGTCGGTCCAAGACTTCCACTTCGGGCCTGTGAGGCAACAGACATTGATCGCGCAAAGCACAAGCCATGACAACACGTGTCTTTAGGGTTTCATGTGGAGAGCCTTCGTGGTAGTTGATGAAACCGTCATAGGGACCTGCATCAGCATGCTTCCCTTCAATGCATCCGGCACTCTACTGCTGAGAAGCTCTGCTCAAACTGTTTGTCGAAGTACACCAGAAAGGGCACTCGAAGCAAGAGGGAGCGTGGTGCTAGTCAACCACACGGAGAGGCCTCCGCCTCTTGGCATGGACACATTCGGGAACCAATTCTCGATCTCTCTGGCGAACCTGCAAAGCCAGTGCGTCAAGCGGTCCCAGGGCAGTTGCCGCGAATCGGGGAAGCTTGGCACACGAGACTTGCAGCTTTCGCTCAGGACACGACATTCCCCGTGTCTTGGCATCACAGCCTCAGGCAAAGTAGCTTCAGAACGTGTGTCGCTCTGCTCAGCGGGGCAGCTCAGCCCTCCTTAAGTTCGGCTAAGCAGCTGCCCCCGATTGTCCAGGTGAAAGCGAAACAGAAAGTCGGCTGGAGGAACTTCTCAAACTCAGCGGCCTGCCCCGGATGCAAGCTGCTAGAACGAATTCAAATTCAGCCGTGCTGTGCCTACGGGCGACTAGCGTGTTGGATACTCGTGGTTGAAGGCTTCCAGAGCAGATGCAGAACGCACATGGCCCTTCACAATACCTCTAGTGCTGCCGAATTTGTGGCCGGTGATGGTCCTGAACATGGGCTAGCCGGCGCTTCACCGCACAGTTGATGGCACGCTTGACATCCTCGTCTACACACTAGAACATCAGCAGCAATAATTACAACGCCAGTACACCACTCGCTGACATGGCAGTTACATTCAGTTACGTAACTTGCACTGACAAACCGTGGGATCGCTCCGGCTGGCTAGCTTAAATGTACTTGCATCGAAAACACGACGGTCAGCCCCAAGGCCTTGGTACTTTGGGACAGCTGCAAAGACGGTTCGTGCCTCCATGCCGGAAAGCTTGCGCGGAGCCAGGACTTGCTCCCCCTGCCAAGGACCCCAGGTCCGAGGTGGGACTATGTACCGGACGTCTCCGCACAAAGCTGCGAAACAAAACCGCATGTTTCGTTCGGAGCCAAGAATTCCGAACGTAGCGGAGCCATAAGCGAGCCCTATGGGAGCCATTACAAGCTGAGACATCCCCTGCCCCGGACCTCGGCGACCTGAGCATCTTTGGAGGCGCAGCTGTTGGCCGTTGCCGCCTGCCAACGCGACGCTCGTCGACTCGTGACAGCTGCGGTCGGGTCACGGCTGACTCGGAGCCCAAAGCGAAGCAAGGCCTCTTCGTTCATCACGGACTGGAAGAGGCGGCAGAGGGAGATCACCAGCTGCGTGTCCTGCAGCGGATTCTCGCTCTCCAAATCTTCTTGCACGGCTCTGGCGGCAGGTGCCTGCGTGATCACAGGCTCTGAGCCATTCTTCCGCAGAAAGTCGAGGCCTTGGCTTGCGTGCGAAGGAAACTAACGGACTGCAGGGCTCCAAACGCCAAAGCCAGTGCCTCGCTGCACGTGAGCATCGAAGTAGCTCCAGATCATGTCTTTCGCCTGACCAGGCCCCTTTCTAGGGCACGAGACCCAGCCAAGGCAGCTGTCCCAGACAAGCGCTTGGAACCGCTTCGGCGCCTTTTCACCGTACAGCTCGTCCGGCAATCCACTCAGCCAAGTGCGCACGAAGGGCTCCCATCCCAGATCCGAGGGCGTGAGGTACACCTGAGACGTGCCAACTTGATCTTGTTCACTGTTGAACACATGTGCAAATAGAAATGTTGACAGTGAGTTTCTGGGGCCTGTTCATGCTGCTAGCATTTCACAGCGACTGCTCCAAAGCACCCTGCAGATGCATAGCAGTGCTTCATCCTCCTATCGGACTGCCCGAAGACTCACTTCCAAAATCCACCATTCAATACTCTAAGCAGATCCTCAGGCCCGGTCCATGCCACATCGAGAGACCGTCGCGGGGGAGGCCACACGGAGGTCCTCCACTCCAGCCCCAGCCACCAAATTCAAGGGTGTGCCCTAAATAGCTTCGGATGCCGGTTTACGTTGTTTTGGGTTTCGCTCTTGCCCTTTCCAAGGCGTCTTTCTTTTTTGGGTCGCTCTCCAAGTTCTGAAGCTTGTCGTCGTATGTCGGTCATGGCTGTTTGGCGACAGCGCAGGGTTTTCTTCTGTTGAGCTGCCATGACAAGAACCGGACTGCAGACTGCTTGGAATAGGACTCAAACTCATCATGCAGTCGCTCTGTTCGAGCAGGTCCTCCACTTCGAAGAGCATGCGCCTGAGCGATGTTGGACTCGAGACTCAAGACATGTGGCTTTGAGACAGCGCCTATAAACCGTGGAACTTCACAAGTCCCAAAGCGCACCCTCCCCGGCCCACGCTGACCGAAGCCGCCACGGCCGTCCCACGACCAGAAGCTGCTCAAGAGAAGGAAGGCGCTGCAACAGAGTCTGAGGCTTGACCAAACACCCAACCTCGACTTGTTCTTAAAGTAATACCGTAAAGCATACAGCTCTGTGTGAAGTCTTCTGTCGAGGCTCGCAACTGAAATCCAGGACGGGATCCTTCACGCTTCGAAGCCGCGCTGGGCTCTGGGGAGATCCAGCACCAGGCCCAAACTCTGCAGAAAACCCCAACGCCGCTTCACTCTCCAGGCCCCCGCATCGTCCAGTTCAGCTTGATACGCTCGCCGTTGGCCAGGCCTTCAGCGTGCAAGGCGGCCCGATTGCATGGGTCGGTGCATGGATGCGATCCTTGAGCTCACAACCAGGACGGCACAACTCCAAAGCCAAACAATGTGGCTCAGATGGCTCGGTCTGAGCAGTGCACAAAGAGTCATGTTGTCATCCAGGACCGTGTTCATGTTTTCGATCCAAATGGCCTTGGAGAATTCTGAAATTTGGGAGAACATACAACGAGGAAGAAATCACCGAGGCAAGATGCATCCACGGGCCCATCGAAAACCGTCCACTTGTAGTCATTGTTCTCCTGCACCAGGAGACGAGGCCCGGGCTTCCGAGCACAGCAACATCGCTCATTGATCCGGTCTCCTCAGTCTGGAATCCTCGCATGATCCTGCTTCCAAGGCCGTCTGTCCACTCCTGGCAGCAACATGCCCAATCGCATCCAACCCGACTGACACAAACGGGAAACCCGTGAACGCGCTTCGGCGCTAAGCATGCGTGGCCTCCGACTCGAGCCTAGGGCCTAGGGCAATCCCTCATTGCCGTCAGTCCTGGGTTAACTCGTTGTTCTCGCCGTACAGCTCGCCCATGGTGATGCCCTGTGGCAGCGCAGCGGAAGCTCGGCTCAAGGAAACTTCGGTCTCAGCCCACCTTGGGGTTGAAACAGGTGTACCGGGTCTTTTGGTATCGTTCGTCCGGGTTCTGGTCCTCCCGGAGCTGTGTCAACGCCTGAGTGAGGCTCGGAGCACCCAGGATATGCTGGTGGCTTGGTCCGAATCATCCACGGCTCAGCGGGATGGGGTGCAAGTTGCGAGTTTGCAGCAGCATCACGTGGCCTCGTTCTAAGGCCATGCTGAGGAGTCAGCAATCGCGAGGGTTTTGTAGTCCACCTGCATCACATCAGGGGATTCTCTCCATCACCCAATGCCCAATGCTGCATTAAATCTTGAAAAATCCTCGGGCTCTGACGCTTTTGCCACCAAGCGTTGGCCCAACAAGCATGACGCCGAAACGGACCTTGTCGGATGCAGTATCAGACTAGAGACAGATGTTACATCACGAAATCGTTTGATGTGCAACGGCTGCTCACCTCGTCAGGGTGGAGAATTTTTTTTTGCCCTTTTTTTTTTTTTTTTTTGGCCCTTTTTTTTTTTTCCCCTGCCCTGGGCTCCTGGGTTCTCTGTATTTGCACAGGAAAAACAGCTCTTCTCTCGGGATTTTCTGTATTTCCACAGGAATCTCCAAGGGAAAACACTGCTTTCCTATGGATTTCTTTCGTTTCCTAAGGATTTGCTTGGTTTTTTCTGGGGAAAACACGATTTTCCTACGGATTCCGTTGTATTTCTCTAAGTTTTCTTTGGTTTTTCCTAGGAAAAAAACTTATTTTCCTATTACCTACGGCGTTCGTGGCATTTCTTCAGGTTTTCCGAAGGAAAACATACGTTACCTAGCTTATTCCTCGGGAAAATCAAATTTTTCCTACAATTTCGCATTTAGGACGGATTTCGTGGTGTAGTTGTTGCTAGTAGTGTTGTTGTTGTTGGCGTTGTGGTTGTAGGTGTAGTATGTTGTAGTTTTAGTTCTAGTTGTAGGGATAAAAAACCCGAGGGTCAAACAAAAATCAAAGAAGGATCAAAAAATGAAAATACGGCAATTGCAGCCATTCAGCGTGATTGTTCTGTCTTTCTTACTGTGTTGTTCTTATTCCCTTGTGTTTTTTTGGGTTTGCGTTCTGTATTTCGTTCGATCATTCCTTGTCTGTCTTTCTGTGGTTGGTTCTTTCCGTTTATCTTTCTATTTTTCGATTTGTTCGTGATTTATTTCTTCCTGTCTTCCTTCCCTTGGCTAGTAGTGTTGTTGTTGGTGGCGTCACTGCAAAGTCCTTGCTGGTTTACCCAAATTTATAAGTATCATAGGATCCAAGCATCAAAACAAGTTAAGCAAGAAAAAGAACGACATCCGAAACTATGGATCAGATCTCGAACAAACGTAAGCACAAACGATAAACCACTGCCAAATTTAATGGGGTTTTAGGCTTCAGGGTTTTTGGGTTTAGGGTTTAAGGTCATTGCACTCTGACTAAGGTTCCCATACTGCAAGCCTCCACTGACAAGGTTTGCCAGGGTCTAGGCTTCAGGGTTCAGGGTTTAACGGCTTTCTGGTTTTAGCGCTTCAGTTCTAGGGATTCAGGATCAGGTCTCCTCGTCGTTGTCGGGCGCGACGTGCTTGTAGTTAGAAGCCATGGCTGCGGTTTCGCGCCAGGGCAAGGGGAAATGCTGCTGACGTGGAGGATCAGTGGACTGAGTAAGGCAAAGCATAAGTAGTTTCTACGTTTTCGTTTGTGTACTCGTGTTCTTTCTGTTCTTCCTTCGCTGTTTCTTCCGGGGCGACGTTAGTTCTCGCTGAAACTGCGTCAAGCCGATTTAAGCGTCGCACCCCTAGGACCCAGGGCAAAAAAAGCACAATGAAGCGATAGTCTTACGTATCGTTCTTCTTTATTTTCCGCGTCTTTCTTGTTCCTTTAACTATTTCTGATTGTCTTTATTAATTTATGGCCTTCCGTATTTCTTTATTTCTCTGTTTTTGTTCTTTGGTTATTTCTTCATTGTTTGTTTTGTTTTTGTTTCTAACTCTCTTTGGTTCTTTCCCTTGTGTTTTCTTTGTTCTTACCTTATAGCTTTCTTTATTTACTTAGTTCTCTATTCTTGTTTTCTTTTTTACTTGTAGCATCCTTTATTTGTTTATTTCTCTAGTTCTTGCATGGCTCTCTTTCTTTCTTTCTTTATTGATTTCTTTCTTTTGTTCCTTCCTTCTTATTTACTATATATACCATATTGATTATATATACTATATATACTATATATACTGTATATAGTATATATACTATATATACTATATATATATATATATATATATATATTATATATACTATATGTACTATATATACTATATATAGTATATATACTATATATACTATATACGTACTTTATATACTATATATACTATATATACTATATATATTATATATACTACTTATACTATACATATACTATATATACACACTATATACATTATATATACATATTATATATATATAGACTATATATATAATATATATAAAAATACCGTATATGCTATATATACGATATATATACCAGACATATATATATATATATACTATATACATATATACTTTATATACTATATATATATACTATATATATACTATATATATACTATATATATACTATGTATTTATATATATGTACTATATCTACTACATCTACCATACATACTGTATACACCGTTTATACTACACATACTGTATATACTATATATATATATATATATATATACACACTCCGTCCTTCCTTCCTTCCTTCCTTCCTTCCCGCGGCAGGGCCCCTCTCTCCCTGCCTGCCTGCCTCCTTTACTTCCTTCCTTCCTTTCTTCCCTCCTTCCCTCCTTCTTCCTTCCCTCCTTCCTTCCTTCCTTCCTTCCTTCCTTCCTTCGCGGCGGGGCCAACAAAAAAAAAAAAAAGGGCAAAAAAAAAAAAGGGCTAAAAAAAATAGGGTCCCCACCTCGTCACATCTCGATGCGAAGACTCGGAACAGTAAGAGACACACCATGAAGGTCTCGAAAAGCTGGATGGTCTTGGTCACAAGCTTGTCGTGGACCTCCGCTTCCGCATGTTGCATGCAAGACTGGTCTCAGGATCAGCTAGCATCTTGATTCTCGGAATGCTTATCGGCTGTGGCTACGAACGACTGTTTGACCAATGCACAACTGACTGCCTGCAAGTGCTGCTTTTGCAGCCCCCGCTCGATTTCCACCTGCAGGGCACCTTAGGAAGCAGTTCATCGAACTATCTGGTGCACAGCCATGCGCTCAGTTGGCATGGTGCACGGAATTTGGAATTAAGCGGAGGGCCGTAATCGTAGTACGGCACTTCGATGCCCGGGAAGAGATCGTTGACGATTGCAAAGAAGAGCGGCAGGTCGTCTGACAGGAACTTCGGAACCTTAGTCCGGAAGCAGTTTGGCGTACCGGCTACCGGCAGGCACCGCTTCCGCGAATGCAAAATGGTCCAGGTGATTCACGTTGGAGTCACGCATGGCTCGGATCAGCAAGATGTTCTCATCCTCAATACAGCAAGTTGGCACATACCGCTTGACCGCCTTGCATGCAATACCACTTGGCTAAGTTTGGGCTGTACGGGCCTCATCTGGGTCTGCTCGCTTCAAGCTGCCGGCCATGACGAGGACTGACCTTCAGGCTTTCGTGCTGCACACTGCAAGGTGTTGGAACGTGCTGCGATATCCCCGCGCCGACTCAGCAAACACTCGCAGTTACTTGCCGTATGCATTGTGAAACAAGCAGCCCTTACGAGGTAGTGGCTTCACAGCTCGCATTCCGAAGTCGTAGTGGTCTTGCTTGGACAATTGTTCCTCAGCAAAATGGTGATAAAATGTCGCTGCAACCCCTTTATGGCAGGTCCGGCTTCGGATAAGTCGGGGGCCGAAGACAACTTGTACAGATTCGTAAACTTGCCGCTCAGCACTTTTGCCGCGCCAAAGCCTTCCAGCAGGGGGAATATGCTATGTCAAAGTCTTTGCTTCAGCTACAGGCACCTTCGGCATAGAGCATGATCTCAGCAATCAGGGTGTAGTCTGGCACCATCATCGCGACAGGGCGGAACAGCACCTGTCGTTCATTCTTCGGACTCGCGATTCGAACTTTAACCAGCACAGAGCAGCACATGTGCCTTCAGGTTATCTGGCAGCTCCGTTCGTCCAGCGTACCCAGGATTCCTCGCGTACTCTACTAGTAGTAATACGGCGCTCCTTGTGCGTCTTGTGCTAAAAGAAAACAATTACACAGCACCATCAGCTTCAACCAGCGACATCTGAAAACCACGGGAGCTGGCGCGACTGCCCCAGCCAACACACCACCACTGCATTCACCACAACCTTTTCGACAGCCACCACCACAATCACCGCAGCAAGCGACGGTGACTACTCATTGATGATGATGTTGATGATGATGATGATGATGATCATGAGGATGATGATGACAATGAAGATGATGATGCCGCCGTTGAAGATGATGATGGTGATCACGATGACGATGATGATGATGATGATGCAGAGGTGGAGGTGGAGGTGAAGGTGGCGCAGGTGGAGGAGGAGGAGGAGGAGGAGGAGGAGCAGGAGGAGGAGGAGGAGGAGGAGGGGAAGGACAAGGACTATTATGATGATGATGTTCCTGCTGAAGATGATGACGATGATGATAATGATGGTGATGATGGTGATGATATGATGATCATGATGATGATGATGATGATGAGGCGGAAATGGAGGTGGAGGAGGGGGTGAAGGTGGGGGTGAAGGTGGCGGAGAAGGAGGGGGAGGAGGAGCGGAGGATCAGGAGGACAAGTATGACGATGACAAGGACGATGATAATGATGATGGTGGTGATGATGATGGTGATGATGGTGATGATGACAATGATGATGACGAAGCTGACGATGACGACGATGATGATGATAATGTTGATGTTGATGTTGCTGTTGATGTTGATGATGGTGGTGATGACGATGATGATGATGATGACGATGATGATGGCTCCATCTTGTTCTTGCTGCTTTGTGTCGCTGTCCACGACGGAGTGCGGATGCGTGTTGCAAGGTCCGAAACACAGGGCGCCCTGCATGGTAATGAAGATACCACACGTGTTCTTCACCTGAGGTCTTCCAGATCCGGACAAGTCCGCTTACGGGACAGCATTTAAGAAGCTCTGCTACTCTATGCTTCAAGCGCTTGCCGAACTAAGCCTGGCACCTTGAGTTGCCGGGACTCAAAGACGAAATCCGTGAGATCCTGCGAAGTTCGCGAAGCTCTCACAGTTGCTCTCAATTTACCACCACGGCACAGCGCCAGCAGACGCCTGCAAGAGCGCCTGCCGAATTTCAAGCACCTGTCACGGCAAGGCTTCGCTTGCCCCGCTTTGGTGCCCTCGGTCCCGACCTGCTGCGCAACCACTGAGAGCACTTCGATGGAGATGCGGTTGAACTCGTCCAGGCACGTCCAGGCGCCGGCACTGCACACAGGACAAGCGGCAGGGGCAAGGGAACACACAGAGCCCCGTGCAAGTTGAGACGTTTGTCAATGCCTCACAACTCCGCTGTACAGCTTGCCCATCATCTGGTAGTTGATCCTTACTTCAGGGTGCACGAAGGAAAAGTCTCACAGAAGTCAATGCTCAGCAAAATTCAGATTGCGTGATTGACAACCTTGCACCACCCGTGTGTCGTGCATGCCCTGCATGCCTCGCATCCGTCCCCTGCCACGGCCCTAGTTGCAAGGAATTGCTAGATGTGCCGTGGTGGAGCAGTGCCGGTGAGGCGATGTAAGTGTGAAGAAGCGAAGCATCTGAGAAGCCGTCTGGTCTGAACAGTTGAAGACGACGCATTGTCGAGCGAGACCCTTGGCCAGATCCTGAAGCAAAGAACAGCTCAAAGCCACAACATTCAAGGATGCAAGCCCTTGCACGTGCCACAAAGTCTTCCGTCCTTGGTGGACTCTGTCTTTCCTGTACCGGCAGGGCCTGCCGGAGCAGCACCCAGCTTGATGTGTAGCGCCTCGGAAGAAAGAACAAGGAACACTGTTGCCTCCAGTAATCCAACTTCTTTCTCGATCTGTCTTGCATAAACTCACCGTTCGATTCGAGGAAAGCCACTATACTTACCAACATTGACTCGGAAACCCGAACACCGGGACTCCTACTCCCGTGATCGTCATCCAGCATCGATCCGTCAGCGGCGTGATGACCAGACGTGACAATGCACCTGCGAACTCACACGGCGCTCTTTGCCGGGCGCTCAACTTTACTGTGGTTTGCATTGAGTCGCGGCCGAGGCTCCCATGTATTCATGACCATACAGGATGAAGGCATCCACCTCCGGCAGACAAGCTGGATCAGATTGGCTCTACGCTGTTGTCTGAGCCAAGACTGCCCTGAGCTTGATAATACACTCACACGTGTTTGCATCTGCCTGGCGAATGCAGCAGTCACCGTGGCCACCATCCAACTCCGGATCCCAGTAGTACCTCGACGAGAGCACTTTGCCAGTGCATCATTACGTCGCAGAGAGCGGCCCTCCTCTGGAAGCCGAAACCGAAAACTGGTCCTCAATGACCATGACAAGAAAGCTCACGGGCACCGCAGCTGCTGCTGCCACTTAAAGTTCTGGAAGCTTGTGATCTTGTTGTCGAAGAGATCCTGAAGGATGGCAAGTGCCGTGAGGGCCCAAACTCCACGGCCATAAGTCTTTGCTCTTTCGACAGAGGCATCCTGGATGATATCGCGGTTGTGCACATCCTGGACGACATCAAAACAAGCCGACCGCGAGCCGTGTGCTTGGGCTTAAGGCCGCCCCTCGTTGCGCAGCTTAAAGAATCGAACTGTTTGTGGGATCTCGATCTTGGCACTGCGCTACAGCAACCACTATAAGAGATCGTCCTGCGTGACAAGTGCAACGACTCCCTTCCGCTGCAGCTTATCCAGCTTGTCGCGAATCAGTTCCTGACACCACAAGCTCTGCACAGGCAATGTGCAAATGAAGCAATTATCGTGCCATGGGTTGCTAGTCACAGCAGAGCCAACAATACGCAAGCCCAGCAACAGCAAGATCAATTGCATCCTCAAGACGCGCGGGTGTACACGACCAAAGACGGCAGTCGAGATTCCGTAAGACCCCCGAGCTGGGCTTTGTTCTTCTGGAACCACTTGCCCATCATAATGACCTGATGTGATCAACAAGGGCTTTCCGCACTGAAAAACTCAAACCTGTGAATCGTGGACGGCAGTACATGGCATTGGCGACGCCTTGTTGCCCTCTGTGGCATTGAGCACCTCCTCCGTCTCCAGTGTCCAGTAGATCGAGCCCACAGTGATCATTACCTGACGCGATACTGGGAGGAGTCAGAATCCACAGAAGCTCCGTTTGTAGCTCTGTACATTCCCTTTCCCGTTGAGGTCCTAGTCTCGGTCAAGCAGAAAGAGAGCATCAGACAGGCCTGGCAGTACTGCTTCCGAACCCACTCCTTGCGATCCGACTCGAGCGCGTAGGTCTCCCAGCCTGCTCCATGCAGCCACACTCAAGAGCCGAACCAGCCGAGCCATGACGGCTTGAGACCTTCTGGGAACTTGCCCGGCCTTTCTTGACTTCTGCCCTGCAGGTTTTCACCATGTATTCCTCCACACCGCCTTCTGCGCTGAGCCATTTTTCGACGCCATTTCTGGCCTGACCAGTGCTGCTGCCGAGGCCCAATCACGGATCCAGCTGACATCATGTTGCTTGAGATATTTAGTAATCTAATGAGGCCCCAATCATGACCACAAACAGAACGGCAAAGGCCATCCAAGTTCTGGTGTCGTCTCGTCGTTAAGCCGGTTCTGCGTTCCCAACATTGTCAGTGTCGACGCACGGCTTTCGTGCCTTCAGCATCTTGAAAAAGGGAATCTCTTCACCTTCTCCCGAGATCATTGCATGGATGTCCGTGGAGTTGGAGCCGTCCCCAAACCTGCGAAGGCAAAAAAGGCTAACAACGTGCGCTAATATGCTTTTCCGTGTTATTTGGGCCACAGCAGGATTGGAGGACTCTAGCTTTCTCAGCATGTAGAGATAGAAGAACCCACGAAAAGCTGAAGATTTACAGAACCAGGGACCCGCAAGCCCATGAAAACAGCACCCGCCCGCTTCTTGCTCTTCTCTTCAGTCTGAACCCTACAGCCCGTCTGCCCCACGTTTCTGTCACTCTCAGTCTCCTCCTCCGTTTGGCGCCTGAGCTTGACCAGATTGTCGAAGCACTTGCGCAGGTGTGGCTGCACAGCCTGGCCGTATCCGACTGCCCTTAATCGGAGGGAAGAGGGAAGACAAAGAGACTTGGCTGTGCTGCTAAGTCTACACAGCGAGAAGGCAATTCTTGCCATGGCGAATGCAAGAAAAGCGGGAAGATGCCCGCTGGAGATCAAACCACATTTCCAAGGATCAAACCAGCTCACAACCTCGAACCGCGCCTCTGGGTCTTCCGGCACGGCAAATGCCAAAGAAAAACGACAAGCGAATCCGAATTAAGCGAAATTAAGCGAATCAAGCACGGCTTGCACGCAAGCGCAGGCGAAAACTCGCAGCTTGTTTGAACAATATCTTCCGCCATTTGCAGATTTGCTTGCATGCTGGCGGTAGATGGGCCTTGTTTCCAACTTCATGTGCCTGCTTTCGACAAGAACCTGTGTTGGTGCTGTGCCCGCAACAACCTTGCATGAGCCCTACTGCAAGCCTCAGGTTGTGGAGCACCGACTCATTTGATGTGAGCTGAGAGAACTGCCGAAGAATGTTACCATACTTCTACAGACGGAAGCTTACACGAAGCGCGTGAATGGCTGGAAGTCGCCATGCTGCAAGCTACTGTAGCCCGCCTGCGGGCGTTTTGCCTGAGACAAGATCTCGAGGAGCTCATCCTTGGGTCGCCGTGACCGAAGGCCGATGGCTTCGACTTTAGTCACCGTCCCCTGCTTCGTGCTTGTCGATTCAGGGATTGGGGCTTACACGGCTTACACTGCTGAGGTTCAGGGCCTCCACGCTCGACATGGATGCATGTTTCGATGTCTGAGGATGCCGCATTGGACAAGAAAAAGAATCGAGGGAAGGCGACGCATTTGGACAGGAGGTAGTCCTCCAAGCTTGGCATGTTCGGCTTTTCCCAGCACTCCAACAAATCTGGAAATACCTCGCATGAACCAGCCTCCAGCTGCTTCTGGATTTGGTCCAGCGTCTCGCTCGCTTTCTGGCAAAGTGGGTTTCAAGATCTGCTGATCCACCCTTCCGACGCTAGGCCAGAATGCAAAGCCTCAACACGCCTCTCTAGTCTCTGGAACCCATCGCGGGCACGGGGCATGACAGAGTTGGGGGCCTTGAACAGGTCCAGACGTCCCGGCTTTGTGGCAGCCTTCAGTGCCACGGCGTACTCATAGGTCTCCTGCAATAATGCCGCTTGAAGCCCCATAATTGGCATCGCGAGCATCATTGGCTCGTCGTTTCTCCCCTAGGCAGTTCTGTTGCAAATTTCCAGGGCCCTAGGAGAAAATCCCTCAGTCCCTTAGCTACGGCTAGCGGAAGCTCCCAGAATCGGGTAACTGTCGTAACCGGGGAAGGCTCGGCGCTCTTTCCAGCAGCAGAGACGGTTTGCTTTGGGATTAGGGCCAGGATGGTGAACTCACCCATCTGCCCGACGAGCAAGTCCTTCATGATCGCCCTCCACTGCCCATCCTCAGTCGGTTGCCGGCAAAACCCCGCCTTTGACCAAGGTCTTAGGTACGTCGCAGGAGCAGGAGGCCAACGGCCTGGAACGGCAACCGGTTACCCACGAGGCAATCTGCACTCTATGACAGGATATGTCTTGCAAGTACATCTCCGCATACATTCAACAAGGCAATCAATTTCATGCCGTCTGAAGCTTACACAATCCTCCTGGGTGTTCCCGAAACGGACCAATGTGTAGCCAAAGTGGCGATCTCTTGGAACTTGGCGGACTCGGCCGGCAGCTGTTTCTTGATGTCTCCGGCGTTGAAGATAGACCTTAGATGTGGATCTCTTGCTCTGAGTCGCTTTGCCTTGAAGCCTTTCGGCTCGTTGTGTCAATCTTGGAGCCAAGGTGCTCCAGGTACATCCAATTCCGCTGAACGTTGAGCCACTCGTCCAGCGTCTCCTGCACATGCCACGGCCACGCTTGCAAGTTGATCGACAAATCACTGTGGCACTGCTATGATCGTACTGCCAGCCGAATGCCATGCCATGCTCCAGCCTGCTATATTAGGGCCACATGGTACACCCTCCTGCGTTTCTTTATTGCGTCGGACAAACTGAATTCTGCCAAATAGGGGTGACACCTGGTGCCCATGGACGAGGGCAGCATGCACACGCATGCACACTCTCTGCGGCACAGTCATGCCGAATAGTTGTGTGACCGGTCGACTGCACAAGTTGGTACATCCATCCTGGAACAGCAGAAGGTCTTTCTGCCACTGCTCCACCTGGTACCAGCCGAGAAACTCAAACATTAATCAATTTGTGCTTATAGACCGAGCATAAATTGTCTCGAGTGTGTGGGCTCTGCCGCTTGTCACACTGCCCAGGCCTCTCCGCGAATGGGCCCGACGTATCGGCTGCCAGCCTCACATCGATGTCACGTCTTTTTGCGAGCTTTGCAACACCAGTCCGAAGCTTGCTGGCAAGCTTCGATGGTGGATATGGTGACCAGCGAATCTTCGAGAGCCACTGTGATATCTTCAACGGATCCAAGAACGAAGACGTCCTTGCTGTCCTGACGCATGGAGTGGTTGACAAAGCCTGCATCACTAGGCATGGCTTTCGCCCAACACACAAAAATTACATTGTCATCAGGTCATCTTACTACTTGACTACCGTACTCTCTCCTTGTATGGATTAATAACCAACTCCAGGTCATCCCATGTCCTCGGTACCACGAAAACAGGATATGAGCAAGCCATGACATGCTTTAATCTGAGGCGAAAGCTTCTTGACCTTGTCCAACATCTCCTCCAAACCTTGCTCCGCTGTGGCCTGTCACTTCAAGCAAACATGAAGTGTCACTGCACCGTAATTCCGTGATCGCACCGGAAGGAGCAACGCCGTCCCATCCAAAGTCCAACCGTGCGTGAACATGTCTTTGGAATCATTGCAAATGCATTGCCAGTTGCAACACTGGGCAGAAAAGCTCGTCTGCCGGGCAATCGCGATCCTTATGGAATTGTTGCACATGTGGCAGGAAATCCGGGATTGGAAGGCCCCGTGCAACCTGTTCCGTACAGACTGTGTATGCGCCCATGCATGAACTAACGGACCGCTCAGAAACCGTGTTTTGCAAAATGAAGCTTGTGCAGACATCAAGCGGTGAAAGTGGGAACAAGTGATTCTTTGGGGCCAGCCTGACCACTTCTGTCTAAAATTGCGGTGCGCAGATCAGCTCTTGACAATTTTGAATCATTCCTCATGCTTTTCGAATTTCGGAGACCGACACCGAAAAAACTTCAACGAAACATGCCTGCCAGCCCTCAGCTGCACCCTGAAAACACAGAGGCTCGCTCAACAGAGCCGTTCAAAAAAGTCCAATCGACGAATTGCGAGTGGAGATCGGGGTGAGTGGTCAATGGCAGTACCGATGGCGTGCGGTCCACAGCAAAGATTGCACTTGTGCACGCATCTCTCGGCTTGTTTGCATTGCGGAGATTCGGCGTCAGAGCCGTAGTTCCCGGCCCTGCCAACACCACGTCCCACACCTACCGCCACCAAGTTCGATGTACGTGCACGGTTGTTGAAATCATGCAAATGGGGGCAGCCGAAGGAGTTGTCGCGTGGCCGTAGCTGCCTTGCCAGACACGTCCAGAATTGCTTCCATGTGCTGATCCACTCCTGAGAACCCGGTTCCAATGCACGTCGCAGAGAGCAGAATTCCTGTCTCGGCCAGCTGCCCATGGCCAAGAGGCCGCCCAGTGTGAACCTAAGTGATCTAGACTGTAGACAAAAGCTGTGCATGGCGGCATAGCATGGCATAGCATGGCATACAGTACCCGTGCGACTTGAGTCCACTCTGGTCCTGGCTCCTCGTCCTCGAGCTCCAGCTCTTGTCCTTGGTGGAGCAATCGCGGCCCACTCGCAAGAAAGCGTCCTCTCGGTGCGTTACACTCGTTGGAGTTTCCCTTCCTCTGGGGTGCTTGCCAATCATGGAGGTGATCATCTCCCAATGCCGCGGCCTTGAACACTGCGGTTCGAGCTCAACTTCAGAGTTAGGACTCAGAAATATTCACGAGCAAAGGCCAGCGGACAACAGCGCAAGACATTGCAGGACTTTGCTTATCATCTTGAGAGGCCATTGAGGCCACAGCTTTAGCGCTTTGTTTCTCAGCGCCACGACCACAGGCAGCGTGTTCTTGAACCTGAAGAGGCCCAGCTTTCATGCCCGTGACGCGTCCGCAACACGAGCTCATGGGACAAATCCAATGTAAGGACGCAAGAGCATGCAAGAGTGCCGGGCTGTGTGACTGACTCGCCCCAAATCTGCGGCACCTGGAAAGGCTGCAAACGAGGCTGATGCTGAGAGATCACCCCTGGAGCTGTGGAGCTGTGCCTGGTTATCGGGCATTGCTTTGACGGACTGGACAGCGACCTGCTCAGCTTGCGAATTCGGACGTGCTCCGATTTGACCTGCGCCACGGCCTTGTTGTACTCAGCAACCTTCTTCTGAATAGATTCCACGTCAACAGTCCCGAAAGAGCAGTTGTTCCACTCGGAGCTGAGCCTCAATGCAGTCTAAGCCCAGCAAGGCATTCTGATGTCTAATTTGCAGTGGACGGCTGTCGAACACGCGACGCCACTGAAGTCCTAAATGAAATGTAGGAAGCGTGAGCCGCTAAGTGCGCAGCTCCTCCCATGCATCGATGCCTCGCCAAAGCCTGAAGAGTTCAGAGGTCTGCCGTGGTTGGAAGCCTCCTGAAGCTTGCTTTCGATCCCAAACCCTACTCCTGTACTCATCTGTATTCGTTTCAGCTCTGAAAACCCCGGTCTCAATCGGGTAGATGTTGAGCACACCGCTTGTTTCGAATCTGGAAAGAAGCCTGCAATCACTGCAATCATAGCTTCAAAACGATCAGTACTGCTTGCACGAGCAGTCGCCTTCAGCTCTTCCACATCCTCGAAAGCTGTCGGCCTGCGGCGTGTCGAAACGGAAGTTACCGCAACAACAAATAGACCGTCACGCCGTCACGACTGGCGTCTCTCAGCACAGCACTCGAGCTTGAGAACATCTTGGTAGCGGTTGAACTTCGCCGCTTCTTCAATGGATTGATTGACATCTTGGATCGAGACGCACGAGGAAAGTGTCTCAGAAAGCCCTTCGGAGGCCAGCATCCAGCATCCCCTGCTGACTGAGGATCAAGCGATCTTGCAGCTCATCCAGGAAAGAGAGCACTTCCTCTTAGCAAAATGGCTGCTCCAGGCAAATGCGTCATTCGCAAGGATTGGCACCTTCCGGCTTTCAGCCGACATTTTGGAGGTGTCAGACAGATCGGGTGCATCCAATCTAGACTGCCTCAAAGGAAACCAGGTGTGCTGAAGAAAAGCCGAAGCATTCACTCCCAAGCTTCGCACTGCTCACCGACACTTTTGCGAAGTTCTGGAATTTCCACCTCTAAGGCCTCACGGAAGCGAGTCGTGAACATCCTGAGCAGTAATGCCGATTTGTGCACAGACCTTGCTGAAGTGCGCCACATCGACCTCCGCTCGCTCCTTTCCACTTGAGACCTGTCAAGCGCACGCCTCCCTCGAAAAGTCTTCCGTTGTCTTGCCCTCTGCTTACCATGCGCAAGGACTCTTGGTCCTGGCCACCCAGCACTGCCAGATCAGCACTCCCCGTTGCTTCATGCCTGGGCCATGAGCTGGTTCTTGGCGGAGGCGAGGTCGTTGAAAGCCTCCGAATCAAAAACTGGCTTTCCAAGAACACGAAGTTTAGCTCGGCTACCAGCAAGCAGAACTTGGTCGAAAGGCAGCAATCCCGCACGAAGCTTGTTGCTTGAGAACGGCCAACACTCAAAATCTGAAAGATACTGCGAAAGAACGAAGGCTAGCAGAACTTCGCACCCCAAAGAAAATCAAGCCAGATTTGGCTCGATCATGTCTCCGAGCTGCACGCCCGCCTTGCGTGTCTCACTATCGATCCGAATGCCGAACCTGGGAGCGAGAGACTACGAAGCTACGACCAGAACCCCGCCGAGTTCCAAAGTCAACCTCTGACTGTGCTTGCTGAGGTGACAGCGTCACCCTTGTTTGGCTGAGAACGGAGCTCTCGAATGATCTCCGCCATCTCTTGAACCTTTCGAAGAAGTCTCAGATCTCTGCTTGTCCTTTCAGAACTCGAACCCGGCCTCGAGGAATCGCTTCTCCAAGGATGGCAGCGACGCGTCGATCTTGGCCAGATGTACGTTGAACCTTTGCGTCAAAAGGGATGCCTGCTTCCACCCTACGTTCCCATTCCCATGTGCCCGACTCGACATACTCATCCACGTTGTTAGGGTACTCCTTCAGCCTATCATTGGCAGCCTGCCAGGTGCAGACTCTTTCCCCGGCCCTCCCCAGAACAGGCGTTCTCCGAGACTCCCTGAGCACCTGTATTTCGGCGCTCAACTCGGCTCTTCTCGTCATAGCCAGCTCAGGGATGTACCTGAACAGGCGGAGCTTGCAGCTGGATCGCTGGAGCAGTTGCAGGCCGTGGCATTGCGGCATTTGTGTGGTGGGAAGTGGAGCTGCCGTGTCATGCGGGGCACTGAGCCAGCAGGTCGAAGCAGCCTGTTGGCGACGGCCTGCCGAAAAAAGGTTCAACGTTCCGAGTGGCTGAAGTCAGCGGCTGCGCAGAACGGAGTGCTTAATGAAACAGTGTTAGTGGTTGGTGGCTGGTGCAGCTGATCCACATCGGATAATCTCCTAAAAGTATGATAAACTGAGGATCCGGCAACAGCATCCGCTGCATCTCTTGACAGTCAAGGCGGAAGATTCCGATGTCCTGATATTTGGTTTGATGGCTTCTAGCATAAGCAAGCGAAGGGCGGCTGTTGTGGTGGCCTTTGTGCGCCCCATACTGCGGATGTCCTGCCAAGTGTTCAAAAACGCTTGCTCAACTTGGGTCCTGGTGCAGCACTCTTACTCCCACATCCTGCCTCCTTCTGCTTCTGGTACTTTGCCAGCGCATCTCCTGGGCTCGCGTGTCCGGCGGTTCACTCAAGAGGAGCTCGCGCGTCCGCTCGGCTCGAGCTCGGAGGCTCGGAGGCTCTCGGAGGCTCTCGGAGGCGGGCGGAAGTCGTCAAGAGACGCTTCGGCAAAAGTGACCTGGCTCGGGAGCGCAGCTGCCGGGTGAATCGAGCGTTCCAGGAGCCGAGCATCGGGCGCTACAGTCCGTGAGCTCGGAGTTCTCTGCATAGATTTGCACAAACCTGAGAACAAAAAGCGTCCAGCCCAGCTCCAGTCCGGCGACCGCACCAACACATCGATGATCTATGGCAAGGAACTCCTCGAAACGACTCGCGTAGGTCACAACCTGCAGCGCACAAACGTTCGTGCCGTCGTCGTGCGATTGAAGGATGAGACTACTAGTGCGAACGCGACAGACAGGGCGAGAGCCGTGCCTTGTCGAAGAGCCAGTCATAGCGATGAGTGATGTTCGTCATCAGCTCCTGTCTTGTCATGTCTTGGAACCTCAACCTCAACGGGCCCACCTCACAAACCCGAAATCCTTGTGCTTCGGGTCTTGAGCGACTAAACTGAAGAGATCCTGCTGCTGCTCCTGGAAGAATCGGGAAATGACATTGAATGCCGACAGACAGAGTTGGGATGCGGTTCCCAGGACGCAGCTCCTCCAAAGGCAGAGCATCCCCCAGCTCTGCCAAGGGAGCTGTGAAGGGTGTGAAATCCTCCACCTGCCCAGGTGTGCAGTGAGCAGACCTTCCGCACCCCTCTACATGCAGCAGCAGAGGTCGTGCGTGAACGGAGTTTTTGAGAATCTCTGGAGTCTAGAGCCTTCGAGCATCTTCGTGCTCTCAGGAGCTTGGCGCCCACTCGGGCTCATAGTCTGCAAGCAAGCGATCCGGATGAAAGGGTGCTATGTCCACTGAAGTGGCCTTTCCATCCACTATCAGCTCGGACATGCCCAGTCCACTTGCCAGGCTGTTGAGAATCCCCCAGCACCCATGTCCAACGCAAACATACCCACCCTGAATCCTAGGCAGCTGGCCCATTGCTGGAAGACTGTCTGCAGTGAACGGCAGGTAGCAGGACTGCTTACCCGTAAGTGTAGCAGACTGCATGTCGGCCGAAACCTTGCGCACAGTTGTTGTGAGCCTCTCGCAGACATCCTCTCTCACTTGGACGTTCCCTGGGGTTTCAGACACAACAGTCGGTGGGTCTGGGAAACCTGTGATGTAATTCTCCCCGTCGCCACGGGGATAGACCTCCGGATTTCCCATACCATTGAAGAACACGGCCTCCGAGAGCACTCGCTCACTCTGCAGTAACACGCTGTGATACTTGACGCCGTAAACCTGGAACTGCGGATGCATCAGGCGGAGCACTTGGGCCCAGGGACCCATGCAGCAAACCACCGTGTCTGCCAACACATCTTCTCCATTGACCATGGCTCCTCTGATGCGCTTCTCATCACCAACATCTTCGGTCAACACCTCGTTGACTGTACCCAACAGGAACTCAGACCCGACCTTCTCTTCACAAGCCTTCCACATCGCTTCAGTCAAATCTTTTGGATGCACCTGTGCAATGGTCGACTCGTCGCCCATGAAGCGTTCACTTTGGGCCCCAGAATCCACCCACTCCAGGGATGCCAGCTTACGGGATGCCGGTTTGGAGAAATCACCACCAACAGTCACAGCCTTGCACCGAAGTCGTCGGTAGGATTTTAGGCCTAGCTCCTGGGCTATTTCTGCATGCATATCAAAGCTTTTCCTTGTGAGATCGCGCAGAGGCGTCCCATCGTTCCAATCTCTGGCCAGAAAACCACCGGCCTTCCCACTCGCACAACTGGCAATCCCGGCATGATCCACAACAGTCACGCGCCGTCCCCGCAAGGCTAGATGGTACGCAACGGAGATTCCGATAACACCACCGCCAAGAATAAGAATGCGATCTTTCTCGGGCTCCCTTGACTTCCGAAGCACATGCGAAGTGCAGGCTCCGCGAGCTCTCATAGGCCTGACGGGGCCACCTTTCGCTGGGAATAGCCACGAAGGGGAAAGAACTGCAGCACATGGCGCACCCGTTAAGAACCACATGATGCTACGAACACGAGAAGGAATTTCTGTCAACTCAACGTGCCATTACAGTTGATTTCATCTGTGCAAACTTGAACCAAAGGCAAGCTGCTGACATTTTGATGGGCTACCCTCCGTTCAACATTGAAACAGGTCCTCCACTAGCCGTTGAAAGCCCTGCCTGGAGGAAGGCATGGCAGCCCGACACTGCTCGCAAAGCATCCCGCAAAGCACTCCTTGGTGGCTGCTCTTCGAATGCCTACAGACGAAATCGAACGAATAGAATACATCTGAATCCAATATTGACAAGAAAACCGACAGAGCAATTCATTGAAAGCAGGAGCGGAATGTGTAAGGTCAGAAGGGCCTTGGCTCGGGGCTCTCCGGGCTTCTCGGTCACTTCGGGTAAGTATCGACGAAATCTGGAGACACCCCCCCAGGATTGCAAGGGTGATAGCGTTGACTGGGGGCTGGCACACCCTAGGTCCTGGGCCCTAGAAGGAGTCACGATTGACATGCGCTACATCTCGAAAGGGGTGGTAGCTTGTCAGTCCTCGGGCTTTGGAGTTTGTAAGTTCACGATCGCTGTCGAGAACTCTAACTTTCCGAAGCCAGAAGCCATAAGCGGCGCTAAGCCCCCGGCTCCACGGCATCCCAGATTCTCTTTCCGGAGGGCTTGAAGACCAGGGCGCCGTGCTCCAGGAGACACTCAACGTTAAAGTTCGGCTTCCTCCACCGAGCATCTGCTACCAGTAGGAACATAATCCATACATTCCTTGAGCCCTTGAAATCCCTTGAAACCGAGACCGCCTTCCGCCCTTGGACTCTTCCTTCTTCTCCTGTTCAGCTGGAGGTCGGAAAGACGGCACGGCCCAGGCCCTGGCTACGTCGGGAGCCGGCCTCGGAAGGCTTCTCGCCTTCCCCTTCTGTGATGGCTAACGCCTCGGCTCGGCTCTCGGGGTGGTCAAGCTTCTGAGAACCCTCGGCTAGGCTTCATGCGGCGGCCTCTTGCGCATCCACGTCCTCCACGAAGGCCTTTCGACTTCAAGTGGCAATCTGGCAGTATCACGCTTCAGGAAGCCAAGCGGCATCGAGCAGCTCTTGAAACTTCGTCGTTGTGGTACGCACCACCATTTGTGACTCAGTGGCAGTGCCGCAATCTAAGCCCCCGAGTTGGACGAATCAATTTCAGACATCTCTCGGGGCCGGACAACTGCATCATTGAAGAGAAACTGCACCATGCGTATAAACCTCGAAGGAGACGGAACAAAGAGGAACGAATCCATTGCTAAAGTAGCGAAGAGTGTAAGAATCGGGAGCGGACTTCGTCAGCTTTCTGCACTGCGTTCGGGTTGTGGCCCGTTCGGTGTAGGACATGCCTCCACCGTCCTTTCGAGATAAAACATCCAAAACCCTTTTTTCTGGGAATTCCTCGTCACCCTGACACCGTCCTGGTCTCCTTCGTCGCCTTCCTGATACGCCAAAAACGGAGACAACAGACTCCCCTCTAAGTGAGGAAACGCGCCCCCTTCCTTTTCTTTTCTCTGCTCACCACTCTCCCGCGCCGCGCGCCTCTTTTTCCTCCTCCCCGGAGCCACGTTGGCCGAAGCCGTTCTTCTTGAGGAAGTCTTGGAGGCTGCTGGTGCACGACCTGAGAAGACTGTTACGTCTTAGACTTCACAGTGGGACAACAGAGCTCTCACGCCGACATCCGCCGCGACGAGGCCAGATGGATAAGCGCCCCACTGATGAAGCTCGTCTTTGATTTTCTCCCAGACCTGCGACAAAGGAAGACTGTGATATGAAGACACCGATTCTGATTCTCTGTGGCATCCGATGATGCGGGCCTCCTGGAGATCTGCGGCCATCTGCTTTCGTTTCTGCCTCTGCTGCTCTTCGAACTCCTGAAGCGCGGGTCCAATTGCTGAACTTCAGAACGCGAAGCGAGCAAAAGATGATGGACGATACATGCCTCCACTTGGTAGACCGTCATTGGGTTCACCTCCAGCACTTCAGTCAGTGGCTGCTGCATGCGACATCGATTGCCGGCGCGGGCCTCCAGTAGATTCCAGCTGCTGATCTTGACGCATTCCCTGCGGCCTTAGTGTAGCAGGACTTCACAGGAAACAATCCCGGTCAGAAGAGCACGATTGTTAGGGGCTCCAGCGGCCTCCCCAGCACGTTAGCATTGACGGTGTTTCACGGCTTACCCGAAAACCTCGGGCCTGTCTCTGTTTTTGAGGAGGCGCGGGGGTGCACAGGTGTGGACCTCCGACACATCGGTATTTGCCGTCTTTCGCGGGCATCGCCTGCCCAAAACCTCGCGCCTGTCGCTGTTTTCGGGCCTTGGGGGAGGGAGGCGCCTGGATGTGTTTTGCGCCACTGGCCAGGCGGCTTGGTGCGTCTTGCACGAACTCTTCCTTCTGGACACTTGCTCATGGCAGGCGCAGCACTTTCAGGATGTGGAGCTCTGGGTTGTTGGGTAGCTTAACAAACCGACACCACGAAGTAAGCATGATGAGGCTGCGCTGCGGCCTGGGTCTTGGACACATTGAAGATTTTCAACAACAGACAAGTTTGAGCTGAAACCATTTGCTCGCAAGCTTCACCAAGTCCTTGTCCTTTGATGCTTGAAGAAGTCTCGAGGGCTATGCCCCAGCGCGAGAGTAGTGGCAGCAGGAGCCGCAGAAGTGGACCTAGAGTAGCAGCTGCAGCAGTAGAAGCCTCATAGTCGCAAGAGCGGACCCAAACAAGCAAGGAGTCTTAGCGTTGCGCATGCGATCTAGACGGCATCAGCCCCCCCCGACCACACCCCCACCCCCTCACCCCAGAGTGCAGCAAACAAGGACCATGGATTCCAAACAATAGGTATCAATGGCAACGTATGCTACCGGAGATGCCAGCTTATGTGATGGACCTGTATACATGAACAGATCACATGTTAGAATGTTAATGTGCAGACAGGCAAAGCCGCTGCATCCTCTGACGGGCGCGCGTGAACAGACCGTTGCAGCGGCTTTTGTTGAGACTATCGGCGGAATCAAACCACTCCGGGCTGCAGACACCGGAGCAGGGAGTCGCACAACGTTGGGTCCAGCGCGAAGAGGTGGGCGTTGAGCGTCCTGCGAGTTGGCTTTGCAACGACTGTGAGGATTGACACGCCATGCACTCTGCGGTGGAGCTTGTTGTTGCCTTAGGCCTGCCACGGTACAGGATTCTTCGGGCTAATTTCTGGGCATCAGCACTCCAGCGTTGATGGCATGGGTAGTTCCTTTATGAGCTGGTTTGGATTAGCCGCTCCCTTGTCACTTGTGAGGGTCTGGACCCTGGATCTTTCGTTGATGTTTGCTTGGTGGCCACATTTCCGCCACTCAAGCGAGGTCTTAGGGTGCGGTCTTCCTTCGGAGCTCAGACTCGGAAGTCATAGGCACAAGTTCTTCCACAGTCTTCTCTTGACTCTGCACTGCACACTAGGTTTGCAGTTGCGGAAATGGCTGCCATGTCCTGGAGCACTTCTGCACGCGCTGATTGCCTGACATGATATGTTCCCACACATGCCCCCCAACTCAAAAGAGTTCTGACACATGTCTGATGTTGCAGATATCTGGTGGCATCTGGCCAAATCTTCGAACTGCTGAGACAAGTTGCGCATCGCGCTCTTCCACACGGAAAACAGCTTCCACCGCCTGGAAGGGTGTTCATACGTTTGGGAGCAAATTGCAAGACTCCATGCGCCTGATTCCCTGGCGTACATCACACACATGCGGACATGAGAAATGTCATGTTCCCAATCGTTTCGGAAGTGCATTGAGGAACGAGCTGATATTTCTTGAAAAAGGGGATCTCGATAATCTTCCTGACATCTCGCATCTGATGCAGCATGCCTGCCCTTCAGACTGTTCATGTGCGTTGCGCTGATAGGCCACAACGGTCCTGTACATATCCTGGTCCCGCTGCCAATCGGCAAGGTCCTCACAGGCACAATGCTCATACCCGGACAAGCCAGTCGCATCCTGATGTCAGCTTGAAGTCCAAATTGAAGGCTCGGTGTGAGTGCGTGTGCATGTGTGTGTGTGGGTGGGTGGGTGCGCATGTGTATGTATGTAATTATATGTGTGTATGCATACCCGAATGTATGCGTGATGACCTTGCAGCACACGTGGCTTGCAAAAACACTGCTCCGACACACGACTGCAAATTGCGGGAGGGGTATGGATGCAAGTCGGGCATGAAATGCTGTCTTACACACCCAATCACAAGTGTCTAGACGATTGTCGAAGCTAGACGACGGATTTAGCTCCGGTCCCACGGGTCGAACCAATATCGGTTGAAAAGCTTGGCTCTGAATCCATTGTCTTCGTTTTTCAATCTCAGGCGGCGGACGGGGCACCACACGGCACGACGAAGCCAAGCGCTTTGGGAACAACATCCTCTAAACACCCGAACCCCGAAACACCCAGCCCGACTTTTCTGAAATACCGACCTTAGACCCTAAACCCTAAAACCTTGAACCACTAAAACCGTTGAACAGCAAGTTCAAACTGTAAGCCCCAAGAACCGCCATCCAAAAGAGAAACCTATGCCCCAAACCCAAACAAACCCTCAACAGCTTGAACTTTCCCCAGAACTGTCGCTGAAAAACCATGCCCTGAACCAATTGCACTCATAAAACCGGTTTACAAGCAAGCCCTTAAACCCCCAAAACCCCAACGCCAAAATCCTCACAGCCCGCAACCCGAAACTTCAAACCTTGTAACTCCCAACCCTGAAATTTCACAACCTCGTGAATCGCGCTTGCCTGAATGACGTGCTTGAACGGCCAGTGCTTAAATCAGCTTTCGCACTTGAACCGCCGCTAGGTGCTCGAATCGCGTGTGCGAAGCCGCAGAATGCCATGTAATCCCCGACTCGCATTCTTTTGTGCCAGTGCCGTGTAGGGCTTGGGGTGTTCAATTCGGTGTGCTTCGCTGAAATTGTGATCCCTGGTTGAAACTGGGAAAGACGGGCTTTCCTCTGCAACCCCAGGGAAAAAACATGTATGGGCGCATAAGTTTGAGTCTGTGAGCGACAGGTTAAGATTCAAGCTTGTCGGCTTGTCGCTGCTGTACTGCAACGAAAACGGCGACACGGAAAACCACCGCAAAAACAGGAGAGAACCAACCGACGACAGCAGCAAGCAGTGGCAGCAGAGCAGGCTGCGATGGACAGCACAGCTTAGACGAGCCTGATGTCTAATCCCAACAGACAACCTTCCAAAACCCCCCTTCAAGTTGGATGCAGGTTTTACGTCAGGTCCTGGTAGTCGAGCTCTCCGTTTGAGTAGTGGGTCACCCCACGGATGGAGATGGTCATATAGTCATTGGGATTGATCTTCGAAAAAGGCACAATCTCAAACCTCAGACCCATGCAAGACTGTCGCTTCCATCGACAGCCCCCAAAAGCACTCAATGCTTCAACCCATTCTCGGAGGCCGCGGCTCGTAAGGGCCAGAACGGTTCATGTAGCAGAACTCCTCGGTGAGACTCTCGTGGTTGAGAATGAACCTGGGCAATGAGGACACATGTCACAGCCACACGTCGAAACCAAAGATCTGCAAACCAACCGTCAATATGCAGGACCAACATGAAAACGAAATCCGTTGTAAGATTGCTGCTCGACAAAGTCTGCTGGGCTGATCCACGACGGATCCGAAGGGTCCACTTTCCTGCCAATCTGAAGTGCACCGAAGTCCGCAGTAAGGAGCCAACGGTGCTGTTTCACGAGACCTTTGGCCATAACCCGCAGAAAAGATGGAATACTTATCCGTGGATGTCATGACATCTTTTCTACGGCGGCGATGCCGGTATTGAAACTCGGCCGGCAGCACAGAACCTCCTCGGATGCCACTGGGCCCTGCATGGATGGAATCATCGGAAGCAACTCTACCACATGGCTGAAGCTACTGAATCTATGCCTGGAATTATTCCATTATGGAACGACTCCTCATGTCTGTCTCCATCTGTGTATACTGTGTAGTGTAGTGACAGTGCACGAGAGAGCTGTCTCGTTTCAACTGAGAGTCGGATCGCATGGAAGGCGCCTCCTGGGTCGTTTCCATGAACTGCTGTGAGTCCACCTGGACAAGTTGTGCGCGCACAACCACTGCCGGCGGGTGGAGGGTGGCCACGAGCTTGCTCAGCCCATGCATCACTGCAATACAAGATTTGCAAACCGAAAGCACTGGCCTGAGGTCCCGTTCGCATGCTCGCACCTCGGACCAGGCTGCATCTAGCTTTTCGAGCGCAGCGGCCTCCCTCAGAAGCTGAGCTCTATGCCCGGTATGTTCTGTGGGCCAACCTCGGAATCGTTTCCTTCCGGCAATGGGCCAACCAAACAACTGTCTCAGGCGAGTACTATGGACATAGGAACACTGGCATTCCGTGTGCCTTGGGAGCTGAGGCTAAGACAGAATCAGAGCTGACGGAAAACAGTAGAGGCCCGGGCCGATCAGCTGCTTGCTGCTGGCAGATTTTGCCCCTCCCAGGTGTGGTGCAGAGGACACTGCCTCCAGGTCGAGGGAAAACCAGCGTCCCTTCTGTCCAGATCTGCATCCCCGGCCTCTAAGGATGGCAGTGTGATGGGTCGGTAATTCCTGGCCGTCGCGAGCGAGGACAAACTACATGCACTCCGATGCCTCTCTGCCTCTGCCTCTTTGCCGCAAGCGAGACAGCTCTGCGTGTGTGGCACGAGTACCTGATTACCCTGCGCTCGCGGTGGCCGCCGAGCTGGAGCAAAGGATCGAGTAGAACCTGCTCGCTGCTTAAATGAAACCGCCGTTCCCGTTCTGTGACTCGAAAACTTCGCCCTGTAACCTCCTTGACTATCAATGCTCCCGCCAATCAGAGGCTGTCGACCGTTCGTAGAAACCTCAGCAGCGGGAGGGCCGAGGCGGCCGAAAGCGAGGGCTGGGCCGCGTAGTAACGCTCGACCCGTGAGGAAGGCGCTAAGCGGGGCAAGCCGGCAGCGCCCTCCGCACCGCCTTGCCGATAAAGCCTGCAGACACAAACGGAAATTGAGTGCATAAGCCAAAATACACGCTGCTGGCACTTCTTGGCTGGCTCAATTTAGCGTTGGGATGCTTCAGTGTCGGAGCTCAGCATGGCGAGACCAGTGCTGTGCGGCAGTATCAACCTGAGGGCATCACCGGGAAGCCAAATCCACCTTCAGTCTCACGAGCCAACATGCATTGCGATACAACACCAGGCTGTCTCAACACAAGACACCGCCAGAAGCCACTCAACATGTTGTACATATCACCAACTTGGGCTGATGGAGGCATTGCTAGCCGCCACAACCCGACTAGCAGAGAGTTGATCCTGCATGCTTGTAAGATGCGAGATATTGTCCATAGTCTGTCGTGTCTTCGACTACCTGCCGGGAGCGAGCCTCCTGCCCACTTGGGCCTTGCGAGGAAGACCTGGCAACACATAGCAGCTTCCACAGCAAATTCATGCAAGCTGCACCGCAGTTACATCCGCAATGCATTCAGGATTTCTGCGGCATATGCTCCGTTCACACTTGCTCAAGTGTCAAGCGACGAAGCCTCATTGCCATGCTACCGCGCCGGCGTTGCTAGGATCAAAACACAAATGTACTCTTTGTTGCGACGTGCTGCTTGGCTTGGGCAACAACGACATTCCGCGAGATTTACGCAGGTCGTAGAGACTTTGATAACTTAATTACTTGGTTCGCCTGAGACATGGTGCACTCCATTGGGTAAACGTGGACACCAACTGTTGGCCCTGCTATGTGTAAACTCGGAGCCCTCTGGCGGGGACAGTCAACCGATCAAGTCGTAGGTGGAAGCCAGCTTTGCGCGGATGTTGTTTGATGGTGTTTGAACCCTAGACACCCGAATATCTAACTGCCTCCATTCGGGGAAAAAGTCTTGTGCTTATTGTGGCTTTTCAATAAATCTCCGTTCGCGAAGGATCCACTGAAATGCAACATGAAAAACAAAACGACGAAGCAACGTCGTTTTCTTCTCGCCTCCGGCGAGTGTCTTAAGACGAACCCTGCAATGGGTTCGTCTTGTTTCCTTCAGCTGCTTGTTGCCAGCGCCATGGTGAAAGAGTATCAACGAAGCCTCAATCGATGACATGTTCAAAACAGTCAATACTTGACTGACAATCCAAATCTATGACAGCGAATGCTATGATTCCAACCAGACGGTTGGAAGTCAAATCTCATACACATGATGTACTATGCAAACATGAAAACGAAATCACACATGAACTGTGGCAAGTAGACACGTTATTACACCAGGCGTTGAGCGCTTTCAAAGATGACAAAGCTCACAACTTTGGTTACACGGCGCACCGCCATGCAAACGTCTCCAATTCTCCCTGGCATCCCATCTTCAAACTTCATTGCATCGCAACCTGGCCGCCTGGCGTAAGCGGTTTGCATAATCAGCGAACTCTAAGAACGACTGCGATGATCATGGGTAGATCTTGACAAGGTGATGAATCCTTGGGAGGACTCAAAAACAGAGTTGGAGCATTTCGTTTTTTTCGGAGATGTGTTGACATGGTCAAATCTGGTGTTCAATGTCTTTGTCATGAACGCTTCGAACGATTGCCCCGCCGATGACACTTTCCGCCGGAACGAGTTCCAAGTCCTGGAAGCTTCCACGAAGCAAGCCGACCAGATGTGCAGTTGTCACACTTTGGCAGCAAATCTTCTCCAAACATAAATTCAAAACGCGCGCTAATACGACTGCGGCAATATGTCCACAATGTGGCCTCTGAAAGAGAACAAAACATGTGCGAGTCGACCATCTCAACGCATTCTTTTTTTGGGCTTGAACAAGCCTTGTCGACGGTGCCTGTCGTATTCAGTCCTAACCAGAGTCAGAAAAAGAAATAAACTTAAAAAACCGTGGCGTTCAGAAATTTAACCCAGAGAAAACAGAAACAAAACCATGACAAGCCATGTTGGTGTGAGCTCAGAAGCTCAGTGTTGGTGTCGACAAGAATGTGGGACGATGCTTGATCACGTCTCGACCTTTCGCATTGCAAGAAGCTTTCTAGCATGCTATTCAAAGACATTTCTTTTATGCGGAAAATCCTGGACAGTTCACTCTGCTCTGTGCCATTTTTTGGAGCTCAACAAGCTCCATTTCCACAGAGTTGCCCGATTCGAAGGCACTCCAAGACGAGTAAATGATCAAGTACTTGGCAGAGACTCCGCTCGATGCCATCATGGCGATGTCCAAAGACAAAATCGTTATTCGACCTCAACTCTACGAAATACACCGTTTCTTTTTTTTTCTGACCTTATGACATATCAAAAAGTACAACAAAGAGCGCCACATTTTTTTAATTTTGCAACGCAAAACTGATGACAATAGTTTAACTGACTGCCGAGTCGAGGTAGTTTGTTGTTTCGCTTGTTTGTAGGACCGAGTGCTACAGCCGTTGTCAAAGAGGTCCAGTCAAGCCCAAAAAACGACTGGTTCAAACTCTTCGCTTTCAGAGTTCAACTCCAGGTTCAACTCCAGTTCAATAAGTTCGAAAAACATCCCGTGACCAATTCTGCGTGCAACTCCACTTCGCGCAAACCAAATTGTCTGATGCAGCTTTGGGAGACATACAATGCTTCTGCAATCATACAGCCAAGCATGCTGGGTTCTATCTTGTTGGAACGCTGGCAATTGAGAGTATCAACGAGTTTGTAAGGGCGGCAGCCTCGATTTTACGCTCTTAGTGGGGAAAAATTGAGCTATGGCTACGCCCCATTGGGTGCGTGGTGGGGATCGGTTTCACAATCATATCCGGCAAGATGGCACCTTTGCACTCTCCGAGCAGCTCTCGAAGTTGCTTGCCTCGGCGGCCTGGCAGCGCCACATGACGGACCGCATCTGAAAGCAGGTCTCTGACGTGCGCAGCTACATGCGCCACAATACAGATATTGACAGCCAACAATATCTCACCTGCTTCTTAAGCGACTGAGCGCGGCGGAAGGCTTGTTCGGCAAGTGGCCAAAAACTCTGCTCCTTGCTGTGCAGCCGGTTTTTGGGTGTGTTTCATTTCTTTAGGACTCCTTGGAATGCACAAAGGGTCATCGATCTCATGAGAACTGGTCTTACCACACGTTCAGTGCCCTGCGAGACTCGATTGGGAAGCGGGAAGGGAAGCTGGATAGAGCCTCGAATGCAGGTAATCGAGAACCTCTTCTGTTCGCCCTGGGAACATCTACTTCCCCTGCTGCAAGAAATTTTGGAAAAGGAAAGGACATGGAAAAGAAAGGTGGAAAAAGCATTAGGCAGCCGAAGGAACTACAAAAGTGACAAAGGAAAAGGAAAAGGTTGCTGATCATGGAGCTTGGGATACTTATGTGTGATTCCTGGCTGTGCACTGACACGGCAGAGGCAACAACGACCGGCATGCTCAACACACTGCCGCCTTTCATTTACCGGCGTTGGATCGGAAGACATGAGAAAAGCACTCAGCGCTTTTTGTCCCCTACAGACCAAGACGGCTCTTACTGACGCTCCGATGCACTGGTAAATTACCGCTGCCAGGCAAGTGTACCCACACCACGGGAGGAATCGCTACGGTCCTCCGTACGCGGCCCATGTGGAACTTTGCTTCGGACGGCTGTGGTCTTGGGCAACGACCTCGTGACATGAGTCACGTCGGGTACTTGTATCGGAGCCCTCCACGGATGCCCAGGGAGGATTTTCCGTGTTTACGGCTCAACTTGGCCGCACCCGACAGGAAGTTGGCTTCCTTCCAAGAACCTGGCGATCCAATGGGGCGTGGCATGAGTACTTGCGGCAGTGCGAGCATGGAGGACCACGTGGCGACCACGGTCTTCGTCGGTATGAAGACCGCTTGCGGCTTGACGCCTCGTTGTTGGACGACTGGGCGGCTGAGCTGGTGCCGGCGCTGCCGCACAGCACTGTCTCCTCTGGGTGGCCGTTTTGGCAGAGCACACTTAGATTCCACGACAGATGAGAACGACCTATCGGTGCATAATCGCCCCATAGGGACAGGTGCTCTGGGGCGGCGGCATTCCATGTCCCAAGCCGTACAGAGGAATGGCAAGTAGTATGCTCGCAGCAATGCTATGGACCCACGGGGTGCCAGACGGAGACCACAGTGGAGGGTGACAAAGGACATCTGTTCATTGAAGAACCAGCTCGCTGGCCTACGCAGGTCAACACACCAGCTTGCTACTGTCACCGGCGAGTGTGATCAGGACGGCGCATGCCATGTTGGATTCACCCCTCCCAATCCGCCGGAGGTCTGATGTTGCATAGACCATTTCAGCGCGTACCCCGCAGCTCGCATCTGCAGTCGCCACATAGTGGTTGCCTCAATGCCTTGCTAATTTTCTTGACGGCGCTGAGGTCTAGTCCCCTGATTATTCACGGGTTCTCGGCGGGCAGCTACACTGGTGCGGTAGTGGCCCTTTTAGCGCATAGAGCTTGGGAAGCTATACCGCTGCAGCCCGGGCCCGGCAATTCTGCTGTGACCAGAGTGTGCCCTCCACCATGTAGTGCGCCTGGGTGCCCTAGGGATGCCGGACTTCATCTTCGATCAACTCATACAACTACCGGTCACCCTGTGGCTGGTGCACGCTCAGGAGGACAAACTTTGCCCCTTTGCACCATTAGCCCAGGTCCGCTCGCAGTTGGACAGGCGCCTGCGGGCGGCGGGAGGCGGGTTTGTCTGGCTTTTAGGAGGGGCGACGGCTGCCCTTTTCGGCCCGAGCTGCCATGGATATGGCCATTTACTGGAAAGGCTGGAGTGCCTGCCCTCAGAGGTCGATGTCGCACAGCGCCGCGCCTTCCTACCGCTCATCAACGACGACGAGGAATTACGTCTGGCTTACCAACAATTGCACCTGTTCCGTTTTCCGGTCTTTAGCGATTCGCCACATATGCGGGTCATGCGGACGCTCTTCCCGAATGCGGACCTCACGGACGCTGGCTTGGCCAGTCTGCAAAGCGCTCTGCCGCCCGCACTCTCGGCAGAGTTGACAGCGAACCAGGAGCCCGCTACCGCAGTAGTGG